ACAGATAGTCATTTCGGCGCTCATTATCAGTAGTCGCCCACGGTATGCAATGCCGTTGAAAGCGATCCATAGACTACGTCCTTCTTGACCTATTGGTAAAGGTGACATGAGCTTCGTGAACATTTCCGTACACTGACCGGATCAGTGGCTCAAACCAAAAACGTAGCCTTAGAGCGTTCATTATACGGGAAATCCTACATGGTTTAAAGCAAACGCATGTAGTCCAAGAGCAAACACACATTACTATCCTTACCAACTTTAATTGATATGCCATCTTGCCACCAATCAATGCACCAGTCGTGAATAGGATTACTGCTGTAAGAAGTCTTGTAGTGAAGAAGCTACTCGTCCCCAACACACTTTTCTGTGGCATCTAAAGACAAGGCATAGTAAAAATAAGCGGATCGTAATTTATACCAAAAGGGACTATATATTAAGCTAAATGGGACGTAATGCACAGTAAACGGTGCTCTTAACGTGCAGAAAAAGCAACCGCAAAAGAGCAGGACTTTTCTCTCGGGGTTTATTATGACATCATTGATTCGGCAACGGCAAGAAGTGTGCAAAGAGCCGGTCAGAGACACAAGCCCACATGATGTGAATTTTGCTGTGAAAACAGGCAACAGTAGGGGTAAACTCGCTGCGTCTCTCTTTTCTTTTTTATTATCACATAACGAAGGCTCCGATCACGTACGCAAATAATCAAGGAAGCAAAGGTAGTCTAGGAATGAGGAATTCAGGAAGAGCGCAACACAGATCTTTCTTTTTTGGATAGTGACAAAGTTACGCGTGTGCCAAACCTTGAACGTTCCAACAGCTTTCCCCTGAAACGAAAACTATGCGCATTGTGACGCAGCGATTTGGCCATTGACTTCGCACTCGAAATGCACAAAGGGATGGCGAGTGAACAAGGTGATCAATGGAGCAACAATATGCGCAAAAGTGTCAAACGTTGGAGGAAGTCATCGTTTGTAGTGTTATTCTTCTGATCGTCCCAAAGGAACTTAAACGCTGCTTTAAAAGAACGTAGAGCCGCACAAAAACAAACGAACCGATTTACTTTATCGGCAGCAATGGAAAACAATGAAGGATGAGTCGAATTCACTAGCGGCAGCGGATACTTATCTATGAGCGGGCCAACTTATCTGCAGCAGCATATACTTGGGATGGAGGATAGAACTTTAGTAGTAGCATCAACGGGATGGAGGATGGAAATTTAGCAGCACATACTTGGGATGGAGGATGGAGGGAGGAGGTTACACGGCGTGGTTCAGAGAACTGTTGGCGGATAGCGAAGCTGGTAAAGCAACAGTTGACGAGCACGGTTAAGCATAGAAGATACGGGCCTTTATTATATACTGCAGCGATGGGGGCATCTTTTTCCGCACACACACAACATTACGTACCACACACACAGTCAAAAGAAATTATTAAAGTACTGTGGATTTGTCTGTGAAGTACGCTATATACACACGCTGTTTGCCTTGTTGGCTGAAGGACTGTAAACTGGCTGCTGGGTGGATGGTGTTTTAAATGTTCACTGATGGTGAATTGTCTACCTTGTCAGTCACGTCTATTTCCGTCATCTTAATGCTCGCAGAAATGCGCTTCTACACGCTCCTTCGCATTCGTGTCTTTGTATTTGCTTGACACGGTGCCGTGCACGGCCCACTCACAAACAAGCGGCGACAGCATCGGAGGGTACAGCTCCGCATGGTGAGAGACACTTACCACTACCGCCGCAGCACATTTGTTTACTTGACCACCAAGCACACCCCCTTTCCTTTCCTTTCCTTTCCTTTTTTGGTGCTGAATCTTTTGTTATATCATAGTAGGCAACCCACAAGTTGAACAAGCGAGAAGAAATGTCTATATAAAGCGAGCAGTTTCGCTTTCTTTTTCTTCTTCTTAACTTTAGTTCGTTTTGGTACGGCTTTGGCTATAGTGCAGATTCACCGCTCTGTGCAATGACCAGTCCAAATGACTGTGCTGGCGATTGTTAAGACTCTTCAATGATTCGCTAGATTCAGTGGTCTGCCCTGAGGAGACTCTTGCAATGTACCAGTGGGAATGTGGACATGTACTCGGGCAAGTGATCGTGCACCTTCGGGTGCATGTGATGCCAACGGTATGTGGTGGGTTTTAAACGAACAGATTATTATTTACAGTATTAAGCACAAATAAGAAAATGATAAACAAAATAAACAAATCTTATTTGCTCACGCGCACGACAAGTTCAAAGATCTTCTTTTCTCACGAACAAAAAACTAGCCAACCATACTTGTTCTTCACATGTATTATACATCACCCACACATCCCACCGAGGAAGTAACAAGGCGTTCATTATCTTTGCGTTAGGCTGTGGGTCTGTTACATTAGCCTTTTGACGTGCCCTGCTACTTTTACTACAAAAATCCTTTTGCTGGAGACCCGTTCGCACTATTTACCATACATGAGTGCGTGCGGAATTAATAGCTTTGATAAACACACCCACTTGTTTGTGCTTTAGGCCTGAATAACGATCATTGCTTGCTATAAGAATGTTGATGGCTGCACGACGCTAAAGGTGGCTATTGTTTTTCAGAGCCATCATCTCTTTCCTGTCTGTGCCATTTAATGCCAAAACCTCGATCCAGTCGTCATGACAATGCTCGGTATGCAGCACAGCTTGCGTCTCTGTGTTATGTGTATCTGATAAGAGAAGCCTAGTTACATGCTGCATCATAATTTTATTACACTGCATTAACTTTCGATCAGCCATAATGGTATGCTAGTTGACTATGTTGCTACGTATTATTTACATAATCCAACACAAAATAAACGAATCACCTTGCAACAACTTGATTTTTAGACCTCTGGCATGCTTGCTGTGAACTTGATATTGCGTCTCTTTTGCTCGATTGTGACACGCGCATAGGCATCCACAAGAAAAGTAAGTGTATAATCGCGCTTTTTGCCACATCGCTTTAACCCTTGTTACAATGCGAGATTAGCAAAGCAAAGAAAAATATTCTTGCTTGGAGCTGTAGGACATAGTACACAATGTGGTCAGCCATATCAAGGGTTAAATTTATATCCATAAGCACAAGGTCTCGCTACAACCATGCCAACAGTTTCCCATCTGATGAGCTGAAGACCATCAAACTGGTTCGCTTACTCGCTGTAAGATTTCACCGTTCGTCGCATATGGAGCTTCTAGGATGTAATTAACAATTCCGTTTCTTTGAGGTGAAGAGGTATGCTATTCCTTCAAAAGAGAACCGTAAGTCCCGGATTTAAAGAGTGATGCACCAGAACCTGCATGCTTGCCATTTGGTCCAATCTATATCAAAACAGAAATGTTCTTGCGACAGTCATTATTGGAAACATATCTTTATTTGAATGGCAGAACCCAGCCTTGGATCTGTGCTTTGATGCATTTGCTTTGAATTGTACACTTCCAAAAACAAACAACGACTTAGTAGTGTACAAAATAGAACAAGCATACATCGCCACGAAATGCTATTAAAGGCATTATCTTACATATTAATAGCTTAATATTTTCTTAGGGTACACTTGAAACATTTTTGGTGCTCTATCTTCTCGAATACTGTATAGACTTAATAAAAAAAACCCCCATGAGAAGATGCTTCTTTTGCCTGTTGGTGTTTAAGGAACAAAAAGTATTGCCAGGAATTTTTCCTGGATTCGGCTTTGTCGATTTGGAAGCAAGCAAAGCATGTATAATCGATCGTTAAGCTAACAGACCTAAGCTTCTAAATGAGTCAAGTTCCCTTTTTTATGGATATCAAAACGCATTCGACAACGTTCTCACTTGATAAGAATACATAAGCTAAGCTTTGCTTGGCAGCAAGTCGTCTTGACAAAAATATTAAAAGGTAATTCAGCATTTCCTTTACGTAATACCAGTAGCATGAATAATAAATAATGTATAAGCAAAAAATCAATGGTTAGAAGGAGAAATGTTTTATAAAAGAAAATTTCACTCTTTGCTTCTCTGGCTCCACAGTCAGTGGCTTCTACTTTTTATTTTGGTGTGGTCCATCTACTATTTCTACAGGCTCTGCCGTCGTAGAACCATTGGTGGCAGTAAAAGAAATGGGCGTTTTAAACATGCGCCCTTGTTGTCCTTGTCCTCGTCCTGTGGAAAATTGCTCGGCAGCTTCGGGCACAGCGTAAGTAGCAAAGTCCAAAAATACTAAAACGTATTGCTCAAACATATTCTTGACTTTTAGGTGCCAATCATGGGCACATCATGCTTCCTAACACATGTGAATCTTCATCGTATCGTCCTTTTCAATCATACTCTAAAGAACTGAGGATTTCGTCGCGCATGATTTCCTTGTCACCAAAGATAATCGATCAACGTCGGTGTCAGCTTTCACAGACGCAAGATGGGCAGGGTCTCCAGATTACATTGGAATAACCCAATATTTGACATAAGCTTTGCGCGCTGTTGGCCAAACAAGTCATATTTTAAAGACAATGATGCCGTCTCGGGCGTATTTAAGGGCAATACCATCAGCATACCCGCATGTGAGCCAATGTCGTCGTTGCTGTGCAGCGCGTCCAGATCGTCGACACTATCAGGACAGTAGGCACGCAACATGATGTCTAGGCAAATTGATCCACCCATCGAGTCTGCACTCAGAATGACTTACCATGCGGGAACGTGGAGACCTTGTGTCAGTGGTTTTGTAAGCTTTTGAGTACACTCAAGCACACGAACTCAAAAAGGGGTCTGATCCCTGTATACCAAGTTGAAGCTGTGCGTCATCATTGTTAATAGAGAGCAGTCTAAAACCAGTGGTTTATCGGCCGGTCTTCGCTTGCAAGCTCAGGAACATCAAAGATCATCAAATCCCCCAGATCTCAAAACTTTGCCGACGGGATACGGAGCTGCAGAGTCGCACGTATTGACAACGCCCCTTTTGTCAAAAGAAACTGTCTGTGCTATCCAAGAGCGATGGCATAAACAGTAAGGTATCGATCATAGCAGCTCCTGATATAAGTACTACACTTTCTTTATTATTTGATTTTTTACATGTACTTTTTACGAACATACATTGTAAATTCATATTGTAAATCTTTGTGTGTTTGCACACCCTTTGGTACAGGCTGATCCACATACGCCTCCAGTTCCTCATGAGTAGCCAACCGAAACTCCTCGTCACTTATTTCTGGAAAGAACGTATCGCAATCGACCTTGGAACGTACACGCGTTAAAACAATATGCGTACATTTGGCATGCTTGATAGCGATCTTGTAGATTTGTGCACCGCCAATCACGAAAACGCGTCCGGCGCTTTGTTTTTCGGCTTCAACAAACGCGTCTTCCATATTACTCACTAATACGGTGGATCGATCTTCTGCGTCTGTTAGTTGCCTAACAGAAAATGATATTCTTTTTCAGCCGCTTTCGCTTCACAATTACTTTCCCCCCCCTCCCCCAGAAAATTCTTCAATAATTACATGTCATAGCTCGGATTGCGTGAAACGATAATGTTGAATCGATCGGACAAAGGCCGGAATTTAGGTGGAATCGACTCCCAAGTGACTCGACCCATAATGACGGCATTCTTTTTTGCGGATAAGCCTTCAGGAACATGGGTTGTAACGTGTTTGAAAAAGGCCATGTCGCGTGGGATTCGCCATGGGAGTCCACTTAATAGGCCAATGCCGAGTTCTTCTGTGGCTGCTACAACGAGTGCAAAGTTGGTCATTTCCGGGTACAAACGTGTAAAAAAAATATAGGTGGCAAAGTGAGTGGAGCTGAGAATGTATTGTTCTATGGATATTCAAAGGATAAATTATGCTAGCTTATAACATGCTTGATTACACCGTTTCTGTTAAGATAAATATCCTTTTTTTTTTTTCAAAAGTTTGTAAATCTATATAAAAGCTATCATAGTGTTCGAAATAGCCTATATTGGGGGGGATTATATGTGTGTGTTGTTAAATGTACAGTGGTGTTTTTTTTTGTTGTTGTTGCTATGCTACTAAATTTTATTGCACCTCGGCCTGTTGCCCAGTTACTGGACATGATGCTGCTTGTTGTCTGGTTACTGGACACACCATTGTTTGCGCATCCGATACTTTCTTTCCTGCGACAGGACATGCTGATACATCGTGTTCTTCTTGTCGCTGACCTGTGACAGGACACGCGGCTCCCGTTGCTGTCGAGCTTTGTCCAGTGACAGGACATTTATCGGTTTCCTTTTGACCCGTGATAGGACACACCGCCGCTCCGTCCGAACGTTGACCAGTAATTGGACATACAGCCACTGTATCATCGGTATCCTCTTTGGGTGCCTCATAAACAACGGTTGTCGCGTTATCCTCCGCGTCAGTTTTTTCTGACTCTTTGAAAAAGAAATCAACGCTTTCCGAGTCCATGGTATCGGCTGTCGTCAAGTCCTGTCGATGCCATCGTTCAAACTCTTTGGTACGGCGCCATCGACAGTTCAACTGTCGTTCCAAGTCGAGTACTTTGACTGGATCCATTTCACTACACGATTTCACACCCTTGAACACAGCCTATAACCCATACATAAAGATCGATACAGTTAGAATTAGCAAACCCAACATAAACTATCCCTTGCAAGGGTAATTTAATTATTACCTCGACAAGCGCTGGCGGTAATGATTTCCAATGATCCAATATCTTGTTGCTCCATCGAGTGTCCATGCCTTTTAACTTGGTCTTGAGCTCCTCCAAAGTTTTGGATGACTTAAAGTAGCAAGTTGATCAACCGTATCAGTACCTTAAACATCACTACAAACCACCTTTTGTGTTTTCCTCGAAAAACTTACCCCAAATGTTTGTTGAATCTCTTTCTCCCACACACCTAAACGGTCAGGACCCGGGTATGAATGATAAGCAGCCAGCACTAACTGAAGAGCCATGGCCGTATCTGGTTCAGGACACATTGCCATCCTCTTCACGCCATCCACCGCTTCTTTCAAACGGGCATCTGGCACAAACACATCGGCAAGGCCCAACCGCAGCAGCTCTGGAGCACGCAATCGCACCAACTCGGGTGGTGCCAATGCAAGATACAGCTCTGTGCCTGGTGCCAAGGGTTGTTTGCTCTGCATGCGCGGACGACACAATGATAGCAATAAAAGTGGCGGTACAGGCGCATAGGATAACTGCAGACCCATATCTAAAAACGTATCCTCCGTGATAACGCGAACAAATCCGTGCCAGAGGCCAACATAAGGTGCATTATTGGGTATCGCAGCATCAAACACTGTGACTGTCGTCTTTTGTTGTTGGAACGTGTCCAAGACAAAGTTGTAGTATGCATCCGCCACAGCATCGAGTGATGCCACTAAATTCTTGGTGTCGTCCTTGCCGACTTTGCTTGCTGTTTCCGCAAAGGCAAGTCCTACGCTAGTACATTTGCCGTCTTTGACAGTGGTCTGGCCGTTCCGTGTATCCATAGTGGAGACAGAAAAGGTCGAGGTGGATGTAGCAACAGGTCGTAAAACTCGACTTGTCACTCGCTTGCTGTTTTCTGCCTTTTCAAGCTGGTTGCTTAGTTCGCCCAGTCGATCGATGGTCAACACGTTGCCGCTTTTCGGGCCAGAGAAAGTAATTGTCGCCGCACCCCCCAGTTTTGGTTCTTCTGTCGAGGCAAATGAGTTTCCATCGTTGGATGTTTCATCCTCTGCATCTCCAGAGCCTATATTTCCATATAAAACGGTCTAAACATTGATTTTCTTACTCTTGTGCGTACTCGTTTACTTTTCTTACGTTTTTTGTTTTGCCACATGTGTGCATATGGACATGCTGGCTGAGACGCCTCCTTGCGATCCTTTGTCCAAGCGATATAGTCTCCAACATGAACAGGCTCCACACAACTAGTGGATAAAAATTAGATAATGTACATGTATGAGAACATCACCTCCCTCTTTGTGAGATATCGAGAACAGAGACTTACGATGCATAATAGAATGCTTTAGCTCTAATATACTCTTCGTCCATGCGAGCCTTGTCCCAATTGCCCTGTTCTTGTTGCTGCTTGACCCAACCACGAACAATTGTCGGCAACCCGGCCAAAAACTTGGTATCATTTTCAAAATCATAAACTTCCAAACGTCGATACGCCTTGACAGCCGGACTTTCTTCGACAGGGATATTCTTATACTTTTCATAGTCAAGATACTCGTCGAGATCAAAGTTTTGTCTGAATCTGCTTACCAAGGTCTATCAGTTTTCCACTTGATTCTCGTAATGAACGTCTTTCAAGGTAGCAAAATGCTACACGTTTTTTTTTAATTTCCCAAACTATTTACCTTGTAAAAAAGAAATGCTTGGCTCGTAGCAATTGGCGATTCTGCAATTCCAGCTTTGTCGGCTTGTTGTCCCCGCTGTTTTTCTCCTTGGGCAAACCCGCTATGATATTCTCAAGGCCAGCTTGGAACACACCGTCTGAATCCCAGGGATATTCAGCAAACGCTTCAAATGCTTGTCTTTGTTGTGGTGTAAATTGTTGATTGACCATAGTGAATCTTGTCGGTTAGCGAAAATTCAGGGAAGAAATATTAAAAATTGGTAGAATTATAGATCAGTTTCGAATATAGGGTGGAGTGAGTGGGGTTATATATGTATATCGCTCATGGGAAAAAAATATGCGCTGCACCGAGTAATTGTGCTTACTGTAACACCAAACGCTAAAATTGTTCCTAAATTGGGTTGATGGGATTTGCATTGCTTGGTAATCCACGAATTAAAGACATGGCATTGGCTGATTACAGTCTACCATGTCACTCATACTAACAGCTGCCACTCTTCTCCATCTGAGCAAATTAGCAGCAGTGTGCCGCTCAGTTATTGTAGCCTGGCAGCGACATGCAATAAGCAATATTCTCATCTTGATAGCAAAGCAATGGTGACTCTCTATGAGTGATTGCAGTCCACTACGCATGTGCTTTCAAAAAGCAAACAAACTCAAATGTCCTGAATAGCATAAAGCTTATCAGCAACTCTGATCTTGCAAAAGTGACCAACAGCAATATTGTGATGAAATGGTTCACTGATACGGAGCTGATATGACAGATGTAAAAGGGCAATTCCAGTATATGTTGTTGGTTGTATGCAGAGAATAATAGCAGTATCTCTGTCGTATTCTGGTCCCCGGGATTGACTGGAAACCCTATTAGAATACCAACCAATGACTACTTATCGCAGCATTCTTTGCTGAGGAGTCGTGTCTTTTTTCTCTGAATAGTTGTATAGTAAAAGAAAAAGCACAACGGTCTGCTTGCTAGTGTTTTGATCTCCCGGCCTGAAGAATAGTTTACCCCGCATTGTTGTATAACGCATCGGGTCAGAAAAAATAAAAAGAGAGTGACAAGCGGCTTGATAATTTATCCATTAGATCGAATCGTAGACGCCGAATCCAAAATGACTCACAGAAACCGTTGGCGAAAGAAAGTATACATGGAAACTTATTGCTAATACGTCGTTCTTTTTCCTCTTTCTCTTTCTCTTCCATTTTATCTCTCTCTCTCTCTCTCTTTTTTTTCCACATAACAATAGTAGCATGGCCGCTGACAAAATTGACTGGAACAATATAAGCTTCCAATACCGCGACACGAACGGTTACATGAAATACACTTGGACTCTCGAAAACGGTTGGGATCAAGGCTCGTTTGAAACTGATCCCTACCTCAAGGTCCACATGTGCGCAACCGGTTTGAACTACGGTCAACAGGTTCGCGACTCTTTCTTTTTTCTTTCTTTCTGCTTCCATGTCAACAATCGCGAATGGAAAAGAAGCTTAGTTATCCAATCCTGTTTTATTTTATAGTGCTTTGAAGGTTTGAAGGCTTTCAAGGACAAGCAAGGACGTGTCCGTATTTTCAGACCCCAAGAAAACGCAGCACGCATGCGTCGCAGTGCACCTATTGCACATATGCCCGAGGTGCCGGAAGAGATCTTTTTGGACGGCTGCAAACGTACGTGCGAAAAGAACATTGACTTTGTGCCCCCGGTGGAAAGTGACGGTGCGTTTTATCTTCGTCCCCTGTTGTTTGGCAGTGGCCCTATGATTGGCATGAATGCTGCGCCAGAATTCACGTTTGTCGTCTTTGGTATGCCGGTGGGAAGCTACTACAAGGGTGGCATCACCCCTGCCAAGGCTGTCATCATGGAAGCTATTGATCGTGGTAAGCTTCATTTTTTGGTTCATATATCAGAGACGTCAATCGCTCTATTGTCTGTGTGTTTTGTTAGGGGGTAACAAAAATAACAAAAGGAACAAAAGGGCAAGAAAGGGCGAGAGGGGGAGGGGATTCTATCAAGTGATTAAATGGTGCTTTTTTTTTAAAGCTGCTCCCAAGGGCACCGGTTCCGCCAAGTTGGGTGGTAATTATGCACCCACCTTTGGCCCTATGGGCAAGAAGATGGCCGAAGGCTATACACTGACGCTGCATCTGGATGCCAAAACTCGCAGCTATGTGGATGAATTCTCGACCTCCAACTTTGTTGCATTGACCCCTCCTGGTAGGCTATTTTTAAGAATATCTGATGGAAAAGAAAAGAAAGCGAGTGGTGAATTGACCGTGGAAAGGGACTGTGTAGATGCCAATGGAGTCCGTACCTTTGTGACGCCCAACTCCGAGTCGATTCTGCGCTCCGTTACGCGTCTGACCTTGGAAGACATTTGCACCAAGTTTGGCTGGAAGGTTGAGGAGCGACCCGTTGCATGGAGTGAGATTGTTGAAGGCAAATTCAACGAGGTGGCTGCTTGTGGCACTGCCGGTAAGTTTTGGGTGGCTGAATCATGGTAGAATCAAACACGTGTGTTCTGTAAGAAACAAGAGTGGCTGATGCATTAACAACAACAACAACAACAACAATTGTTTGCGCGCTATTAGTTGTGCTTACACCGGTGAAATCAATCACCCGTGGAGACCAAGTGATAGCCATTGGAGACCAAGAAAAGATCGGCGAGGGCTTCCAGAAGCTGTACGATTACTACCGCGGTGTTCAAAAGAGCGACATTGAGGATTCGTTTGGCTGGATGTGGCCCGCAGAAGGCTTGGCCTAAACAACTTGGAAGGAGAAGAAGAAGAACAAGAAGAAGAAAAGGATGAAACGGGTTCCTTGCTTTTTAGAATTAGATGGTTATTTGCAGTGCAACCGAAACAAAAAAACAAAAATGCAGCGCAATGCATTGCATACCCACAACAGCACTAAAGGGCAACGCAAACACTCGCTGCTGTGCCTGCCTATATTACAACGAACATGACACACAGTGCCTTTTTATATATGCTACTGGCAAACCAAGCAGCAGCCCGCGCGCTCGTTAAAGAGAAAAAAAGGGAAAGCAAGGGAATGGGGAGAGAGGAAGGATGGAAAGGAGCAAGCATAAGAGAGAGAGAGAGAGTAAGGAGGGGAGGGGCTGACTCAGTCATAAGGGAAAGAGGAGGGGGGGGAGATGGTTCGAAAACTGTCTACTGAGCTTGCCACTAATACACACACACACACAGGGCAGAGCAGAGCAGAGCAGAGCAGAGCAGAGCGCTTATTAGCTTAGCTTAGTGCAAGAAAAAGTGTATATTGCAGCAACAACAACAAAAACAACAACCTTCGCTTCTCTCTCTTCCACTTTTTCCTCTTTCTTATTAATTTCCACTCATCTTGCCATCTTGCAATTCAGCTTTTCCATTCCTTCGTTTTCCTTGCTATTTGACCGCCCGCGCGCTAAAGAGGCTGGGGAGGCTGTAAAAAGAAATATAAATTCGAATGCTCCCAGTTACACAGACAGCTGCTTTCTACGGTCCCCTCTATGACAGAGGCACATGTTATCATCATTCCTGCTGTTGTTGTTGTTGTTGCTGCTGCTATGATGCTAGTAATAAAAATGCCGGGACAACAACAACAACTGCCAGTGCCGCTGCCTCTACGACTATGACATTATGTTATCACCAGCAACAAGTACAAGAAGAACAGAAAAACAATGGCTGCTGCGACTTGCCTACGACGACGACGACGACGACGGGGCCAGGAACAACAACAACAACAACAACTGCAACTGCAACTGCAACGACAGAACAGTATCCTCTCGATTCTACGTTTACATGCTCACTCTGTAGCGGTGTTGCAGTGACCGAGGAGCAGATATCACTTGCTTCAGCCATCATCCATCCAAATCGACCCGCAACGTCCTCCTCCATGGGCGATATGGATGAAGACGAGTATCGACTCTCAAAACAAACAATGCGTCGCAACCACGCCATCCACGAGCTATTGGAAACCGAACGCGACTATGTCACTGATCTTGGCCGTCTTGTCGAAGCAAGTTTCTAAACACTTACCTAGACAAAACTCACACTCTATTTCTTTTTGATATTCATCGCTTGGCAAAAAAAAAAAAAAAAAGAAAAACAACAATAACAAAACGTACATAGGTCTATTTTGATACACTCGCTCGACAAGACTGGATTCCTCTGCAGCATAAACAGACCATACTCCGAAATGCATCGGATCTACTGTCATTCCACCGCATTTTCCTGGCCACCTTGGACGAGAATTTTGAGGAACGAGGCGTCGGTGAGCACATTGCAAAGGCATTCCTGGATATGGTAAATAAAACAAAAAATCAGAAAGTTTGAGCTTCTCCTCTTCTATATAGAAGAATAGAACAAGTAACGATATACAAGATAAATTAGACTTGAAGGGGGAGGTGGGGAGCGGGGGGGGGATAAGAATCCTATTAGCCACAGTACTCACTTCTTTAATTTCCATGCTATGTAATGCGTTCAATGAAACGACTTAGGGTGATCACTTTTTAATGTACACTCGATACTGCGACTTGCACGACGAAGCCTGGTCTTTGTGTGAAGAATACCGCGACCGCCCTGAATGGTCTCACTTCACCAAAGAGTGTACCGCCATGATTGCAGAATCCACCCCGGTCTCGTCCTCTGTGGTCAGTGGCTCGCTCATGGACCAGGTGTCCAGTAGCCAACAGCAATTATCAGCATCGTCTTCACCTGTCGGTAAAAGACTTCAGTTTGAAGACTATTTGATCAAGGTAGAGTGCAAAAGAACCCCCCAGTTTTAATTCACTCTGGCTAATATATATCACTCACACACACACACACACACACAGCCAGTGCAACGCATATGTCGTTATCAGCTACTTTTAAAGGAAATCATTCGCTATACACCCGATGACGCAGATGACTATGCAGTTTTGAACGATGCAATGAACCTGGTCCACACAACCGTTGCAGAAATCGACCGTCTCAAGAACGAAAAGGATATCGGCAAGCGCACAGAGCGGTTCGTACAGCGGTTCGATGGCGATTGGCGAATCAATAAGCGTCATGTCGTCAAGCTTGGCAATTTGCTCATATCAGGGGCCATTGAGGTCACCTACACCGCATTGGGTCAGAGCGTTGCCAAGCCGCGCTACCTGGGTTGTTTTGTATTCCCAACTTATCTGATTCTCGTTCGCCCGAAAAAGGTCACCACCTATGAGCCGAAGCATTGGTTTCCCTTGCGTCTAGCAGAGCTGGAAGACTTGGCTGATATTGAAGGTTGGTTTTAATCCATGATCTGCAACCCCCCTCCCCCAAAGTGTATCTGCTATTATAGCACCTCTTCTCCTTATATACATACATATATATATATATACTATGTATGCGACATGATCATCTTTTTTAACCCATCTGATTTATAGGTCAACAAGAACATTCATTCGTAGTCAGATGCAAAAAGCATACATTTGCATTTAGCGCTACATGCAACCAGGAGAAACAACTTTGGCTCAAACATCTAGAAGACGCTATTGAGAGAGCCAAACTGGAGGAATCTGTGCAGAAGGAAGAATTAATTGTACCATCACTTGCAGGAATTGCCGCTACACCAACACCCACAAAAAAACTGCAACAACAACAGCAGCAGCAGCAATCCAATGTTCGTTTATCGCGTTCGTTCACCAATATTCTCGATATGAGACTTTCTTCATCCTGCAACAATTACAGTAGCAACAGCAGCAGCAGCAATAACAGCAACAGTCACCATAGCAACAACGGTCCAACATCACCTATTCCTATTGAATTGAAGCGATCTGTCTCAACCAGTGTGCAATTGAATAATATCATTGCCGACTTGACTAGGACTACCATCACCAATTCCCCTTCGAACAACAACAATAACAACGTTTCAAGTAATAACGCTTCATCTCCTTCATCGCCACCTAAACCTGCACCATTACAAAAACGATATTCTGCCGACTACCCAGCATCGAGGCGGAAAGAGCTATTAAAATCAAGAACGAATTCCGAAATTTCACGAAAACGTCCTGGATCGCTCGACTTGCTTTCATCAACGCCAAATGCAACTGCCCATTCCACGCCAGGAGTACCGATGATGGCGGCGACACCGAGCACACCTACTAACATGATAGGCAAAATGTCAATGCAGATCAAAAGCAACCATCAGAACGCATTACGCGTGGCTGTGGATCACAAACTCCATGCCGTGTGTACTCAGGATTATCTGTCATCCAGAGCGACATGGTACCTTCGTGACAGAGAAAACAATGTTGTTGATTTGCGCAAACGGAAATCCATGCCGTTCATGCGATCCTCAGCGTCTAGTTTTTCCATCATGTCGCCGTCGAGACGCATCAGCGAATTACCACAGCCACACATTCAACAACAACAACAGACTGCAACGCTTGATTTAGAGATTCAATCGACAGTCAGCTCAACAACTAGTTCAGCTGCTGTTACATCGGTCACAGCAACAGCTGCTGCTGCTGCAGTAGCGACAACCAACGATAGTCTGGATACGCTAAGACCATCAAGTCGAACACCGTCACCAAGACGAACATTGCCACACAGCGCTAGTGATTATTACTGCATGTCATCATCATCATCAACATCACCCATATCCGATACAAAAATAAATTACAGCCATTCTACTGCTTTACCAAGCTCTATGCCGACCTCAACAACAATGACAAACATTCTTCAACAACAGCCAAGATTAACCATTGATACGCAGCGCCATCGTGAACAGTCAAAGTACGGCAAAACAACAACAACAACAACGATGACGCCATCCAACGCAGCAACCACTCCTATCAGTCTATTTTCGGGGATGGATCGCTCCTTGTCAACACTCAGCATGCAGCCGTTCAAAAAGAACGCACTCGTCGACAGAATGTTTAGCAAGTTATCCAATCTGAGTAAGAAATCGATGAGGAGGCGCGGAGGACGACAACGACGACGAGGACGGTATCTCGATGATGGTGGTACTTGTGACGATGACCACTTGTACCGAGATGACATGATGGATGATGACGATGACGAAGGATCGCATTATACAGAAGGGGATTATACCTCAGACCTAAACTCCTACAATGCCAGTGAGGTATGTAACAAGGGCCAGGGAAAAGAAATAGGGGGGGAGGGGATTACCAACTATCTCTTATCTGCATAAGAGGATACCTTGCTTCATATACCCTGGATCACATTTTTTAATGCATATTACCTTCAAACAGAAACAAAAAAAAAGAAACTAAACAAATATACCATTGCTTGAAAAATCTGATAGATGGATGATTCACGGCAAGATTCCATGTCCAACATTTCACTTTGCCGATACCGCTCTGCAGCCACTGATCAGGGAGGAACTCATCATCACCGTCATGCATCACCACGACGATCGCATAACAAGGGTCCAATTTTTCGATGGATTCGGAGTGAAAGTGGTGTCAGCACAAGCAAACGATCCTACAACCGCCAACGCCAACAACAAGAAGAGGATTTTTCAACCACAAACACAAGCAGCAACCACCAACAAAATTCTGAGCGACCCCCTGTAGCTTTTGCATATGCTTCTACTCCTGTACAGCAGCAGCAACAGCAAGAACAAGAACAATGCCACCCTCAGAAAATTTGGAAACGGACATTCAGTGCTTCGAAAAAGAAACTAGTATCGTCTTCTTCTCGCATAAGCAACCTCAATAGCAGTAGTAACAACACCAGAGGACCCTCCGCGCGTTTTTGAAAAAAAAAAAAAGCATATCTACCGGGAGAGAAAAAAAAAACATCATTTATTCTGCTCTCTTTTTTTCTTTATAACATAACGTTGTTTATATACACCTACTACTACTACTAACTACTACTACTAATGCTTTTAATAATAATTTATGACAATAATAAAAATATTACTAATGAAAGTAAACTCCATCTCCATTCTCCAAAAAAGCATACGCTTACAACTGGATACTTTGTTCACGTTTCATCCTTTTTTTTACTAGTTCTTTCGATGTCAGTTTTCTTTAGGCAACAATCCTAATATCTTTCTATTATGCAACGATTAATAAGGTGCACATAAAAAGCAGATGGATGAGTCCAATTGCAGAACAAGAGTATGCATAAAAAATAAACTTAAAAATTGGCGAATATATATAACCCTCACACGCCTTCTTGAATTAATGAGGATATATGGCTCTAATTTCTAATATCGAGGCATAGATCTACTATATAAAGTTAGGAAGCGTCATCATCAGACCATCAGTGACATATAAACTCCTTACTATCTCCCCACGGATCATATAAACGTCATTTAGAGGAACCCTTTCTATCATCGTCGTCTGAATTTGCTGTATTATATCCCAACTTTAATGTATTTTCGATGTTTAATTAAAATCAATGATGTAATTTTATCATATTATAGTGCTCTTGTGAGAAGGGGGGTGGCTCAGTCTTTTCTATATCAACACTGCTGCTTCTGCTACAGCAACAAAAGTTGTGGCTCCTGCATACATATAAAAAAAAAGTTGAATCAAGGAGAGACGTATCATTACCTGAAGCGACATGCTGGATGATGTATCACTTATTACGGCAGTTGTGCTACTTACAAGATCGTTCATTGCTACCAGAAAAAAAGGAGGTTTAATTATTTACATTATCATAGAGTAGCCGTGTACTAGGTGTGTCATCAGATGCGTCTTTGCAACGATAGATTCGATGTGTGGTCGGGTGATCATTGATAAAAAGAAACGATCTAATATGGGTTGTCAGGTTGTTAGTAAAAAATGATATACTGCTGCTGTCATCCAACAGGGTATAAAGTATTCTTATATTGGCTGACTATAGCATAATAGCACCGGCACGTCTATACACCGGTAGTAGTGGATATGCATGTGATCGTTCTACAGGGCCATCTTGTTTTAGAATTTAGCTTTCCGGTAAAAACATGTTGGTTATTTCTCACACATAAGCTGGAAAAATGATCGGTTAAATAGTTCAAAGCGGGGTGTGTGTAATTTATAATCGAAAGCGGGGAAAAAACTGAACGCCCAACCTGTCAATTTAAAAAGAGGTTGCTCCACCAGGGCCGATCATTTGCATTCTTTATTCCTTTTCTCTCAACAAACACACACACACACACACACACACACACACACAAAATGCAAGGTCGTAAAGTTTATGTTGTCGGCGTAGGCATGTCCAAGTTCATCAAGCCCCGTGGTCTTGTCGATTACCCTGGTAACGTTTTATATGGACGCGTAGAGGATCAAGTGAGCGGGATGCATACTAAAAATGAGTGGATGTAGAATTCGCGTTGGAGGCTGCCGTCAAGGCTTTGAACGATGCAGGTGTTTCATACGACAAGGTCGATTTCGCCGCTTGCGGTTACGTCTTTGGTGACAGTACCTCTGGCCAGCGTGTCTTGTATCAGCTCGGTATGACCCAGATCCCCATCATCAATGTCAACAACAACTGCTCGACCGGCTCGACTGCCTTGTACAATGCCCGTGCTGCTATTGCTTCGGGTAACGCCGAATGTGCTCTTGCTCTTGGTTTTGAGCGCATGAAGCGTGGTTTCATCACTGAAGCTTTCCCTGACCGCACTTATCCTCTTGGTAACGTATACTTCTTTTCCTTTGTTAAAAAGGGGGCACGGTTATTTTTTTTTTGTTGGTTGGATGTTATGCCGCACATGCAGCAACACTGCATATACTTTTTTTTCTCTCGTGATCGGACTCTTGCTTACGACTTTTTCTTTTTGCTTTGCATATGAACTTTAAACAACAACAACAACAACAGACCACGTCCAGGCCGTGATTACTGACGAACGCAGCTGGGACAAGAACACTGGCAATGCTCCTCAAATCTTTGGCAACGCCGGTATCGGCTACATGGAAAAGTACGGCGCCACCGAAAAGCATATGGCCATGATTGCCGAAAAGAACCATCGCCACAGCGCAAAGAACCCTTACTCGCAGTTCCGTGATATCTATACCCTCGAACAGATCGAGCAGTCGGCCAAGGTCTTTGGCCCCTTGACCAAGTTGCAGTGCTGCCCTACCTCCGACGGTGCTGGCTGTGCCATTGTCGCTAGCGAGGATTTCGTCTTGAAGCACGGCTTGATGGACCAAGCTGTCGAAATCTGTGCTCAGGCCATGGCCACGGATTCCCCCAAAATGTTGGGCAAGGAGAACACGGAATGGGCTGGTGCTGATATGACCCGCAAGGCTGCTGGAGAAGCTTTCTTCAAGGCTGGTATCTCTCCCAACGACGTTCAGGTTGTTGAGTTGCACGATTGTTTCTCTGCTAACGAGGTAGGGCTTATTTTACTTCTTGTGTCGTCGGAATGCAGAACGCGGAGAGAGGGGAAACTAAAAATGTGGGGTGTGCCCTTTTTTTTTTTTTTTTAGCTCATTACCTACGATGCCCTCGGTTTGGTGCCCAAGGGTCAGGCTCACAAGTTGATTGATTCTGGCGATAACACCTATGGTGGCAAGTACGTTGTCAATCCCTCCGGTGGTCTGATCTCCAAGGGCCATCCTCTTGGTGCCACTGGTTTGGCTCAGTGCACTGGTAAGACGAAAAAGAAGTCAGCGGGGTTGGGGACGGGGGGGGGGGGGTCAAGCAGTTTTCCAAATGGTTGGCTACAGCAATATACTAATTGTATCTATATAGAACTGGTCTGGCAATTGCGTGGCTGGGCTGGCGAGCGTCAGGTCGCTGATGTCAAGTACGCCCTTCAGCATAACGTTGGTCTTGGTGGCGCCGTCGTCGTGTCCATCTACAAGAAGGCCAACACCAACAAGTCTGATCCTAAGACCTCTTATAACCCTGCCGTCGAGGCTCGTGCCATCACCAAGGACGACTTCTCCAAGGCTGCTTCCCAGAACGCCAACCGTGCTGAGTACATGGACTCTGTTGGTGTCGCCAAGCTGTAAATTTATCTTACTTTTCTATATCATCCCCCCCCACTTTCCACTGTTCCCCTCCTCTTCCGCCGTCATACAAACGAAAACAACCATGCTTGCACGTTATTTTGTACAGAAACAACCCCCTTTTCCCACAATAAAAGCTGATATTATTATTCGATGTGTATTTAAAATGAGAGTTTATTTGTCCATTGAGAAGGGATTGTTTATCGAGCTATAATGGAGAGAAGAAACACAGCAAGTTAATATAGCTAGCACTGTGTGCAAAGCCAAAGAACGTACAGGAAACTATGATAAACTTACCCAACCATCCACCATCGACAGCCATAATTTCTCCATGTACATAGTCACTTGCACGGCTAGCAAGATAGACAACAGGTCCCTTAAAGTCATCAGATGACGCCCAGCGTCCAGCAGGAATACGCGCAAGGATTTCCTTGCTACGTACGGGATCCTTCACTAGTGCTTCGGTCAAGTCGGTATTGACATAACCTTCAAGTCACGTCAGCAAACAGCAGTGCAGCATTAATACAACTATCCGCAGCAACACACTCTCTAAATGTGCTGTATACATACCCGGTGCAATAGCGTTGACATTGATACCGTGCTTGGCCCATTCATTTGCCAATGCCTTGGTCAAGATAGCAACACCACCTTTAGCAGCTGCATAAGCAGGAACACGAATACCGCCCTATTCAATATTGCACATGTTTCAACATGCTTTGCAAGAGTGTGATATAATACGTATTTAGTTCAATCCAATGGGGTGCGTACCTGGAAGCTCATCAAGCTTGCTGTAGTAATGATTTTGCCTGATCCTCCACGAGAAATCATATGCTTTGCAGCTGCCTGGCTGATGGTCCATACGGATTTGAGGTTAGCTTGAATAACAGCATCCCATTCATATTCTGGGAAATCAACAGCACTAGTACAGAGAAAGAGGTTGGTGTGGAGCGTCCTTGTTAAATGATGTGCTTGGGAACAAGTCTTACTCATATCTCCGCTGAATTCCCGCATTATTGACGAGAATGTCCAACGTGGGAAACACGGCTAAAATACGCTCCACAACATCACGAACACTTTCTTGTTCCGACACATCCAGGTATACAATTTCGGCTTTACGGCCCAAGGCTCGAATTTCGTCACGGACCTTGTAGTCTTCTACGTTTCTTTGAAGTAGACAAATATCTTGTATGGGTGGGTGAAGGATATATATGTTAGAACAGAGAAGGAAAGCCATTTGTATCCCAATCTTCTAACACAGCAGCAAAATGTATTGTAGCAATAGAAACACATTACCTGCACCAGCTTCGGCCAAACCAAGTGCCATGGCTCGACCAATACCACGCGTGCAGCCGGATACTGCAGCAGTTTTGCCGGAAAGTGAGAACATTGATAAAACAAAAGTAGACATGTTTTCTAAAAAAAAAGAAGGTTGTTTAAAGAGAGAGAGAGAGGAAGAAAGACTACATCCTAAATGAGGTCTTCAAGATTGTACAGTGCGCACGGTCCCAAATGGCGGATTTCAAAAATCAATCAGTGGTTTTTAAAGACCCAATTGTCGTAAAATAAAAAATCAATAAGCGTGAAAACAATTATCCAATAGGTGCAAACTCAGAAATAGGCTTGAAAAGGCAAAGGCGAGTTTGCGGGATAATCCGACAAAATGTTCCGTCCCAAAGCCTCTACACTTCTTTTAATTCCCAGGCATGAATTCTAAAATATGCAAGAGTGATGCCCCGAGAAGCTATTCTCTCTTTCTCTTTACTTTTCTTCTTTTTTAATTTAAGCCGATATTATGGTTTACCAGACTAATACTGCAGCTGTGCTCTATCAAGTCCGTGATCTTCGTATGGTCAGTGGGTCTTTCAATTCTAAAAAATATCTAGTCCTCCCCGTATCGTCACTTACCGTTTCTTGCTATCTTTTTTTCCAGGAAGAGCGGCCGATTGAGACTCCGGGGAGCGGAGGTAGGGATGATGATGATACGAGAGAGAGAGAGAAAGAGAGAGAGCATCACAGCTAATACATATATTTTCAAGAGGTCTTGATTAACATACGCGCAACTGGCATCTGTGGATCAGATCTCCACTACTACTTGGACGGCACCATGGGACCTTTGAAACTTGATCCACGGTCGCCCATGATATTGGGTCATGAATCCTCGGGCATTGTTACTCAACTTGGCCCGGGCGTCACAGGATTGGAAATAGGCGATCGCGTAGCCATCGAGCCTGGCCGCGCGTGTCAAGAATGTCGCTATTGCAAGGAACAAGGAGGCCAGCTTTACAACCTATGCCCCAAAATGAAGTTTCTCGGTTCCTTGAGACAAGGTCCCAACGATGGGTCGTTAAGACGTTATGCATGTTTTCCCGCGTACTTGTGTCACAAGTAAATGTTTTCTCCCTTTCCTTTTTGATAGTTGTTGCTGCGGGGAGAGAGAGGATCAAGTAGAAGTGTTGGGTCTGATGGAGATTCTTTATACAAATTGGATGTGTGTCTCTGATATAATAAACTTCCAACAAACAAGAATACCCGGATCAATGTCTTTTGAGGATGGTGCCTTGATTGAACCTTTAGCCGTCGCCGTCCATGCCGTCAACCGAACACACGTCAAGCAAGGATCCGTAGTTGCTGTCTTTGGCGCCGGTCCCGTGGGTCTCATGACAGCTGCTGCAGCCTATGCCCAGGGAGCCAGCCAGTGCCTCATTCTCGATATCAATCCATCACGGCTCGAGTTTGCAAAGAAATATTTACCTGCTGTCCAAACCATGGCCATGCCCAAGGTATCATCCACATTGGAAGAAGATGAAGCACAACAACAGAGCGCAAATATTCAAAAAGCATTCCCCAAGTTTCAAGATGTTGATGTCGTGTTTGAATGCACAGGCGTTGAGACGTGTGTCAATATCGCAATGTATCTGACACGTCCTGGTGGAGCCGTCATGTTGATTGGTATCGGCAAACGCGCTACAGTGATGCCAATTGATATCATTGTCAGTCGCCAAATTAACATCTTGGGCAACTTCCGCTACGCCAATACCTATGCTAAAGCCATCGAACTGGTGAAGGATGGAAAAATCCCGTTGGACGGATTGGTCACGCATCGTTTTGCGCTAGAAGATACGCTACAAGCGTTTGAATTGGCAATGAAGAATTCTGAAGGAGTTATCAAGATCCAGATTGGTGATTTTTAATAATGATGATCGATAAAAAGTGAGAAAGATGTGTTATCTGGATCGTACAAGCAGCTAATTACTGTATGTAACCAGATGATAACGAGAGGCAATTTTAATAAGTGGAGAAAGAAATATAAGAGATATAGTATATATATACACACAACAGAAAGATATCTTTTGTTTATACAGCGGGTCGAATGAGGAGGAAAGGGATGTTATACGATGGGAAAGGGTAATAAGAACAAGGAGGGTATATCTTTTTCCTTAAAAAGACCGGACAGACGATACGGATTCTCTCCTCAAAGCACGATCGTAACCTGCACGAGAATGGAGTTCATGTCGCTTTTGGAATTCTTTGGCTCGGCTACCAAGCTTGTGTTTGCGCCATGGCAGTATGCTAGGGCCGCCACCACCACTGCTGCTGCTGTGGTTGTTGTAACCGCCGTTTGAAACCTTATTGCCTCTCTCCAGGTACTTGTCCCACACAAAGATCATCAATACTTTGACAATATCCAACAGCAAGAACGTCACCAACGAAATAGCCAAAATAATCATTCCTCGGGGCCAGCCGATACTACCAATGTTTTCGTCGTAACCGAAAAAGCCGTACACAGACAAAATCAAAGCAATTACTTGTGTGCCAAGTACAACGACCGTAAATGGCCATGCTGGAATGTTGCGCCAACAAAATGTCTCGAGACGTGTTGAGAAAATGACAAAATGTGGAGCTGTCGCGTGTTGAGGTTTAGTATTACTCTTCCTGGTTTTACGAACGTCACAATTTCACTACTAGCATTTTAACTTACCAGATGAGATATGGAGGTACATGATGGTCGATAGTTCGGGTGCAGTAACGTCCAGCACATCTCTAAATATATAGAAATGGGCAAAGGAAAAGAGGGATAAAAAGATCGCGAGCATGCAAGACAAAAACACGAGTCGACCCAGTCGCCAGAATTCGGGAAGTGGAGAGATTTGTACATTGTCGAGAGCCATGATAAGTGTCGCAGCGTCGTTGAGAACGGATACCAGAATCAGCAGAATAGGTGGCATCTGCCAATCTTCGGCAATTGTGACGATGAAAATGAAAAGTAGGAAGTGGATAGTGGATGTGATACGGTAGAGCGCGTAGGATCGTAACCGCTGGAAGATGATGCGGGACATCTTGATGCCTTCAATGATCGGTGATAGACCTGGTGAAAGTAGTACGATATCGGAAGCTGATCGAGCTGCGTCCGTGCTACCATGGACAGCGATGCCCACATTGGCCTAATCCAAAATGTTGTTATTTGTGTAAGTATTAGCATGATATATATAAACTTGCTCGTTTCAGCTTAAATACCTTTTTCAAAGCCGCGGCATCATTGACACCATCACCCGTCATAGCTACAAAATAGCCACGGTTCTGGAGTAGCTCGACTACTCGGTATTTATGTTCTATAATATGAACATGTTTTAGTTTGGGATCCTTTAATAATAATACTTTGATGTGAGCACATACCAGGTATAACTCGAGCAAAACCATCAGCTCGAAGACAGTCATCGGTGACATCGTTATCTGACTTGCTTGGATCGACCAAATGATCTGCATCCAGAATCAAAGTACCCATGCCTAGACGCACAGACACCTCTTGGGCAATCGTGGCTTGATCACCGGTAATCATCTTGACCGACAACCCATAGTGCTGACATTCGCTGAGGGTCGATGCCGAATCAGGTCTGGGTGGATCAATCAGCGTCATAAGGCCCACCAGTTCCCAACGATCTGAACCTTCTCGCGTACGTGCCACGCCAAGCGATCGCAATCCACGATGTGCGAATGCATTGACAGCCTCTTCTGCTTGAGCATCGCCTCCTCTGTTCAACAATTCCATGATCACTTGTGGGGCACCTTTGGCTACTTTGTAGGTCTCACGTGTGCCGAGTTCTTGAACGGTGGCAAAGGACATCTTGTCGACAGGATTGAAAGGGTTGAATTCCGATGCTGTGTAACCTAATACACCTTGAACGCTGTCCACATTTGGATGAAGTTTTTCTGCTGCAGATCGTATGGCTATCTCGATCGGGTCTTGTGCATTGGATTCGGAAGCAAGATAAGCATACAGAAGCACGTCGTCTTTACTGTATCCTTGTGAGACGTAGGGCTCGTCGAATGTCAGTTCGTTTAAAGTAAGTGTGCCTGTTTTGTCAGTGCAAAGAATCGATACTGCAGACAGTTCTTCCACTGCCGTAAGTCGTTTAATAATGACTTGACGTTTAGCCAACTCTTTCGCACCCACTGCCATAGTCACTGACATGACTGTGGGTAAGCCTACGGGAATACTGATATAATAAATGTGAGTCTATAACGCCAATAGTTAACTTTCTCCTTCGGTAATTCGACTTACGCTGCAATAGTAATCACAACACATTCCTTAAGAGTATCTAGAACATCCGCACCAGATACTGATCCGTTCAGAATCCGCAACTCGACAAGATCATAAATAAACAAGACGCAAACAAGCACCAACGTAATGATGATCAAGAAATTGCCGATATAGTTGATGACCTTTTGGAAATGGCCAGGTGCCGTAGCGACATTGATCAGATTGGCCGCTCTGCCGATAAACGTGTCTGGACCCGTGCGCACAACGATAGCCAGCTGCTGCCCTTGCTTGATCACGGAGGACGAATACACCAGATCCCCCTGCCGTTTCTTGACCGGCAAGGATTCGCCCGTGAGTGCACTTTGATCCACATTCAGGTCCGTTTGAGCGGGTGCGCCTGTACTGTCTAATCCAAGCAATCGGGCATCGGCAGGTACGATATCGCCAAGACGTAGTGCAAGAATATCTCCCACCACAAGCTCGGATGAATTGACCTCAATGAGTCTTCCGGATCGGTAGCACCGGGATGTCAGGGCCAACGAACTCTTTAATGCTTCTACCGCAGAGTCTGCACGGGCTTCTTCGATATAACCGATCACAGCATTTGCAATCAACAAACCCAGGATGATTCCAAAATCGACCCAATCCTGAGTGACAGCAGTGAGGATCACGGATACTTCCATAAGATAGGATATCGGTCCTGTAACTAAAAATAACATCACACACACACACACACAAATAAGCGCGTCTTCTTTTTACTAAACTAAAGAAAGGCTCTCTCATTGTAGAGTAAGTTACTCACAGAAAGAAAGAAAGTGGAGCAGTTTGTTTCGCTTCTTTTCTTTAAACTCATTGCGTCCGAACCGTTCTTGTCGATCGGCCACCTGGTCTTCAGATAGACCTTGCGTTGGCGGGGTTTGCAGGTATGGTTCGAGATGTGCAGGAATCTCGTCGTTGAATTGTTCTTGCTGTTCTCCCGGTGGAGTCGTCAAGGGTGTCGCTTCTTCATAGTCTTCGAGAACAACATTGCCCTTGTTGGGCGTGATTTCCGGGGGCATTGCTGGAAATCCGACCACGTTTTATATATACTATGAAAAGTTTAAAAGTGTGCAAAGAGAAAAAGAGAGAAGAAGAGAAGAAGAAACAACAGGTTCCAGGTCGCTCTCTTCGTTTGTGACGTGTATGCGTTGCTACGCCCGTAAGATCGTATAATAAGTAGCGGGCTGATAAGTTAGTAGCTACTACGCCTTTATCTTTTGTTGCATGGTAACACCCTTTGTGCCAGGCTTGACAAAGGGTCTTGTGCCGTGGCTGTGCTGAGATGGAGGGGTTTTTTTTTGCTTTGTGTTCCTTCAACCTGCGCCTCTTGTAAACCTGTACCTTGGCCTGTTGAGTTAGCAGTAGCATCCAGCCGTGGTTATGCTCTTGTTCTTCCAAAGCACTGATCGCTATTTTTTTTGGAAAAGCTCTTCATATTCTGTAAAACACTTTGACTACTTTTGGAAGAAACCTGCTACTCCTTGAGACACTGTGCTTCTCTGTTTTGCTTCACGGTGACATTATTAGATGTAATCGATATTCGCATCAACTGAGAAGTGTCCGTTGACAGCGATTAAGAGAGTGTATATCAACATTATCCTTGTTTCTGATCTTATGATGGAGGTCTGTTAAAAGTTTCTTGGTATTTGGAAGCTTAGGAGTAGACACCACGTTAGCAATATTTCAGGTCGCGCCCTGTTTGTAAATGATTGATTCATACGAGGGAAAGTCTCGAATAGAAGCCGTTGTACACAGGGTGCTGTGTAATGCAAGGAGTACAGATTTCCCAAGGAAAAACAACTTGGTGTTACTTTGGCTTTAAATGCGCTCATATGCTCCGGACAGTGTATGTGGCAGACATATTTAAAAGGTCTCACGCACACAAACTGACTAAAGGCGGGTGAAATACGTACTACTTGGCTCGAAGCACCCACTACGCTTTCCTGATAGTCCATATTTAGCAATTTCTAGGAGTAGACCACGATACCAAGCTTTTTTTTCATCCTTTTGCAGGTCTTTTAAATATACACTTTCTTTTATACGTATCCCAAAAGCTTAGTCAATAGCGATGACCTGGTACATTTCACGGAGGAGGCTTTTTCAAAAAGTACTTTTACTTGTTGCAATAGCTCTGACGTGCGTCATTGTCGTGTTGGCATTTAATTCATCCCTTTACCGCACCATTCCAGCCATCTTGCCACTCTTCAACTCGATCCCCGTCTATCGCAATCGCTGGATCTATACAACCCCTACAACCGTTCATCATCCCAACCAAGATAAATACAATGCCGCACTGGTTGCCTTTGTAGACAGTGATCACGCGTCCATTGGCAAATTGCGACGCACCATGCGCGACTTGGAAGATAACTTCAACCGCTACCACAATTATCCTTATATTATCTTTTCACCCGAGCTCTTAAATACCGAGTACAAGGAGCTTATTGCGTCCCTAACCAAAGGCGACGTTATGTTCTATGACGAAATCGACGAATATACGTATGGATACGCAAACGATACGGATCATGGACGAGCGGAAGTAGCGCGCAACAAGCTAAAGAACGTCGTGGTATATGGTGACGATGAGCATTATCGTTTTCGAGCACGTTTTATGGCTGGATTGATTTTCAGGTAAAACCAAGAAAAACGATATGGAGTGGATTGAGAAGAAAGAAAAAAGGGAAAGGGTTCAAAAATCAATTTTATACAAAATAGCTTATCATTTTTTTAAAACGTAGTCATCCTGCTTTGGAAAAAGTGGATTATTATTGGCGATTCGATCCAGGAACAGAATATACATGTCCGATCACCTTTGATCCATTCCAATATATGCACGAAAACAAGATTAAGCTATCATTCTCGGTTGCTCCGTACGAGCCGTTTGAAGCAATGCCGACGTTGTGTGATACTTTGGACAAATACCTAAAGGAAAATCCATCTAAAGAAACAAGTCTAAACGAGTTAATACGGAAGGAAAATGGCAAGTGCACCAGGTGTACATTATCCAGCAGTTTCCAGGCAAGCTTAATAAATGAGATTAATCTAATAACAATAGTTTTGATTTTTTGGATCTGTTGCTCTAACGTAATCATTTTATTGTAATGCTATGAAACAATAGATTGCTGATCTCAGCTTCTTCAAGAGCGAGCAGTATCGAGCATTTTTCGAACATATCGATAAAGCAAATGGTATCTTTTATGAGCGATGGTACGTGTCAAGGCATTTTTAAGAGATGATAAGTTAATTGGGAGAAAATGAGGGTTCTCAAGTACATCTTAATGATTGACTCATTGACATTCATATCTATCAGGAGCGATTCTGTTATCCAATCCCTAGCTGCTGGTCTGTTCCTCGAGGAAAAGGATATCCATCACTGGGAAAACATCGGTTATCAAGCCACACCCTATATATCCCACTGTCCACAAGACAAATCCCTCTGGCTCAAATGCAATTGCCGACCCGAGCACAACTTTGATACCGATCCTCTTAGCTGCCTTCCGAAATTTTCGGCAACGAAGAAGAAATTGTAGAAAAAAGAAACTATAAATAGAGGGGTGGGTGTTGTTTTTGTACGGTTGTGCGAACATGTACTAGAAATAATTTATAAACATGTACAGGAATATAATAATTTGCTATAGATGGGAACACTATTTTTCTGACTCTTCCATAAAACGTCAACTGGGGAAAAAGTGTGTTTCTGCTGGTTTTCTTCCTACTGCTGCTCCCCTTCGTCATTATCTTGCTGGTCGTCAACAAAGTCAATGCTGCTATTGGTACTGTTACGGTCAGCTGCGGTGCCCTTGGTGTTGTAGTCGTGCCGGCGCGGCATCACCTTTTTTACGCGGCCGCTACGGCTAGCGGTGACCTTGGTAATGAGCGTACCTACACATTATAATGATGATCCTCGTGCTGACATTTGGATAGATATTGACAGGTTAATAGGTAAGCTAAAGGCCCAGTAAAACAAAATACACTATCGTTTTTTACTGTAACATGCTTTGCTTAAAACCTTAACACTTATACAGAAGCGCCTCTACTATACTTCATATTTTACACATTCACAGCGCTACATAGAAAGGTTTTTCTCTCTTTGTATTTCTCTTTCTTACATTTTAAACCATCATAGATTTCTTCCATTTCTTGTTTTCCTCTACATAGATTTCCTTTGTCTCTCAATTGTTTTAACTTATACCGAATGCAGCTGTCAGCTTGATAACATACTTCTTCTTGACGTACATATTTACATAGTATGAACGTTTGCTGGGAAAATACTGTATCTATGGAAACTTTTTCATATTCTATGTAGAAATAGTATGGGATATCCTATATCAAGTAAGTCTACTACAGAATTCTTTGATTTATTAAAATCTGGCTGTGATCTATGAACAGGTTTGAACAGAAGATTTATAAGTAAGCACAAGAAATCAATGCTTCTTACGGGCACGACGGGTCCCACCTACATATGTAATCCAATTGACTTCTTACATAATACATACGCGCTGTGCTTCTCACGGGCATGACACCACCCAACTGCTTTGATACAAATAAAACAAGAGTGTCAGCTATGCTGCTCTGTGTAACATATCATTAGAGCTTGTCGTGCCCCGAACAAATTAGGAAATAACTTGTCGTGCCCGTATCAAATTCCTAACTATATATGCCATGATTATCCGTTGATATAGCCGTTTCCTTCATAGGACCGTGAACTCCATAACCGTCCTACATACAGAGCATACCGTTTTATTCCATTTCTTGCTAAACTGTGTCAAGACCGTGAGGAAGATGGAAGAGAATTCTTTTTATTTAACATATGCACTTTTGATTTTAAAGCATGCCGCAGGCATTGTACTACAGTCAGTAGTAAATATGACCAGCTACAGAAAGTACAGTCACTCTGCAAGTCATTACAACAACCTCCGCCGTGACCGAAGTCTTCAGGGCCCAGCGCCCCACGAAGCGGTACATCGGTGTGTGTGGCTTGTCAAAAAGTTCCAACTCTTGCATATCCGACGATCAACTACTACTTCTTTTCCATTAAAGCTTTTCTGTGTCGATGGAGGTCCACCGTTGTCGATTTGTCGAATACCAACCAGCAGCCATCAATGCGCTCGACTTTACTCCGCCAACAGTCAAAGACACACGTCTAGCGGTCGGTCGCGCAGACGGTAGCATTGAAATTTGGGATCCGCGCAACAACTTTCAATTTCACAAAGTCATTCCCGGTGGCAAAGATCTGTCGGTGGAAAGTTTGGTCTGGGCACACCAATCGGTTGTGTCAAACGTATTAGACGACGATGACGATGAAGACGAGGAGGTTTCAGAAGAAGAACGTAAAGCTGAATTAACGAAATTGTTGACACAATCGCCGCGTTTGTTCTCGTCAGGTTTGAGTCCTTATATTGTTGAATGGGATACAGTGTCGCTTACTGTCAAGGTAAATGTCACGATTGATCGATCGAAGCATGGGATGCGCCAAGTGGAGAGAGAAAGTAGTATATATATGCATGCTAACATGTTTATACAAATATTTGAAAAGGGGACTGTGGATTCAAATGGTGGTGCAGTATGGTGTCTTGCTGTCAATAGCACGGGTACCCGGTTAGCAGCTGGATGTGAAGATGGACGTATTCGATTATTTGATATTGAAGATGGTCGCTTGGAATATATGCGAAGTTTCGCTCCACAAAACGGTTAGTTGAACTAGGGGGGACGGGCATGTAGTATCTTTGGGCAAAGTATATTAATTTATGGAACATATATAAACATGTATAGGACGCGTGTTATCTATTGCATGGGGACCAGAAGATGATTATATTATCTCGGGTGGATCAGACAGTGCATTGCGCAAATGGAACGCTTACACAGGCGAAACACTTTTACGGATGACTGTAGATCGAGCCAATAATGAACCCACGCTCGTCTGGTCCGTTGCTGCACTAAAGTAAGTTTGTGGATAAAATGTACGAGAGGTAAACAAAAAGGAGTACTAAACGTCGCTTGTTGCATTATGACACACCAAAAATTAGGGACAACACATTGGTATCTGGCGATTCACTAGGCAACCTGATGTTCTGGAATGGTGAACGAGGCACAATGAAGCAAACGATCAAAGCACATGCCGCTGATATCCTGACCTTGACGGCAAACCAAGACGGCACCGTGGTTGTGACATCAGGCGTTGACTGCAAAATCATGATGTTTCAAAAGGTCGAGGGCAACAACAACAACAGCAGTAAAACCGGTAAAAACAAAAAGAAGGGCGGCAGTGGTACCAAAGGAACATGGGCCAATGTGCAGCGACGCAGAAACCATTGGCACGATGTCCGTGCACTTGCTATTGATGACAAGAACAGCATCATCGTCTCTGGTGGTGTCGATGTGGGTATGGTCGCTGGTGTCGGTGGGCCATTATTCATTGAGCGTCTCATCCAGGTGGCTCCTTTCCCTGGAAAATACATTGTCTCCATGGCAAAATCACAGAATCTCGTCATGGCTACATTCTTCAATTCGATATCCTTGTGGCGTTTAGGAAGAGGTAAAATATAAAATGTGTGTATTAAAAGAGATAAGGAAAGTGGATGCTAACATATCTGATTGTCATTTCAGCTGAAGATATTGACGTATCGCCCTCAGATAACGTGGCATTACCTGAACTTTTGGAACAGCATCAGCAATGCTTGGAACTTCAGCTCAAGCCAGACTGCAATATCACCTCAAGTAGTTTGTCAGATGACGGTCAATGGATTGTTGCAGCAGACGTTGAAACCGTTAGATTGTTCCAGGTTCATAAAGTTGTAAGCATCCGTCAGAAAAGTTGTGTATGAGGAAAAAGGGGATATTAGGGCGTCGATAATCATGGAGTGTTTGACTATGTTAGTGCATGCGCTGACCTGCATATATACTTTGGTACGTCGTACACATATTTTAGGGAGATAGTGGACAACTGGCTGTCAAGAAGATGCGTACATTTGACCAAGCTTTGGCACGATACCTCGCTACCAACGATATTGCAGCTGGCGCACACCATGTTCTCTTCACGCCCGGATCCAACAGACTTGTTATTGTAACTGCCGAATCACGCATTTTGGTCATAGACATGTTGCATTGGCAAGAAGGCAATTTTGATGTTTTGCGAGAATTCGGTCATCATCGTGGATTGGATAGCGAAGATCGACAAACCAAGAACTCAAAGGTAGCTACTGTTGTCTCTATAACCGCCAGCTCGGATGGTCAATGGCTAGCCACTGGCGACGATGCCAACCGTATTCATGTATTCAACCTAGACAGTCTCAAGGTAACAACATATCTTCTTTCAATTGCTCTGTCATGTATTTGAGATGTCTGTGTGTGTGTGCTAATATAAAGAAAATGAATCATCACCGTTAGCATCACATCGAATTACCGCATTCATACTACTCTCATACTGCACTTTCATTCAACGATTTCCGGCCGAACGAGCTGTTCGTCGGTTTGGCTAATAACGAATTCCACATTTACAACGTCGAAAAGAACCGATTAACAAACTGGTCCAAGGCCCACACTGATTTTGCTGGCTCTCCGTTGGAGCAGATCCGAGACTCTATCAAGGGCGTTGCATACAATCCTGCTGAGCCAAAGCAAATGCTGGTTTATGGAAACACATACATGTGTTTGGTTCAACTGACAAACAACAAAGAAGCATCATCATCATTACCATCATCAACAACAGCATTAGATAAGCAACGACAACAGCAACAACAGCAGCATAAACGAAAACGTGAAGCACCAGGTGCAGCAGCACCTTTACAGCAGCATCAACCCAAATCACCAATACAAATGCAAGTATCACAACGCTATCAACAAATCCTGTCTGCAGGATTCAAGGGCGATAATTCATTGGTCTTGATTGAACGACCAAGATTCAGTGTTCTTGAAAAGCTACCTCCATCTTTCTACAAGTCTCGTTATGCCGCATAATCTTATTACTCTCGATCTCTCGCTTTCCATAGAGAGAAGAAAGCGACTCCAATAAAATTTTGTACAATAATTTATCAAAGAAAAATTTGGATGTCACCAAACCTGTAGCAATCTTTAGTATCGTGGCCGTTGCTACGAAAGAGGAAGCATGTAGCTTTGGGAGGCGGTAAAGTGTAAAAGGTCGATTTAACAAAGAGAGCGGACCTAGGCGGGCGGGCGCTTTCCAAATCGAGTTTGCTTAACCAAGTCACAACGAGCCAAAGAACGCACACCTCAATGAATTTCGCGACAGGCGCGTTACTGTAGCTTTTCTTCTCTCCACTACAGCTTTGAATGGGTACCGTATACTGTTTTCTCCATTAAAGGCTCTGTCACACCTTTATTGCAACAATGCTAACCGCTGATCATTCTTTATCTTTGTGCATCAATTGTTATCCTTCTGATCCGTTACGATCTTATAATAATTATCGCTTTTTTTTGGTATATTAAAAAAAAGCGTTCAACTTTAGTAACAGCTCTAATCAGCAGCAAGGTACCACTGGCTTTGGTGGTGGTGGTGGCTTTGGTTCGGCAACGAGTAAGCTTAGCATTTTTCTTTTCTATTGGACGTGCACAAAAACTTCAGAGGGCATCCATTGTTGCTAGAAGAAAAAGAAAACTGATTTCGATTAATGTCAAATTAGACACCGGTGGTGGCGGCTTTGGTGCATTTGGCGGCCAATCTGCAGCACCCGCACCTACAGCCGGCGCTGCGCCAGCTGCTGGTGGCAGTCTTTTCGGTGGTGGCGCTCCTGCTGCTGCACCAGGTGGTTTCGGTGGTGGTGCTCCTACTGCTGCACCAGGTGGTTTTGGTGGTGGTGCTCCTACTGCTGCACCAGGTGGTTTTGGTGCTGCTGCTACCAACAAGCCAGCAACAGGTGGCTTTGGATTTGGAGCGTCTACTAGCACTCCAGGTAATGTAGATGTACAGCTTGATATTTTGATGAGAATGGCATAAATTGATCAACAAAAAACCGCGGCTGATTGTGTGTGTGTGTGGGTGTGTGAAATTTAGGCACAACAGGAGGATTTGGCGCAACATCGACACCGGCTGCTGGAGGTAGTCTGTTTGGAAGTGCAAGCACTGCAGCTCCAGCTGCTACTACTACTACTGGAGGATTCTCGTTCGGTGGCGGAACACCATCGGTAGGTGGATTTGGATCGGCTCCTGCTGCTACTACAACTACGCCCGCAGCACCAGCCGGTGGTAGTCTCTTTTCACTTGGTGGCAACACCCCTAAACCAGCTACACCAGCATTTGGATCAGCGGCCTCGACAGCTACACCAGCACCTGCCACAAGCGGTGGTTTCTCGTTCGGTGGAGGAGCTGCTGCAGCAGCAGCACCAAACACGACTTCCGCAACACCGGCTTCCGCACCTGCTACAGGAGGATTTGGCAATTTTGGATCACCAAAACCAGCAGGAACAACAACGACTGGAGGATTCAATTTGGGTGGAGCCGCAGCAACGCCTAAAACAACTGCCGCAGCTACTACGTCTGCTGCTGGAAGCACCGGCGGCTTTGGTGGTTTTGGCTTTGGAGGTGGTAATGCTGCCGCTGGTACTGCTGCAGGTAAGAAGGAATTCCTTTCATCAATAAAAACATGAAGGTTGACAGGGACGAGTGAATTTACTCTATGGCGGGGGAATGAATTTGTTTGCTAGCTTCAACAACATCTGCATCTACCACAACACCTGCTACGAGCGCACCCGGCCTGACCACAGCCGCTCCTACTCTTACTACACAGCCTACGGTATCAGCTCCTGCTGCTACAGCAGCAGCTGGATCAAGCTCACTCGCCGCACCCGCAGCAACAGCCCCCAAGCCTGTCACAGTACCCACACCATCAGCGCTTAAAAACAAAAGCATGGAAGAAATTTTAAATTCGTGGACGAAGGATTTGGAGAGATACACGCGTGATTTCCATAAACAAGCAGCACAAGTAGCAGAGTGGGATAAACAACTGATTGACAACGGAAATAAGGTAGCAATTTATGCACATACTCACTGTTTGTTAACCTCGTGGCCCAACTTTTAACCCCTTTTTTCCGAAATATGCTAGATCTCCAATTTGCATGAAGAAGTGACCAAAGTCGAAGTGCAGCAACAGGAAGTGGACCAGAACCTTGCATATATCAATTCCCAGCAAGACGATTTGAACAATATTCTCGATCAATACGAAAAGCAGATTTCGGATGTGGTGAATATCAGCGACATGCAACAGACGCCTCAGTTGGCCGATATCCAGCGCGATAAGGCATATGGATTGGCCGAAACGCTTAATGCTCAACTGGACGACGTGAACCGAAACTTGAATGTCATGATTGAGGAGATCAACGCCATGAGCGGATCGCAACATACCGAAGGTGCTGCTGAAGATGATACCGTAAGTCTGTCTTTTCTTTTCGATACATGCAATGTGTGTGTTACTGATAAAACTACTTTGATTTTTTAGGTTGGACAAATCGTCAAGATTCTGAACGTACACTTGTCATCCTTACAATGGATTGATACGACTACAATGAAACTACAGAACCGACTCCAGGAAGTCAGCAATTTGCAAGAGGAGGCATTGCGAACTCAAGAGCCTAGAATTCGAGGAGATTGAAAAAAAAAAGAAAGAGCTGACTCCCTCCCTCCCTTTCCCTTTCACTTCAGTTAGTATATTAGCAACCGTCGCTTATCCACGTATACACACGCACACACACACACACAGCAAATACTCACTCACCAACAACAACAACAACAACACACACATTACATAAAATACTATGGCATTCCCCTCCCCCCCCCCACCCCCTGACCCTACCGAGAAGAAGAAGAAGAAGAAGAAACAATGACACATTACATAATAACACAACGTACATATACAAATGAGAAAGACAGACGCGCCTTTTCTTGTTGATCACGAGAGCCAAGCAGTAACATGACTATTGATTTCCACTTGGCTGAGATTTGTTTGCATGCATGCTACGTAACACATCGGTCCTTTGCGTATCACTTCCTCATCGTCCCACATTTTTTTTTTACTTTTCTTTCTTTCTTTTAATCTTTATTTCTCAATCAAATACCCATGTCTTCTACTGAATACGGTGCCGTAAACACACAACAGCAGGGTGATGAAGAAGCCCCGCAAACGACTACCGTCAGAGGCGAGCAAACCCGATGGCAAAAATGCCGAAGCACGTTGGGCACACACGGCCATCGTATCTTTATTGCATGGTTTATTGTCATTGCCATCACCGCCGTCTTGACCCTATCGTTCCATTTCTCCTTGCTGCCATCCCATCACCCCGTGGACGACAATAACAATCCTGCCGCTTTAGTAGATGAACAGTGTGTGTCCGACCGCAGCTGGTTCCTGGCCCTGCTTCTCTCCGTCTTTTTCGGACCGTTCGGTGAGTTTTCAGCTAGTTTTACGCGACACTACACTTTTTGCTTGTATGTGTGTGAAGGAAAAAGGGCTAACAAAGCTGCTGCTGGTAGGTGTGGATCGATTCTATCTTGGATACATTCTTCTCGGTGTGCTCAAGCTGATCACTGCGGGTCTTGGCGGAATTTGGTGGGTTATCGACGTGGTCCTTATTGCTTTGAATGTCTTGAATGATCATCCCAACGGCTGTCACCTTCGTTAAGAGCATCCTCTTTTTTGTTTTTGTTAAACCTACTCGCTCGAGAAATAAAAGAAAAATGACAGTGTCATGTCTACCAAGATGTGTATATATCGGGAACGGGCTTGGCAAACCAATACATAGCCTGGCAAACATTTGTTGTTATGTAACGACGGCCAATGGTGAGTTGCACGCGGGTTTTTTGTACATTCAAAGATGTCACGTATGACAACAGGAAAAAAGCGCTGTACGACATCGGCTCCTCGTACTACTACGCTCCCTTTCCGAGCTTCTAGCCGAGGCATGCGTCGTCATCCCGTGTTTCCGATTGCTTCAAGTTCGTTTGCTTATTCAACCTCCTGCGTGTGTCCTTCAAGTTGCGTGCGCGCTCATCTACTTATATATACTGCCTCTAAGCCGCTTATAAAAGGTCTTACGAGAAGGTAAAAAAACAAAAATGCATTCTTCTTCAGAGAGAGTGTGTGTGGTAAAAGACACTTACCGAGTAACAACGCTGACCGACCAGACATATAAACCATGGCTTTATTAGCACCCGGCAGTATTATCTATCTTTGTTGTGGCGCGTACATGACGCGATATCTTTTATGCGTTTTATCTAGACGGTGCTGCATATGAAACACAGCGCAATGCAGGAGTATGTACCCTAACAATAAAATGTCACAATAAGCAGAAGAAGGACAACCACCTTTTCCCTTGCCTCCTACGGGACTCGTAGTATCCTCTTTGTGACCGTGGCGTCGCGTCTCCATTCTTATATTGTAAACGTGCACAATCGACTTACTGCTACAGCTGAAGAATATTTACATCGTCGAGGCCTCTGGAAGTCTACCTAACCAATAACGCTACTTTCGGTTGCTTAGGAGAAGGTCAACGCGTCAAGTGGATTGCCCGAACTTCTGCATCCCGACATTCAAGGGCAACGGCGGCGACATCCCTTTTCAACGGTATATGCCCTGGCACGTAGCAAATTATATCAGCAAAAATGACCACGCTCAATACTGATTTTAGCGTCCCACAAGCTTTATAAAGTTTACAGAAATCAATTCTGTTATCATTGAACCGGCAAAATTTATAATAAAAAGACTATGTATGTGGAAATCAAGAGAAATGACTGCATTGTTTCGCAAAGAAAACTGGTGGTAGTAGTGTATGAATAAACACAGCAGCACAGCATTACGGCTTATTACCCATTATGTATGCATATACATCATATGCTCCTCTTTTCTACTCTCGAGCAAATCTATTTTATTCTTGCAACAATAAAACAATGCAAGCAACTAGTTAAATTCGCTATTGTAACCTGTCTTTCTCTGTTATCGGTTGTTCTACTGCAAATCACTACTGCTATAGATCCATATGACTGCGTTTACATGTTCAACAAAAAGAGGTATGTTTAGTTTTACGGTAGATCATGAAACGTTTTTTCCGCTTCTTGAAGTGTCTACGACGAGGTGGTTGCTTCTTTTCCAGCTGTTGTCGACGACGAAGTTACTTCTTCTTTGTCCTTCTCCTCTTTTTCTTCGACGATGAATTTGTTTTTTTCTTTATCCTTCCCCTCTGTTACTTCTTCCATTGTCGACGACGAAGTTGCTTCTTCTTTATCCTTTTCCTCTGCTTCTTCGTTTTCTTCATCAGTGTGAATGTCGTCACTTTTGATTTCTCCCGCTTCATTGTAACGGTGCATACCGTTACGACGATATCCAGCCTGCATGGTTGACGATCGACAACGCATGGTTCAGACGATAGGATGACTTGCGGTCAACCGCATGGTTGAATATGGAGTAATAGGCGTGGATAATCTAGATAGAAGTATGATGTAGATCAATACTTAGACGATAACTAGCCCCCTATTACTCGACGTATATATAAAGACGGGATCCTGAGCTATATGGATCCCGATCGTTTTTCCCTTTGATTCATCCGAGTCTCACCTTATTTATTGATCCACACTGTCTACCCATTCACATTCCCGATTGTAAGTATCTGGGCCGACACTGTTACGTTCATCTTCTTGTATTTGTCGCTAAAAAGACCAAACTGTTGATAAAAATCCATATAGTCTCACCAGAAACTCAAAATATTATGCGTTACATACTTGATCTAGATGATATTCAGCTTGTCGGGTTTCGAGAGCGATTAATGCTTGATGTATTCCCTATACGTTTGAGTAACAGATACACGCAATATAGTTTAGAATGAAAAAGAATGGTGACTTTGGTATCATTGATCCTGTCTGCTGAAAAACATCTCATCGCCACTCATTCCCCCCCCCTCCGCCAATAGCAGCCAATAATTTGGACAATCACATATATTGCGATCGCTTCTGATGAAAAATGCTTACCTGAAGTTCGTCAGTGAGCATGTTACGCAGGTCCCTAACCAATTTATCGGTGTGCTCTCGCTGGTTGCCGAGAGTTGCGACAATTGCATCGGTGTGCACTCGCTGGTTGCCGAGAGTTTTGATAATGAACGTTTCAAGCTATCGGTAGTAAAAAAAAGGGACAATGACAAATTCTCGGGCTTGCTTTAGTCATACACTACTATACTGTCTATTCCAAAAGATTTCTCCACATCATAAAACCAATTCCATGCAAAAAGGGGAGCTTCTTGTTTACCTCTTCCGTTATTGTTAACGGTTCAATTCCTTCTATTGTATTATTTTGAGCACGGGCCGCCGAAGACGGTCCAGAAGCTGCTGCTGATGATGTGTCAATACCCGCACCAGGCGTAGTAGAGGAGGTTGCGGGAATGAGCAATGGCATTATTGTTCGTATTATTTCTGCTGTGCGTTGAAAAGCCGATAAAGCGTAAGAAATGGAGACATGGAACACGGCGAGAAAGAAAATGGACAAGGTAAAATAAGAAGCCAGGATGATGAACAGGATGAGAAATAAATGTTCGTGTTCTTGCATCTGGCGCTCTGCTCACATCATAGGGTTGGAGAAAAGTGTGGGTGAGGGTAAGGTGGGTAGTAAGCATTCGAGAAGGCGATCCCAAAAGGCGGATAGCGACCACACCGACGACGTTTTCATTTCACTGAAGCCAAAAATACTCATGAAGCTGATGACGTTGTAGTAGTTCTTTGGTGAGAGAGGGTAGACTTTACTTTTCAGATGTTGACTTGAACAGATCTCTTTATATAGTCTTCTTCCTACATGAATCTGCTCGAAAACAAGCGCGTAAATCATGTCGCTCATACATGTTGTGGCGGTCCCAGAATAGAAAGTTGTAATCCTTTCACTCAATGTTCCTCTTCTTCACTAAGACCTATCTTTTCGACCGCTATTGTTAGTGAGTAAAGAAACCCACAATTGGTGATAACGAGATTGGGGTAAAAAACAAGGCTTTTGTCATCTAAGTAAGATCGAGCCTGGCTGGGTTACTGTCGTACACACCAGCCTTTGCACAATTGTTCAATTTTTGCTGCTTCGGGATCATTGTATGTTATAGAAAATAACAATAAATACATTACAACAAAGAGCAAGAATCAGCAGTACACAGCGGAGGTAGCAGCCGAAGCTATCTCTATTTGTCTAACGATGCCATTCAGAACCATGATGGAGTGTGCTGCTGTCTTCATACCATATGCTTTGTCGCTCGATTTCGAAAGACGTGCATGTGGTGGGAAATTATGCAGCAGTCAACGTTTCCATGCTCCGCTTTCCTTGTATAAAGATCAGAATGAAGATAGTAGTGGCAAGAAGCATATGAATTTTATTTTGCTAAAAAGTAGAGTATAGAAGCACCATTTTTTTTATAAAAGATAAGAGTGTGCAGTGTTTGGGTCAGGGATTTTTGTTTTTTTGGATATTTTTTTGGTAGGCTCTCTGGCTCATTCGCTGTGGTTGCATTTACGGCAGGGTAAATAGCAATCACTTTGACATTGGATCAGGAAGAACTTTACAAATGATTTCCTGGGAGTTGTTCTCGTCGTTGTTAATGTCATAGAGGTAATGTATCAGCTTGGATCAGTTGACAGTAACGTACGTCAGTGAGGGTAGTTGAATAAAGAGATGTTATCGTTGGTGGCATACTGTAGAAGCATGAAAAAGGGAGATAAAAACAATTTCGAGATCGTTAATATGGCATCCAAACTGCGTGCTGATATGCTGGATTTTCACGTACTGTGCTTGCATTTGCTTCAATTATGCTTTGGTCCACTGAGTATAAATAACACAGAACATAGACGCACAATGTAGTTTATGGTTAAACTTTGAATGTTTAGAGAATCGACGACTCGTATGGCGTGCAAATGCTCGTGATAATGGTGATGGCGATGATGATCATATACTGACACACGACACATCTTTGAAAATGTAGATACATATATATATATACTTACCCATTAATAGAAGACCACAATTACCGATGCGGTCGATTACTTGAGCACTCTCTAAAAGTATAAGCGACAAATGAGAGAGATAGCACCAACGCAATCTTACAGACAGTTGCATAAAGCAAGCAATGTCATCCAGACGAGCAGTGATCTATGAAAACGTTCAGTACTTGTTCCGTCATCTAATTAAAGGCCCAGAGGCACTTCCAAAGCCCAAATGCCTTAACATTAAGGGACGAGAGCGTGCCAGCCTCATAATTGCCTCAAACGTCCATGCCTTAAGAAGCGGTAATGGTAGTGCGCTTTGAGAGTAAAGATTCCGCTGTTACTCGGAGTCGCCCGGAAAGATAACTCATTCCCCATGGGCGATTGAATCGATGAAGTTTCGCAGAGAGATATGTCATGGACGTCTCCCATCTTTGACTGTTCCGACAAGCTTCCTTGCGCGTTTTTGATACTAAAGTCCTCGCATAACTTCAATGGCGATAAGAAGGAAAAGCATGCTGTCTTTGCTCAATTTGACCTAAACATTTTGAATTAGCCGTGTAAAAAGACGAGACTAGTGTGTACATGTAGTCTAGAACGTGCACATTGCAAAGGGAAATAACGTCAGGTTGAATGCAATTGCTTTGGGAGATGAACGACGCGTTGCTCGGTGTGTCCAGTGTGCTTGTGTAACCTGGCATGACCTGCGTTGACAGGTGACGCTGTCAACTTTTTTTTTTGGGTGGGTGGTCAGGGTGTCCCTGCACAAGCTGTTTGTACCTTGCCACCCCAATGATAGGTACGAACAGGGGAAGCAATAATAGCTCGTAACATAGATACAAATAAGCACAGAGAGAACGACAATGGTACTACTGTACGCTTCTTAAATGGACGCCAACGTCATTGTCTATCGAGTACATTTTAGACATTTGCTGCTTGCTAGTCAGTACGTTCTTTACTCATGGTCTTTTTCAAGGCAAAAAAATGCAGTGGCATGTATCCCACATATGGTACGTAGGCCCTGACTGGATCAGCTTACGCAATATCGCATATCATAACCTCTATTTGCATATTGCAGTGCTTGGACATAATCTTTGCTCGTTTCGCATCGGATCGCCTGGTTTTTTTGTGGCTCGCCAAGCTTGTTGCGGTTTGTTGGCAACATTGTTTTGATGTGCTGAGAATACATAGTGCGTAGCATATAGCAGTTTCCTACCTGAGTGGCGGGATGTTTTACGTCTGCTTTCCAAAGATTGCTTAGTTTGGTTGTAGATAAACCGCATTTTGTCTATTGATATTTCCATTTCTACTCATGCGTTTCCATTGATGCTGCATTAATGAGAAAAAAAACAGCGACGCAAACATTTCCAAAACAGCTAGAAATACATTTACTAAGACACATCAATGTGGTATAAGTTAGAATTAAATAATCATACAGACTTTTTAAAAAAAATTGTCATAAAGGATGCTGATAGTTGACGAGCTCTTCAGAAGTATTAGAAATTTTGGAAAAATCGATGTTCTCTGTAACTATTTGTTTACAGTCTGTTGTTGTTACCACTACCTGGGAAAGATGCGACAAGCATATACAGTAGCAGCTCAGTCGCAGTAATACAACAAAGCTGCGAACATGTACCCCATACGCAGCAATCCCTGACCTGTTTGGGCTGACCTTGTGTAACAGTCTCTCAGATTAATGTCATCACTATACACAGTGAGCTATTTCTGCTCAGCACGCTGAATGATACCATGCTGTGATGTCCACTTGTACACTTTTTTACAAGGTGGGAATAATCAATGAAGTTTTCTGATCGATGCCCTCAAATATTGGCTGTTACCTTGGCTGTGTTCAGGCTACTATTTTCATACTACTAGATAGCATAGGAGTGAGCAGGTAAATTCTTTACCATGTGGTAAAATGTGCAGCACAAGTTGGTTGAGGATGATAAAGTAAGAGTAGCTTAGGATTTGACTTTGAGACGACAGGATCGGCAAGTGTATGATATAATAATAGTAACAGAAATTAAGCGGATCAACACTTGTTTCAAATTTAGTAAATAGGTCACCACAGCCAAGGGTACACGCTGAGCAACCTATTACTGACATAAATGGAAACTCCCCTTTTGGGCGTTTATGGGCCGAGGGAAACTTTTGTTAAAACATACAAAAAGCGTGGATCAGGAAACACTCTCCATCCGTCAAAACACTTCTATCAACCATCACAATGTTTTTTTCGAAAAAGAACGGCAAGGATACGTTGGCAAACAAGAACCCCTCCTCCTCTGTGAGCAGTAACCCTGGAAACTACCAAAGTACCTCAGAAGCTCACTTAAACATGGATCAGCAAGACCAACGAGACACCAATGGCTCCACCACGATTACAATCACTACCAATGCTGACGACAAAGACAAGACGGATGAAGTATCACGACTCGTTCCTGGCGGCAAGTTTCCAAACCAAGGCAAGGCTATACTTCGCTCATTCTTATCTTTGGTGCTTATGCTGACGATCCAAGTCGGTATTCCGTTGGCATTGTACTACGGTTTGCGGAACACAATCGGCATCGTGTACGCTTTGGTGATTTCTGGCATTCCTCCATTCCTCTATGTTATTTTCGGTTTCATACGGAAGAGAACTATCGACGTGCTTGGTTGTATTATTGGTCTTTCTTTCATATTGTCTGGTGTGGTCTCCATTGTCAGCGGTAAGTCACTGGTATCTCTTTTTAAACGAAAAGTGATAGTTGAGTCTCTGTGTGATATAGGCGTAACAATCTCATGCGATACCTTTATCCTTACTTCTTCCTAGGTGACGCGCGTGCAGCACTCATACGTGATTCCGCCGTCAGCGCTGTTATTGGTCTCATGTTTTTACTTTCGTTGATACCAATTCACACGAAATGGCTTGATATTCGTCCGCTCACCTATATCATGGGTCTGCAAATGACGACTAAACTCAAATTTCAGTGGACCGACCGTGATGGAAACAAGCAAGAGCAGCCTGTTTTGGAATGGCAGTGGGAGCACATTCGGTACTTCCGGATCAGCATGTATACTCAGTCAGCGATATGGGGTATCGTGCTTATCTTGGAACTAATGGCGTGTGTATTGATGGTCGAGGCATCGGATCTATCCGTTGATGACATTGTTATGTACAACAACATCCTTACCTCGGTCGTTGTCGGTATTATGATTACTGCGAGTATATTAGCAGGAATGTACGGGAACAAGTTTATAAAGCGAATTGGAACGGCATGGACTGCGGAAAACGACTTTACGGAGAAGTTTGAGCAGCAGCAGCAGGATCAGATCAACCGCGATGAAGAGCGGGTGGCAAACTTGGTATAATACAGGCCATATGCAAGCTTCCTATGTTCAAAGCTCCTCTTATTGTATATGTACATACAGTCTGCTTCCCTATCAATTACCCTCAATTATTTTTGCATTAAAAAAACAGCGCATTATTATTATCTCTCTTTTATGATATACAAATATTAATAAAGTACACTCATAGATTCATATAGCAATATCTCTACAATCCAGCTTAGTTTCATATGTTAACGTGCTGATATCCTGCATGGTGAATCTTTCTAGCTACGCCTAACGGATAAATTAATGGTATGGGACTCGTCGGAAATCAAAAAGATCCGTTTTCTTCGTGTCAGGTGCTGCCTTCCATCATCGATTGTCATGTGCTGTTAACCTATCACTTGTCCTACCACTTGTCCTATCGACTGAACGTTTGATTCACTATCTCCATTGATTCTGAGAGCTAAAAGAGTCACGTATATACAAAGGTCAATCTGCTGTTTGATTTGGCATCTTTTTCGATCCAAGTGTACGTACCAGAGTCGAAACAGCCCGCCAGAATAGTCATGACACTTATCATCGTGAGAAAAAAGAATTTTCATCTGCTTAATTGACACTGCAACTGTTTCTACAGTACAATAATAGTAATACCCATCAGTTTTTATGCTACTAATATGTTTATAGCAATTATACACGTATACCGACTGTTCGGTCAAAAGGAACGTGTGTATGCAGAATTGATGTTAGCATCTGAAATTCATAAGCATGAGTGCTTCGTCGGAATTCAACAGCCGGCATTTTGGGGGGGGGAGATATTGTGCTGTGCTGTGGTTTGACAGTTAAGTGAAACACATACAGGCTTTTTCTTTCCACTACCCAACCAGCTTCGACCTTCGAACCTTGACAACAACAATCCTCTCTGCATTCACTCGCCGTTGTTTCAAAACCATCGCTATGAGCGGTATTAACGTACTAATCTACACCGGCAATGGAACCTCGCCCAATTCTGTTCGCCATACACAAAACACCCTGAAATCGTTGTTGGGTCATGCTTACGATGTCGTGCCCGTTGATGCCAAAACGTTGCGTCAGGAGCCTTGGGAAGGAACTTGTGCCTTGCTTGTCGTTCCTGGTGGACGAGACTTGCCCTACTGCAACGATTTGAATGGCGTTGCCACTAGTCGTATCAAGCAATACGTTCGCTGCGGCGGTCGATACCTTGGCCTGTGTGCAGGTGGCTACTTTGGTTCGAGCACTATTGAATTTGAGCAAGACCGAAAAGATATGCAAGTCTGTGGCAAACGTGAGCTCGAGTTTTTCCCTGGACTCTGTCGTGGCACTGTATACCCTGGTTTTGTCTACGAAAGCGAACAAGGTGCTCGCAGTACTGCGATAAGGCTTGTCAACGAGCATTTGCAGCCTTACTACCCCTCAGATTCGCTCGTTCCAAAATCAATTGACATGTATTACAACGGAGGTGGCTACTTTGCCCATGCGGACCAATATCCCAACGTTCAAGTACTCGGTCGCTTTGTGGATGCAGGCATCTGCAAGGACGAGGACTATCCGGCAGCAGCAGTCCATTGCACTATCGGCGACGGCTCAGCGGTCCTGATCTCGACACATCCTGAATATGATATGTCGCTACTGGAACAGCCAGACATGAGCAGTGAAATGTTGGCAGAGTTACAACGTTCGGAACCGGACAGAAAGGCGTTCTTGCGTGCAGTGTTTGCGAAAATGGGCTTGAAAGTGGTTGGATTTGCCAAGGGTCAAGTTGATGAAATCAAGGTTCCAGACCTGACACCAGTCTATTTGACCGCCCTCAAAGGTCAGATTGCACACACCATTGCTACGGAGCTGCAGGCTGAGGCAAAGGACTCGGTGATTACGGATTCCAACGATACGTTCCTGCTTTCGAGTTCGAGCGATGATCCAGTATTGAAAAAGCTGGCGGCGTTGACCGTGGATGATGAGGACAGGCCCAAGCCAATAGAAATTCGAATCCCTGATTTTTCATCAGATCCAGCTTGTCCCGAGCGTTCGCTTACCCCACATTTCGATATCAAAGCTTACTATGATGCGCTGCTTGCTCGCCGCGATCAAGAGTGGGGTGGTGGAAGGTGGTATCTTTTTGGCAATGCACTGATGTATACAGAAGTCATCAATAGCACGCAGACCATTTTAGACAAGTATGTATCAGAAAAGCGAATATGCGGATGTAATACAGTAAGCTAACTTCAGCGTCTACGCTCAAGGAACTACAATTTTGCTCAAAAGCTACCAACCGGCCTTGTGTGTACTGCAACAACACAGCTGGCTGCTCGAGGTAACCATTTTGTTTGACTGCTTTGCATTAACTGAAATAATATTAATCGATCCGTTAAAATAGCCCGTGCTCGTAACTCGTGGGTGTCGCAATTGGGTGCTCTCCAGTTCAGCTATATACTGCGACATAGCCTCAAGCTTTCTCATGCACCAGTTGTGTTCCTTCAGTATATTATTGCACTTGCCGTCGTGGAAAGCGTTCGAAGCCGTAAAGGATATGAAGGAGTCCCTCTTCGTGTCAAGTGGCCGAACGACGTCTATGCCGAGGATGGAGATCAGCTGAAGAAGGTTGGAGGAATACTTGTGAATTCGAGCTTTGTTCAAGACGAGTTTTTGATAGTCATTGGTAAGCATTTGGTGATCTACGCCAGCTCTATATTTTCTAAACCATCGATTTCCATTAGGGTGCGGTATCAACGTTTCCAACCCACGCCCAACGGTCTCCATAAACGATGTAATTCAGGCACACAATCCCTCTCTTCCTAGAATCTCGCCAGAAGACATGCTCGCCGGAATTTTGGTTCTTTTTGAGAGATTTTACTCAGAATTTTGCGAAAAGGGCATGGGTTCTTGGTTTTTGGACCTATACTATAAGCGGTGGTTGCATAGGTGAGTTTGAGTTGTGATGCGCGATGCATGAAAGGAAGGTTATGAGCTAATTAGTTGAAAAATTTATAATACGATAGCGATAAGGTCGTTACGCTAACAACACATGATAATGTGCGTGTCAGGATTACTGGCATTACCAGTGACTGGGGTATGCTTGAAGCTGTTGCAGTAGAGGGAGGAAAGCGCTTCACACTGCAACCTGATGGCAACAGCTTTGACATGCTGAAGGGTCTCATTATGAAAAAAATGTAAAAAGAAAAGCTTTATTGTACTAGTATTTGTACCTGTATTTCGATTTTTATTATTTACCATACCAACAAGAAGATTGACTGTCATATCGGTTGTTCAGTGTTCAAAATTCGTATCAAATGACTTTCTTTGCCACTCTTCTTCAAACTGGATCTTCAACGAAACTATGTGGTATGTCTTGCACATCCTACAAGTTTGGAAAAGAAGGCTACTACAATTGTATTATAGATTATTTCAAGGAAGAGAGATTACAACGAAGGAATTTGCTTTTGCTCGATTATAAATTATAAAAGTCCAGCTCGGAAAAAAGAGGGTCGAAGTAATTGTAAACGAGCTATACATAGAGCATAAAGATGTGTATTTAAAGCTCCATATTCGCGCACTTCAAACATCCTGTTACAAATCCAGCGCCTTCTGAGGATCATAATTGTAAGTTCTACAATAATAAGAGAGGTCAGTGAAACCATGACTCATACATGCTGCATTATAAAAGGGGAGATAGCGTACAGGGTACCTGCTAATCAATTGTCTTTTAAAACCTCTCAAAACCATCGTAGCAGCAATGCTCGAATGATGATATTCTATCACCATCGTCTCTGATACTGCATCGTGCACTGTCGAAAAAGTATGTTCCTCCCAAGTCGTTGCAGCAGAACTTTGTGTCTTTCTCGTCACCGCATTTGCAAGTCGTTTGTTGTCCGGCGGAAGCAATTGATGATACCACAGCAACAACGAGCAAGGCAATTAGTGAGAACCGACTGGTCACCATTGTGATTGTACTGTAAAGTTGATAGAGTGGAAGAAGAAAAGAGATTATCGAGAGAAATTCTCGCATCTCTCATTGGTATTTATTACATGTGCCTTTGGAGAAACAAATGCAACCCAGGCTTGTATAAAGGAGTATCCACATAAGCAACGTACGCTGCAGGGCGATGATTCTTATGCCTGAACATGGTTGCATCCTAACCCAAACACGGGGTAAATCTTTTTTCGAGTGCGGGATATATCTTAATCTCCTTCCCTTCCTCTTCTTTAGCTTGTCTGTCTGTATCAACATCTTACTTTTTCTTACTGATATTTCCTCCTTTTTCACTTTGATGATGTATGTTAGTTTAGTGGCAACAAGAGCAGGAAAGCTTATAGGGAGAAGCCGTCTTCCCCGATTGTAAAGCGAGAGTTATCTCTGTGTTAATACTCAGTATCTTTTGGGAATAATCCAGTACGGTAGTGTAAGATGTTTTAACATTGTGATGCAGTAAACTCGGCGATAGTGGGTTCATCGTTAAATGATTGATTGCTACTACAAGAACCACCACGTGCTTTTATATCCTACTTTCCATTTGTTATGAAGAAGAAACTCCCTCCCTTTCACTATTAGAATTGACATATAAATAACGAGGGGATCCAGTAGCTGCATCGCCATTTAAAACAAGTTGATGGAGGATGTTCCGAGTCAGGCTTTGTTACCTATCCCCAAAAGTCTTGCGCGACTACTATTCGTCGTGATTTTACTAATGCAGCAGTATAGTATGGAATTCTCTGCACATCAACATCACTATTAGGGAAAATGCGGGCTGCGTAACGATAATGCTCGAGGAGTAACTTTGTGGCAGAAGAGGAAGGAAAGCTTTTTTTTACTATGCTCTCCATAACTTTATCTTTTAAGAGTTAAGAGCACCTGCAGCAGTCGCTGTTAAGAACCTGTTATGTTAAATTTAACAGTTTATTTAACAGCCAGACCTTGCAGCGGTTGCTGTTAACGTCCTGTTAATATTTAACAGCCTGTTAAATTTAACAGTTTCTTGAATTGAAAAAAAGGACTTGAAAAATAAAGTTATATCTCACTTCATTCTCTGTTTCTATTCTTCAAAATGGACAACACTAGTTCTAACGCCACTCCCCCTTCTGACGTTTCTGCCGCTGCCGCCCTGCGCAAGAGAAAGGGCAAAGATTTTATTTGAACCAACGACGTGTGAAATTACAGCTTCGTAACAGTAACCGCTGCACGAATGCCCTGTTAAGTTGTTACGCACTGAGCGGGCTGTTAGTTCTAAAATTTAACAGTTTCGTAACAGCGACCGCTGCGGGTGCTCGAGTAAGTGTCTGTCGTATTAAAATGACAAGAATTCTTTAGGTTTTTTCATAACACCTACTATTGACTTTACACAGAAAAACTAAGATAGGAATGTAGAAGGGGGTTTTTTTTTCGAAGGGTGGTGCTGCTTCTTACACTTGAAAATATTTCTGTACAATGCTTTAGAGCTCAACAGGCCGATCAAGATCACAGTTGCGCAAAGGATGACGATAAGCTTACATATTGATGTGCTTCTTATCCTCTTCTTCATCGAAAAGAATAATCAATGTTTTCTAATACTGATATGTACATATCGCTTATGATTCCGACTTTGAAACATTGTTATGATGAGTGGTTAAGGAGTGGTGTGATATTACTATTATAACGATAATTGATACAGTGTGGTACCGCAGAGTGACGGCTAGACTTTGGATGCGACGGAAATGAAGTGAGAATTGAAGGAAAAAGGCAATTTATGAGCCTCAATCAAGGCTATTTCTGATGGGAGTTCAAGAATCGGGAATGTTTACGTCCGAAAAATCACTAAAAAATATTCTTGACTGTGAAGAAATGTTGAAAAAGAAAAGGATGAGATATGAACTGAAGAGATATTGATAGAATAGATGAAGGCTTGTCTCTAGCTATGGGATTATTGGGTTGCTAATGATAAAGGGATGAAAGCTCTTGCTAATGCGGCAAAAGCATTTACTAATACGGTGGAAGCATTTGCTAATACGGTGGAAGCATTTGCTAATACGGTGGAAGCATTTACTAAGGCGGCGGAAGCATTTGCTAATACGGTGGAAGCGTTTACTAAGGCGGCGAAAGCACTTGCCGTGTGGCATTGGTGACTGACCCAATGAGGGTGTGAGAGAGATTGTATTTGGTATGATGATGTGAAGTAAAGGTTTTTAAAATGAGGCACAAATTTGCACTAAGACAGAATAGAGGACGTGTCATCTACCAATCTCACTTGTTCAACAATCTATCTCTTATCATTTTTACACGTCACTGTCATGAAGTACGTTGTATATGAAGATCTACAATTAGGCATACAACATCCGGCAACTGTAGGTTATTTTGACCGTCTTTCTTAAATTATCGGAAAGTATTTTTTCCAAACACACTGCTATTAAAGCAATCAGCGAAAAAATTAGCTCTTGTTACATATCATTTTATCCTCGCTGCAGTAGTGGCATTTGGTATATAGCAGCAAGCTTACATCAGTTAGAGAAAATGTTGTAAACTATATTTTATCATATTAGATAACGCTCACACTAATACATACATCCCCCTTTTTCCAATCCTTTGCTGTCTTTAGAAGGGAACTGATAGATTGCTCTGAAATAGTCATATTCGGTTGTATGCGATATGCTTCAACAAAATTTCTTCCACATAATGACTCGCTCTTAGCAGGTGGATAATCTAGTAACAAGCTTTTGAGAATAGATCAACTGCCATATGAAAATGTGAATTAACACTAATAAATCATATTTTACGAGTGCTATATACTATGTCAGCACTGTCTGCAGGATCTTATAGAACGACCTCTCATGCATTATGGGAACATTCCCTCATCCATCCTAATAGAATTGTTGTATTGCGTCCTCAAAGTTTTGTCACTTTGAAATTTATGAAGCTATAAGCCTGATGCTATCAGACTTAAAAAATGCTTTGACGTAACAACACAACATTTATGCATGTAGTTGTCCCTCCATTACTGTCAGCTATGTGTAGGAAAGAAGCAGGGTAGGATTACAACTATGAGAATTCCAAGGACTACTTGTAATGCCAAAGTACTGACTACTTCTCCGGATGCAATTTTACTGCCATCTTATCAACTCACTGTCTTGCAGAATACATGTATTGTTGTAGTAGCACAAGTAGTAATAGCTCTAGTTGGAAGGATGTTTGTATTGTTAGTTCAAACTTTCGATTGCTGCATAGCAACAATGTTTTTTATTCTTGCCCGGTCAAGGCATTGGAGTGATTTGTTTGAAAATAAAATTGTGAGGGTATTTTCCTATACTAGAGCATAGCGCACTGAACTTTACAGAGTCGCGCTCTTGCTTAACTACGAGAAAAGCGATTGCTACAATCCTGGGTTGTGAGTATCATTGATCAGATCAATGCAGCAATCCATCACGTTGCTGTAATAACTTACAGCAACTTGCTGCCCATGACGACGTACTCAATATAAAGGTGTTGATAAGATGAAAAAGAGATAAACTGGAAATGTGAGGAGCGTCATCACTTGTATGATTTAGCATCTTTATGACTACGTAGTTGCGGCAAGTTAATCCATAATATGCTCTCGCGCTCTGTGTGGAAAATTTATGAGGCAATTTTAAAAGATATCTTGATAGCAAAGGAAGAGGTAAACTTACTTTGAAGTCAACTGATGATATATACATCTGATATTGGAGCTTATTAGCCACTGCTAAAGCTGCGGTATACAAAGAATGAACTTGATGTAAAGCAAAAACCATTTAAACACGGCTATTTACACCGAGCTATCACTATTCGAGCTAGAATCATAAGCGGCCCTTCCTTCTAAAGTTCATCTATCACCACTAACACTCTGTAGTAAAATTATGGATGATCGATACCAGCTCTTAAAAATCACAAAGAGCATATTGGTGCTCATCATCGTTGATAAATCGAGTGATAACTGGAATAAAAACGAGCCTCTCAAGACCGTTAAATGGTGACGATTCGTTTTTCAAAGCAATTTGTCAGTAATGTATTCACCACACTCCTTTTTCCTTCGATTCGGTTACAATGAGATATTTGACTTCTGCCGACTATTGTAAATCAAAGATTAGAGCGACGGTTATTATGCTTCGTTAGCAAGCGAATTTAATGCTCATATTATTTGAAATAAGTTAGTACTATAGCGTGACGATCGAACGGCAATCGGTTGCAGCGGGCCTGGATGGCTTTTCGTTTTGCTTGGGATAATACTGGATTAAGCGTCGTCTTTTCATGTTTTTCTGCTTTTTAGTGCTCGACTCTGCTTGTGGACTATTAACAGAAGTCATACTATTGTTTGTATTCGTTGTTAGCATGCAAGTCGAATACCGGGAAACATATGAAAGAAAGAAAAAAGTCGAATTCAAGTGGTTATATCAGTAACACTGTCTCGGTTGTCCGCTTACTTCAAGTATCTTAGCAAAGTAACCGTGGCAAAGAGTCCAACAGGTTTTTCTCGCTATGGTACTGTTGACTGCTGCTGCTGCTTTTTGGCTTTCGTGGTCTGTAAGTTACAACAGTGGGTTGCTGATTGTAATAACGAGTAGTAGTGGTGCCAAAGAAATACTAGTAGCGTTATTGTATCCTTATGGAAAGGTATAATGGTGATATTTGGACTTTTTTGTCTTGTCTTCAACGAAGAAAAAGAGAAGAAAAAGAGGAAACAGAAGCAGCAGAAAGGTGAACAAGGTTACCCTCGTCCTTCCTCTCTTTCTCTCTACGATCACACCTTATCAGATTACATGCCTCGGATACGTGCGGAACGATCGAGCAACTCCGGAAAAACGATTGCTGCTTTTCTTTTACTAGCGACTTTTTGCCCGATCGAAGTTTCTCTCTCTCTCTATTTCTCGTTTCTCGCGTTTACCAAAACTTAAGAATTCATCCGATGCAATGTACAGTGGAGCTTTTTTGGTAATCATTTCTAGTACGAATATATATAGAAAGAGGTGTAGATTATACCATAAATACAAAAGAGTCTGCTGCTGCAGAAGAGAAACAAACGCATCAAATAGCGATTGCCTTTGCTGTTGGGCAAGACCGAGAAGGGGACAAGGTCATTCCAATTTTCAGTACAGCGTACTAATCAACTACTGGCAGCCATTAGCGAGTCGAATAAGTGATATGAGCGTTGAAGAAGATGGTTTTCACTCGAAACTAGTGCTAGGGTGCGCTGCCCATGAGGACCTTCCTGTTGGAGCCCACCCGCCATCCCCCCGCCCCTCTCGGGGGTCGTCTTGCTCTTTCTCACTTAGTATTTTCTATATTACACAAAGTGCATCGGATAAGAGACGGAGAGAAACAGACACGCCCTCGTTGAATGCAATACTTAAAATAAACAGCCGTCTTGAAATGGTTTTTTGGGGGGTTAGAAGCCCAAACAGATTGAGTTTACTGCAAAGAAAGTGTCGCATGCAGTGAGGACATGACACAACGAATACCGGTCTGAGCCTTTTATAATATATATTCTCTTTTCAACACCTTATGTGGATGCTGAGAAGTTTTCTTTTCGGTTTTATTTGCACAGTTTTCCGCGGTTGCCTAAAACGAGAAGCCAATGTACCAAACTGGAAAAAGGAAACCCTCAAATAAAAAAAAAGAAAACAAACACCCAAGAAACTAACAATTAGTAAGGTCTGGACCACTATTCTTAACAAGCTGCTTGTGATGCTATTAAAGCTACAGATGATGGTAGTGGTAGTATTGACGCATAGAATACATTGTATACTATAACATCCAACAAGAATGTATCACTTCCATGTCCTCCAAACGAAAAAAGCGAAGCATGACCCATTGCATATATTGAGCCCACCTGCAGCTTATAGTGTACTTTAAGACCATCATGAGAGATTGTTGATATATGACGAAACGCCATGATGCTGGCCATATGTCCGATGGAGGGCGCAAAAAAAAGAATATTGACTCTTTTATTTGAGCTGAGAGGTATAGCTCATCGTTTGTTCATACCTTCTTAGCTAACATAAAACATCCCATTAAAAGTGATGCTAGTTCTTATCATTGCACAACCCTTACATTGCTGCTGGAATTGTATGAAGAAGTTTTAAGAGCAACTAGTAAGAAGCACATAGCCATTACGAGCGACGTACCGTCAAAAATCATGAATTAAACCACCTTCCCTGTTGTTAGAATCGTTCAAATAGGAGTGCCTACATGTGCCGACTTCACAACACCTGCAACTACGTTAGCGTGCATTTTAGCAAAATCTAAAATACTATACCATAGCACATGAAGCAACATTAGAAATTACAACCGTGATAGCAAGGTACTCTTTATTAGCGAAACGATAGTAGACTGTACGCTTTTTGAGCTTTTTGATTGTGCTCTAAACATAAATGTGTATTCAGATGCTTTTTGTTATGCCCCTCGCTAACACAGAGCAGGCTAAAACAAGCACTTATTTTTTTTCTTGTAACAAGACAACCAATAAGTAGTACAGTACCTGAAGAAAATGGAAGTTTACCATTAGCTACCCTTGCAAGGCCCATACCATCAATAGCATACAGATGTATAACTATCATTACTCTGTCACTAGTATCAAAACTGTACAACAAACAAGCTCTTCTATTTTATACGCCTGTAGAGGCTGCTGGATGGAAAAAGTTATCGTTCGTAGTGGACCAAACATAATCTTGAATAACACAATATTACGAAGACTTAGCAGCACCCACGAAAGCATTGGAGTGGCAATAAAGATCGCGAGTTAGTGTACTGTATATCAAGCACTACATCCTGGTGATGAGATATTATGGATTCTGCAAAGCCTAACGTTGGATCACTTGACTGGCCAATATAATATCTAAAATAGAATAAGATTAAGAATGCCTAAGCATAGGTTTTTGTTGTTGTAAGTGAGGTGAACATGGCGAACTCGAGGACAAAAGACGCCCTTGTTACATGTACTGCAAAGACAACGGTACCTGAAGATGCTATGTCACCAACTAAATCACGTAACCAAGTTATCAGTAATCTGCACAATCACATCCACGAGCTATTTGTCCAAAATACAAAAGCTTGCCTGGTAACGAGCGAAAGGATTTGCTGTTGAAAGAAACACTTATTTGGTCACTTTGGCCCAGATGCTATTGTGCGAGCTGTTAATTCTGACGGTCTCCACTAAAAGAACTAGAACCAAGGTGCTATTGAAACAGTCGAGCAATGTAAGCAATGCCTGCGGCACAATATAGTCCAAATAAATTATCATCCACTACAATCCATTGAGAGCAGTCTACCTAGTGATCATTGGGCAATTGACTTTTCGGTACCCTTTTACCTTTCACATGACGGAAATCTATACTTCATGGCGATGATCAACATTTTCAGCAAGTTTGTTTATTACGCGCTGTACCAGACAAAACTTCCCTGACTATTGCTACACAACTTATCAAAATAATGATAGAAGACTTCGGACCAATGCAAATATCACAAAGTAACAATGGCCGCGATTTCTTTAACGAATTGATGAATTTGGTATGCAAACAAGCTGGTATTAATAGATGTTTTATACCACCATATCATGCACGTGCCAACGGTGCGGCAGAGCGGATGGTACAAACAGCTAAACGAGCCATACATAAGATGATTGACGTCCAAGTCAAAGGCTGGGATCGACATGTACCTTTTGTTCAGTTGGCCTACAATGCACGGATTGCGCCCATACACAATCCAACTCCATTATCACTTTTGTGTGAAAGAAGGATGAACGCGTTCAAGGAGAATACGGATATAAGGTTCGACGAAAGGGCTATGATTCATCTGAGAATACTTGGGTACCACCAGAGAGCTTCGACCCCTGATCCCACCAGAGATTCCACTGCTGAACGAGTTGCAGGACTTAAACGAAGACGCCCGTTCTCGACCTACTTTCAGATTACCACTTCATCTTTCCGGTTGCAACAACCTGGAGGGGGGTTTATGTCGCGGCTGACTTGGCGGTTTCAATTAAATAACCAGTGTCAAAATTTATTGGTTAGAATGCTGAGCGTATCTATCATTTGTCTGGTTTTTCTTTTTTTCATCGTCACAGACTCTGGACGTGTCTAAATAGCTGTAAAATAAGGGGAAGGATAGATCATCGATTCATTCTTTGAGTTTAACAGCAATTTCGAAGACTGCTAGTCCCTTTCTGTTGTTGAATACCACAGTAAAAAGTTGAAAAACGATTCATAAAGCGCAATATGCTTATGACGATTATATATATTTTGTTTGTGGATTGTGGCAAGCACAGGTGATGCTTGCCTAATGTTTATGATATTATAGCATATGCCAAACGCTCGGTGCTATCAATTGAAAATAACGGAGCTCATTAACTATCAAACTTTCTGCCCTTATAGCCTTTCATAGTTCGGTGAAAACCTGCATTTTTGGCTAATTCAACGTCATGCATTTGCAAAAGTGCAAATACAATAATGACCAGGACAACATCATGTCGTTATAATAATTAAAGGATATATATTTTTTAAATTCTGCTCAATACATTCTTCATAAAGTAGCAGATTCTTTTTACTGTTGTATGGCGATCCCAAGCGATCTAGAATCAAGTTGACTCTTTTCATATCACTGCTCTGTTTTGGATCGATCTTGCTCTGTGTTTGCGGCTAACAATATAGCTACAATTCGATTTGAGAAAATGAAAAACAAGTGGTGCTTTGAATAGCTTACTATCGTCTCAGACAAGCATAATGTTTGTTTTTGATTACCAGTGTAATAATCGATATTGGGCATCTCAAACAGTTAACGAGAAATCGCTGTTTTACTCTCAAAACTATCTGGTCTGAAATGAGTACGTGTAATGTTGTGTCATACAACAAACGAACAAAGTCTCATATTTACTTGAGCGTTTAAAAAACATTTTGAGCATCTCGCTGTAGTCTGTAGAGGGCTAAGAATACGTAGCTGCATAATAAACTTCATTGATAACGAAACGAACAAATTATTCTGCTTCGTCACAACAAGCTAAACGAGTAGGGCAACTCGTACTTGTTTATAGTTAGAGCTCTTCCCAATAATAAATTTGAATACTACTACTGCTAGAGCAGTGTTTATGTTTGGATAAACAATAGAACGTGATTTATCGGATCTTATTAAAACATGCCATAGCAGAAATTTAGAAAAACCCGTTTGTGTTTTGAAGCTAGCACCCTTTTGTATTGTGCTATAAGAATAGGAAACTTTTACTGACCAGCTTGATCTGATAAGAGCGCAGCTAAAGTGATGGAAGAAGGTAACAAAACAAACAAACAAAAAAGAAATATATACTACATAACAGCAGTTGCTCATATGTTTATAACCTATACAAGCACACACACAAGTATACCGCCATATTAATACATCACAGACAGAAGCATAATAACAAACTGTTTGACGTATGTATCTAGCATCATAATGATACCACATCCACAAAAATACATACGTTTGGACAATTCATGATGCAGGCGTTAATGTTCAAAAGCTTTTTATTGATGCTGCATTTTAATATGCACTGAGTGATATACTTGCTGCATAATGTACAACAGCCCACCAGCAGCAATCCTCTCCCCCTTCTTAGCTACTCCTTGAGAGCAATGTAATATCAAGGATTCAGTAGCCTGTCCGGCTCTCTCGGTCGTGCCTTCCGCTCTGTAGGGCTTGCATTGCGGGTGCCATTTTTAAAAAACCACCACGCATTGTCAAGAATTGACAATAAGAGGAAAACGTGACCCACAGAGAAAGAGAAGCAGAGGAGGTGGCGTAGGCAAAGGAAGAGAAGAGATCATTCCAAATGTATCATGTAGTAAATTCTTGCAAACACAGACTCTACCAAACACAGTACAGCAGACCGTTCTGGAATGTGTTTCATAAGGAAGTTACTCTTCACTTTTAAATAAGTTACATACAAGGAGCTTTAATAATAGATTTGTGAGAACTAGCAACTACATGTTACGGTGTCTGTCATCTTCGACAGCATAATACATCGATCATGTGATCATTCGGTGATGGGGAAGCATATGAGTAACAAGATGTTGTATTGGATTTTCTTTCCATCTTCACCAATCCTTACTCACTAGTAGGTCGATCACAACGATATCATCTCGGCTAAAAAGATTCCGATTAAACCAAAATATTTTGGCCAGTATCAACGCGTGCATTAGTGTTTTTTCTGCTATATACCTTCTATTGATTGAAAACCAATAGAAATTTAACAAGAGCCCCGGGGGGATTTTTTTTTAACAGCGGTGAATATAGAGAAGAAGAACTACTAGCAAAGTACGATATATGTTCTCGTGACCATTCCTGCATTGAAAGTAGTACACTGTTTCCATAAGAGTGTATAACCGAGCGTATGGATTGATCTGTCGGGAAAGCGGTCTGCAAACCAAGAAGAGCCGCATGTTTGTATCCCTTCAAGACCGCGGGTCAGCGTACATAGAGCAATAAATGCTGTGTTTTCTTTTTGGCGGGTAGTTGAACTGTGCGCACGTAGTACACAAAATTAATTAATAGACGATGATGATCTCACTTGCACACTATATGAGAACGCCATGATTTCATTTTGAGTTGTTGTCAAAGGGATATTATAGATTAAGGCGAAAAAGTAAAACGCACGCAGCCAATATGCGGGCCGGGATGGAAGGATCCCGAAACTGGTAATTTCTCATTCGTCAAGGCACCATGCATGTGCAGATCCGATGCAACTCGCATCGGAAACAAATATGCATATGGCTTCGGTGTCTTTCTTTTCACTGCAGATCTTGGATTTATCTGATGGTTTTTCCTTGAATAAAGTGTGCTCTGTTTGTTTTTTCCTTCACCCCCATCCCCCACGAACAACAAACGATCGAGCAGCTAATAATCAAGTGGTGAATATCGGCATTTTACTCCGTTTAATTAATACCATTCACTACGTTGGAAAGACTTCATCGCGTCGTTGGCGTTGTTGACGGTGCGGTTGTTAGACTCTAGGGATATCGACACGTCACTCGTTATTTTATAATAGAGTGCTATATAATGACAGATGCATAAAAGTGTAGAGTACATGCGGATCATGTTTACATTTCTCTTTTGGGGGGACGGTTGTTAGGCTGCTATTAGGGGTGGAGTCAACATGAAGGCAGGTTCACAAAAAATCAGATAAAGTATAATGTCAAGATCTTGGCAGGTCCGTCGGTTACCATGCGCTACAGTACATGTAAGCGTATGTGTGTGTCCTCTGGTTTTATGATTATGCAATGCACATATACCACACTACACACACACACGCACACACACACATCACTCCTGGCTGCTCGTTCGTCATGGAAGAAAAAGAGCCTTTTTGTGTCAGAGAAAAACGCCTTTTTTCAATGACGGATACATGCACCAAAACACGAAGACCTTGCGCGTCCTATATTTTATTCTTTCTTTTTCTTTCACTTTTCCACCACTTTTTTCTCTCTTTCATTTCTTCATTTGAGGAGGTCACGCGGTGACCCTGCGTAATCGCATATATTTTTCAACTCTTTAGCTCTTCTCAACACAAGCCCCCCCACTCGCTTTTTCACATTAACATTTTTCTGTTCTACGACTCTTTACTTATTTTTTACTTACACTCCAAGTTCTCGTCTTTTTTTAAAGAACATTTCAACTCGCCAAACCTCTGTAACAACAAAACTCCTCAATGGCACAACCACTAGCAGCAGCTGGAGGAATGGCAATGGGCGCTCCTACCGCACCTCCGCCAAACGCCGGCGCCGTCATGGATGCGCGAAGTAATGGCACCGGACGACATTACGCTGAGAAAGAAATATACCAGTACGATGCTCCTTGGCCTGTCTATGCTTTGGATTGGTGTAAAGCACAAACCGATCGCGAAGGATTTAGAATGGCCGTTGGCAGTCTGATTGAAGAGCAAACCAACAAGGTACAAAAACACATACCTTTTTTTTTTTAATTTGCTGGGTGTGTTCACCAGCGACGTGTTGTCACGAGCAGCGACATGCAACATGCATATATTTTATGTGTATATTTTCACGGCCAAACGAAGGCGTATATATGCTAACATTACTCCACAACGCGCTATATTTTGACATCAAACTGGTCATAGCTCCAAATTGTGACACGTACCGATCTAGCCGTCTGGGACGAAATGGATCGCTATAAATATTACGGCAACAAGCAACAATCGAACCCAGATTTCGTACCTCTTGCCGAAGTCGACTCGCATTATCCAATCACTAAGGTTCTATGGGAACCGCGAAAAGTACGTCGTATATATATATATATATATATGTGTGTGTGTGTGTGTGTGTGGTGTGCAACTAGACAACAACAAAGAGTTTCCGTGACAACAACTAATTTCTGGTTACCTTGACAACAACAACAATGCGTGTATTCCAGCGATCACCACGCTATTCAGATATTCTCGTCACATCGTCGGACGTGTTACGGCTTTGGGAACTCGTCGATAACCCTTCATACGGAAGATACGATGGTACGATCGGTGGTCGTCGCGGCTATAATAATGAGCACCGACAATCATTGATCAAACGATCCGAGCTCGTCAATGTACGATCTTCCTGTCTTTCTTACTCTCTACAGAAAAACAAACAAGCACAAGGATAAGAAGAAGAAAAAAGCAGTTGACCAAAAAGACTTTTTCTTGTATTCACCAAGCTAGGTTAAACAACGCGACTTTTGTGCACCGCTCACGTCCTTTGACTGGAACGAAGTTGATCCGTCACTGATTGTCACTGCCAGCATTGACACAACGTGCACCGTGTGGAACGTTGAAACATGTCAAGCGAAAACACAACTGATCGCCCACGATCGTGACGTGTATGACGTTGCATTCATGCACGAAACATCTGATATATTCGCCAGCGTTGGAGCAGATGGCAGTGTCCGTTTATTTGACCTACGGTACAGTTTTAATAACAACAACAACACATACTCCTAAAGCAAAGCCATCATGCCTCGTGTTTTTGCGGTTGCTAACACGTAGAGTTTATTTTTGTTTGTATGTATGGCTAAAAGATCCCTGGAACATTCCACCATATTATACGAAGCACCACCAGCACCACCCAGTCCATCCGGCTCGTTCGCTTCTGCCATCAGTGATGGTTCTCGACCGCTTTTACGTCTACAATTTAATCGTATTCAACGCGAGCTCCTGGCGACTTTTCATATGGATTCAGACACTGTCCAAATTCTCGATATTCGTTACCCTAGTGCTCCTGTTGCTGAGCTGACACGAAGCCACCAGAGTAGCGTCAACTGCTTTAGCTGGTCTCCTGGACACCCAGGCTACATTTGTACTGGAGGTAAGCTAATGTCTATCTATCTAAAACACAAATACACATATGCTTGTTTGCAAAATTACTAAAACGCACTTTCTCAAGGCGACGATGCACAAGTTCTCGTATGGGATATAAATAGTCAACAACAACAGCAACAACCTCATCGACGCCCCTCACATCAACGTCAACCGCAAAGCATCGTCCAAAGTCCCAGTCTGCGCTATGTAGCTGATTCCGAAGTCAAATCGTTATCATGGAATCAAAGTCTGCCCATGTGGATAGGTATTGGTTTCGGCAAGACCGTTCAGGCTCTCCGCGTGTAAAGAGACACAAGAAATCTCTATCTCTTTTCTCGCGCTATACTCCTTATCATCTACCTTCAATACCACCCGATGCAGTTCCTTTCCTTTTGTCTCTCGTTAGTCTCTTTATTTCTCTTTTCTTTGTTTCTGATAGGGCCAAAAGAAATCGAGGAAAAATCGAAGCGGTTGATGTATCACTGCCACGATTTTTTTATCTTTTTCTTTCACCACGCACGTTTTTTACCACTCTCCCCTTATGCTACTCTACTACCTATCTATCCACCTACCTCTTACTTCACTTACAAACCACTTAGTATTATACATATGATCATCTGTTCTTCTTTTCTTCTCATTTCTTTTATATGAAGGGGCATATCTTCTATATCTTCTTAACCACCACCATCACAATATTAACCACATAAAATAAACGTGACATATATCCAACATTTAAGATGGCAAGGTGGGATAAGAAGAGCGTACATTTTTTTGTGCATCTCAATTAATCGGGCTGAGTATTCTGATCATCGTCGTTGTCTTGCTCGTAAGATAGCTAGTCAGCTATACGTAGATAGATAGACGCTGAGGAATGATTCCGCTTACTCGGGATAATGCGTCGCCATTGGACTGGTTATATCAAAATTTGATGCTACCCCACCCCAATTCATTTCTTTTTTGAGTGGCACAGACATCGGCGATCGCTTGGTGTGTCACATTAAACTTCAGGGGTAAGTCTTGAATAAGGTCGTCGGTGTTTTTGTTAAAATTAATTTGGCTTGTCATGAAATAGAGGCGCGTGTGTGTGTGTAAAAAGTCTGGGGAAAGAAGCATACACCCTAAATCGGCATTTGTATCTGATAGCGAACTAAAGAAAGAATGGATGATGATGCTTTGATTTATTAAACAGTGAGAAGTACATAATGATACTACTACAACAACAAAAAGTAATGTAACAACAGGGTGTGTGTGTCGGGGGAAAAAAGGAATGAGGCGGATTAAGTGTGTGAGTGTTTTAGAAGTAATGTCTTAAGATCATTATAGTGCAGCTTCTTTTTTAGATCAAATCCTTGATGACGACGCGAGCAGCGGCATCGACATCCAACTTGGCCAAGGCAGACAAGGCGGCCTTGACGGCAACGTCAATTTCGACATCGATATCAAGATTGGCGTCGATCTGCAAAGACAAGATAAGAGGAACAGTGACGGAAAGGTCCTTGATCTCAACCTCGACTTCAGCTTGAATGTCTGCAGCCAAGTCAGCCATGACCTTGGGCAATTCAATCTTGAGATCAGCCTTGATGTCGGCAATCACATCGGCAACGATAGGGAGCAACTCTTCCTCGGGGAGCAAACCGCTGGGAAGCAAACCGGTGACAGTGGACAAAACTTGAGAGAGATCAGCTTCGGCGCCAGCAAAGACCTTGGATTTTAAAGCAGCATCGATCTTGGCTTCAATCTTGCCTTGCAATTTCTTCAGAGCAGCCTTCTGAACAGCGTTGATCTCGGCATTGCCAACTCTGATCAAACCACCGAGAATATCGAGCTTGATGTTGAGCGAGGCTTCAATAGATTGTTTGAGCTATTGATCGATCAATCATGAATCGGAAATAAGTATATGGTATGTTATCATTAAGCTCCAACAAAGTAATGGCATTATTTACTTACAGTGGCAGCGACCTTGGCAGTGATGTCGGTCTTGAGGACAGCTTGGACTTCAGAGATGATCTTTGCGGACAAGTTGGATGCCTCCTTGGGAGCAAGTTCCTTGCCGTGACGCTTGTTCAACTTTTCATTTTGGAGGGGGATGACTTGCAAAAGCTTCTTGAGGCAAATATCAGGCAAAGACTTGACGACGTCGCTCACGACGGGAAGTTCAGGAAGCTTGCCGGTAACACTAGAGACGCAGACCTCGGGAAGCTTTTGCAAGAGCTTGGGGACAGAGATTTCCTTGGGCAACGATCTAATGATATCGTCAACGGGAGGAATGCCGGTTTCCACGTCAGCCCCAACTTTGGCAATACCAAGGTCGATAGTGCTGCGCTGCTCAATGGGTGCAGCAGAGGTGGCAAGGACAAAGACACCCATGATTAAGGGCAGGCCAGAAAAGAGCTTTCGAAGTTGCATTGTATATAGGAGTAGTAGCGATAGAATGAAAGGAAAGGGGGTATTACACTCGATATTGATGAGAGTAGTAGTAGTGGTAGTAAAGAAGGAACGGTGTGTGGGTGTTTGTGAGAAGAGAAGAGGATGTGGTTGTTGGAGTAAAGACACAAAAACACGGCTGTTTATATAGTTTTTTTTTTCGTTTTCTCTTGCAAACGATATAACGTCTATTCATTTCTATCTTTCCACTCCCTCCCCCAACCCCAAACCGTAAAGGTAAGCCCCCCGGATTCGATATGGTTAATAGAAAGGCAGTGATGCCACACGGTAATACACGGCTATAAACAGACAACAGAGAGAAGGAGGTGGGTGTTTATAGAGAGTAAGATAAGCGGTTAAACCGTTCGTGTTTTCTTTTAATGAGTTAGGCTAAACATGATCTAGTGGAACGAATCCAGTTTGGCAGATCCGAGTGGAAGTTTTCCAAGCGGCGACAACAACACACGACACACGACACACCATGCTCCCTATTTTTCTTTTATATGAAATCCACGTTTTTGCTAATCATTCACTTTCTAAATAATACTACTGTTAAGTGTGACATTGACTAACACGTCGACGAACTTTAATTGTAGATGGATGTTGACGACGAGAGAACGACATGCACATAGAGAGAGAGTGAGTGAGTAAGTGAAAGAGCGACGATTGACCCCTAAAAATTAAGTGTCACTGAACTCCTGCTTCTTGTCCATCACCCCCTTTACTTTCCTTGCTTTTTAATTGAACAGTCTGGCAACAATGTGGCTTACTCGACTACCAACCTGCATTATCTTGAAAACGATATGCGACTTTTAAAATAGGAAAGTAGAAAAGGGGGGGGGGTCGTTTACAGTAGTAATACTTTATTTGTAGCGCGACATGTGCTTATTGCAATTGAATAATATGTACTGTGGCAAATTGTTTGATCAAAGTTGATGAATATGTGCTCATAGTGGAACGAGATATGATCTATACTATTAGAAAGATGGAAGATAGTAGAAACATACTAGGCAGGTCAACATGTACATTTGGACTGGGAGTGCTAATCCAAATGGTGGTGGTGATGGTGGTATGATTTTAATATAAAAGCATCAAGCGTGAGAGGGTTGGTTGGGGTATAGTAGCAAAACGGGTCAACACGGAACAATAACAGAAAAACGAGCTTTGGCACGCCGATGGAGACCTTGTTTGTCATAGTTTATGTTTTTGTTTGTAAGGGGAAGAAGGGTGTGTGCACTGACATGGAAAAGCAAGTCATTACCAGATTCGTGGGTTGTACCCAATAGCATCTATCTATTCTACGTACTGACCTCTAGCTCAAAACTCTACAATTGAAATACATGTACTAACTGATGGATGACTGCTGACATGGATACTTCAGCCAGCAAGACGGCGACCAATTATAACCAAGAAAACCGATATCTGCTACTACATAGTACTAGTATACAATGTCATTTGCGAGCCGAACAATCCGGCGTGTTGGTTTGAAAAAATAAAAGAGAGATGCTGGGCTTGGAAATAAGTTTTTAGTGCCTTTTGTCAGGTTAATGAAGAAGGAACCCTTTGATTGGACATGCTTCAGGTTGGTCTGACGACATCGTCTCTAGTTACTCAAACTGCTCTTTATGGATCGAGGCCCGTGGTGCCTGTCTGGTGTAAAATGGAGATTTTTTTTTTATTTTCAGCTAGCTCTCTCTCTCTCTCTCTTTCCCCTATTTTAAGAGTTGGCATTTTAAAGAGGAAAGGTAAAGATATGCCGACTCTGACATTCTTTGTCGCTGTTATATGTCACACAGCAGCAGTAGCAGTAGCAGCTAGCAGCATGCGCATATCTTAGCACATAGCACAGCAGCATTGGGGAAAGTATGGACGGAATAGGAGACAGATAGAAATTTAAGCATGAAAAAAAAAAAAAGACAAAATATGCAATCTTTTCGAGATTGGGTGACACACAGCATTTTGGAAGAGCACAAAGCAACCTGATCGGAGCAAGTGTGAATGTTATTTCAGGATTCGTCGCACGATATTTTTTCTGTTTTCATCAATTGTTTTTATGTTATTTATTGCGACAATATACACAAAAGAAAGGAAAAGTTGGGGTATGGAAGAATGTTTTAATACGTACATATCTGAAAGAACACACGCTTGCTACTTTGTGACTATTAATTCTGTGCTGCCCTATCTAATAAAATCATGATGGGCACACCGGCCATCGTATGATGATGCAATGTTTGATTGGTTTTGAAGCGGAACACTAAACGGGGGCAGAAAAGGAAAAGCAGAAGAAAGGAGAGTGAGAGAGTGAGAGAGTGAGGCGGGAAAAAAGAAGCACATAGCAGAAGAAGAAGAAGAAGAAAAGAAAAAGACAGATAGGGGCCATCCACACGCACATATGCACAGTTTGGACAGGTGAAGCCCGAACACGTCAATTATTACAGATCTCTATTGGAGCCGAATGATTTACTCGGTTAATGAAGTCCCTGTCGATGTAAGTCGTTTCGCAATAAAAGCTCCCGTTTCGTCTTTGTACACGTGATATATGGACTCGCATAATCAAGGTTGGACCCTCTCGCTCGTCTGATACACATACGCACACACACACAAAAGCGATGTGGAGATGGCGACAAAAAGAGCGCGTGAGACTCGATCTGAACAAGACTTGTCCTCTCAAGCGATCAATGCATGATTGTGAAAGAGTAGTGAGCAGCTGTGCCACACACATATCATGTACCTATGTACGATGTGCTCGCAGTGCTTTAGGTTTGTACTTTTGGAGCGCAGGCCAAGTGACGCGGGTGACACTTGGAGGGAAAGTTGGGCTGCTCACCTAACCAAAAAAGGTGTTCCTGTGGTCTTTTTTTTTTTTTTGCAGTGATGAGTTATTTAGCCCTGCACGCCTCCAGGTCGTCTTTTCTTTCTTATTTTTTTTTCCCACCAAAAAACATAAACAATTGCTTTCCTCTCATTTCACTCTTTCTCTCTCCTTGCTCCCTTTCTTTCTCTTCCTTTATTAAAAACAAAAAAAAAAAAGGAACTTTCATATAACCCCTCCTCATCCCCTACAGTAATAACTACTCATGAGCGACTTGGCGTACCTTTCCGCCATGACTTCAGTGCCTGACGACATTACAACAACCGCAACCGCCACCTCCACCTCCAGCACTGGTGTAACGCGCCAAGGACAGCAGCACCACTCTTCATTCAGACGCTCCTTGACCCTATCCCACGGTGCAGCCGCTTTACTCACAAGAGGCTTCTCGCGATCTTCGACCCGTGGACGATCGACGAGTAATGCTGCAGAGCCCGCAGCCACAAGTGAAGAAGACCGACAACACCGTGAGCGGCACCAACAACAACCGCGACGAGCTACTATAGCAACGCCAACTACTGATACTGCTGCCACTACTACACCTGGAGCTGCAGGCGGAGGTCCTTCATTGCATGTCCGCATCGTTCCAAATATCGAAAATCCCAGTCGATGTATCATTTTCGATATCGTGGATCGTGAGATGAAGGCCGGATCGGTTATCAAGATTGGACGCTTTGCTGAGCGCTCTCCGCTTTCAGTGGACCACATGTCATTTAAGAGCAAAGTGGTGTCTAGGTCACATTGTGAGATATGGGTCCATCAAGATGGCAAGGTAATGAATCTTTCTTTTGAACTTGCACGTCTGATATAGATATGGAAGGTGAAGGGAGCAGGCTTGGATTTACCCAATCCAACAAAAAGAATAGCACAGCAACCATCGAGTGTATATATGTTACATCTCATACATGATGATTGCAATAATAACAATGGATGATCAACTAGTTATACATAAGGGACACGAGCTCTTCCTCTGGCACCTTTCTCAACCACATTCGATTGAGCGGTGCAAATCAGGAGAGCCCAGCAACTGAAATTAACCATGGTGATATTGTCCAGCTTGGTGTCGACTATCAGGGTGGCCAGGAGGAGATATATCGATCCGTCAAGATGCGCTTTGAGCTCAACTGCTCGCGCAAGCCCAGACCTCTATCCTTCAGCATGTCGCAGTTCAACAACCTTCGCACGCTTTCACGAGTTGCCAGCAATCATGGCGAGGCTTCATCCTTGGTGCTTGTCGACGAAGAAACACAATCCAAACCAAACAGTGAAGCACTCAAATGTACTGACAAGCTGTGCAGCAACAGCAACAGCAACAATAACACTACCAGCGAGACGAACAGCAGCAGGACCAACAGCAACAGCGCTGCTGAACGGGCTGTAACAAATCACACTCAAATCAGCACGACGAGTAGTACTACCAGTAGTAATAACAGTAGTAGCAACAGCAGTGGAGAGGAACTGCCTGAAGTGGATGAATGTTGCATTTGTCTTTACGCGTTGGCTCCTTTCCAGGCCCTGTTCGTTGCCCCATGTTCCCATTCATATCATTTCATGTGTATTCGCACCCTTCTCCAGAGCTATCCGGGCTTCCAGTGCCCCATCTGCCGTACTTACTCGGATCTAGAGGCCAGCGTCGCCATCGAGCCAGAAGAAGTGATGCAAAAGTATGGCTTACGATGCAAGTCCTTTACACCTCCGCCTGAGGCGGCTTTTGAAGCGGGATATCAGCAGACCAGCAACACCAATGCACAACAACAACAACAACAACCGCCAGCTACCGCATCATCCACAGCACCAGCAGCAGCCCCAATAACATCATCCATACCATCACCTCCGCCAGAAGAACCTCCACAACTAGTACTGTCACTACAGGAGCAACAACAACAACTGTCGAGTGAGCCACCTACCCCTGCGACATCCAACCATGGACACGTGTACAATAACACATCTCCCGTAGCCGAGCCAGGGTCTTCTGATGATGCTGTTGGCCCGTCAACAAGAACAACACCAAATTCAGGCATCCTCGTCTCCAATGGCAGTAGTGGTAATGTCATATGATTTTTTCTACCAGTACCTCCCTTTCTTCCCTCAAGTGAAATGTAATTAAACTTTCTCATGAAAAAAAATAGTACGAGATGCAACCGCACGAGATCGACGCACTGTGTTTGTATCCGATGACATGGACGTGATAGAAATACCCCCTGCTCACCAAGAAGAGGATCCAATACCCGAAGAGCAACAGCAGCAGCTACCATCAATAACACCCCCTCCTACCGACTCCACAACAACAGCCGCAGGTACCACCACGCCATCATCTCAAGAACAACAGCATAGACCCATTCGGCGTTCGGCACGAGCTCCTGCGTCCACAGCTCATCCTGAACGCCGTCTAAGTGCAGCGAGTCATCTCATGGAGAAGCTGAAAATGACCTTTTTTGAAAAACGCAAGTCATCCGCCATCATGTCCCGAAACGAGCAGCAACGTGGTCGCAAACGATCCAATAAGCCACGCCCCCTATCCTATCCTAACTTTCTGATCCGTCAATTCAGTCGGGAAGAAGAAGATGATGTTGGTGATGAGAATACTAGTAACAACAATGATCGTGCTGAAGTAGTACAACCTACACCCTCTTCATCCTCATCATCGCCGCCGTCACATCCTCCTCCTCCACAACCTCTAACGTCGCAACAACAACAACAACAAGCACGTTCTCAATCTGCTCTGTCATTTAACAGTTTGTCTCGTCAATCTACTACCCACTTGTCTGAGATCCAAGAAGAACCTGATTCCGTACGTTGTCAGCCAGCTCATGAACAGCAGCAGCAGCAGCAGCAACAACAACAGCCCATGGCAGTCGATACCTAAAGAATATCACCATATATCACCCACACAAACAAACAAACAACATATCCCTCTCTATCTTTGCTTTTTTCACCTTTCAACTAACACACTCTTCTTTTATCTTGTAACATTAATAATGAACCGAACAACCCCGAACAAACATCCCAAAAACGATATATCCCTACATCATCTTCTCCTTATAAAAATATACAGAACCTTTATCACATATCCTTTCCTATCTTTCTTAGCTTATCAATATATCGCCTCTTCCTCCTCTTCAATTTGGCGTATAAATGCATGCATAAACTGGTCGCGTTTCTTAGCCATCTCTGTACCAGCTGGGGTGCGCATCATGCTAGAAAGACGAAATAGTTTTTCTAAAAAAAAAAAAAAAAAAGTGAGGGCGTTGGTTGTTCGATCGAGGATCAAAGTTAATCTAATCTTAATAACAGAAAATTCATACACCCCCCACGTTTTTTTCTTCCCTACAGTCATCTTCTTCTTGTTTTGACATGTATTAATTCTGGTAATAACAATAACAAATGTAGTTTTTGGTTGCTATTGAACTCACCATGAAAATGATTGATCGCTGTCCCGTTCTTTTGGCTTGTATACTCCTTTTGTGACATGTGCAGAATCGGATCCAGTTCAGGAACATGGAGAGGAATACCTTTTGCTCCGCTGTACGCTGCACATCGCATCACGCCTTGTTGCAAAAGTGACCAAGTGTGTCAGGTTATTAATCAAGAGGATTATAATGATGTTTTAAAGATACGTCCAAGCAAGCAAGCAATTCTTCTACTTGCTCTTGCTATCGATAATATGATACACCATGTATGACATGCGTGCGACATATATAATTCTACATACCAAATGCACCAATTGCATCCAGCTTGTCTGCATCCTGTACACTAAAAAGATATATCGGAAACGTGTGTAAAAAACAACGGGTTACAAGGACAGGGGGGGTGCGTACTTTGCATATCACACACACTTACGCATGAAGTTCCAGACACGTGTCACGCCAGTCCGAGTCTGCATCCTCTTTGCTCCAACCAAGTTCCTTACTGTAGCCTACATGATCCACTATTTTTTGAATAAGTGCAGCTTTTGGATATCCTTGTCGCGTCAAGAACTGTTCAATGCTCTTTTCTTCTTTTTCTTGTCCTGTAGAATATTTGCGATCGCCAATGTCGTGGCACAGTGCTGCGAGTTCAACGACCGTCAAGTCAACCTCCTTCCCTTGGAACGCATCTTGTTGGGCTAGTTGTAACGCTGCACACATTCCATCATTCCCTTGGTTAATAATTGAGTACAAATGGTCGAAAATGAATGTGTGTCTTACCTAAGCGACAAACTCGATCAACATGGTGCATGTCATGGGATGGATCAAAGCGTGACATGTACTCGTCTACCATGACACGCGTGTTTTGTAGAACGTTGGTCATTGCAAAATTGCGTACAAAAGAAAAAGACAGAGAGTAATGCGTTGTTACACTAGAGAAAACATTTCCCGGATGTTTTTATTTATTTAGGCGTTTTATTATGCCGACGTCAAATAGGTAGTCCACCATTGTTCGAAAGGTACATGCTTGGTATCGATACCAACTTGTTTCAAACGATCGTTGGATAAATGCGCATCTTTTGGTCTGGAGGTAGCAGCCGAGCTGGAGATCTCATTCTGTGGGCGAATATGATCAATGGAAGAATTCAAAATCTTGGCAAAGGTTTCTATTTTAGATCATTAACGTCTCGTGAGCTCTCTACTATGTCTATTGTTTATGTAGCGCGCACTCAACCGAGCCTTACCACACATTGTGTATTTGGTATACATTTCTTCGCCACTATAGTGAAATGTTCCTGAAATGTTCGAGTCACCTTGCTGGATGCGCTTTACTATTTTTTGTTCCAGATAAATGACTTAATATGTTGCTTTTCCAGATAGGAACTATGTACAAACCCAAACACACTAGTTCCCAACGAAACAAACTTACCGCTCATGTCTTTAATAACTCGAGCAATGTCCTCCACTAGAAAAGAAAAACAATATCAAACTCTTTAGTTTTCTGTCAAAACTAAAATCTAATCTGACCAGAGATCGTGATCCATTCAATACGTTACCATGAGTAGGATAGCGCAAACCAAAGTTGTCCATGTCACATTCTTTGCTTCGATTCTATGTTGAAATAGTTAGTTCTAGACTTTTCATGATACTTTACCAACTTGTCAGAGCTGCCCATTATATATATGTGTATACCTTGATTACATCCAACAAAATATTGACAGCTGACTCTCCGTTGTATTCGGTCACGCCATAAAGCACGGGCACACGTAGGATAACTGCCTGAGGATCCACTTCACGAACGGCTTCTTCACCACCCAGCTTGGATTTCCCGTAAAAGTTGAGTGGGTTTGGCTTGTCATCCACTTGGTAGGGTGGGCTTGTTCCGTCGAATACATAATCGGTGCTGATGTACACAAGCATGGCATTTCGCGCTTTGCATAACGTTGCCAATGTACGTGGTACTTGAACGTTCAACTAGATTACTTGACGTGTTAGACGTTGTTTTTACTACTATGCGTATTTATACGTATAACTACTCGTGTACGTTTATTGTTATTGCTACCTTTAATGTTCCTTCGTGATCCTTTTCGGCAACGTCAGGACGGCGCTCAGCAGCGCAGTGTACGACAACTAAAAGTTTCATTTGTGCATTAGCGACGAAATCAAGTTTGTCAATTTCCTTTCGAATGGGGGCGCATTAAGCTTGAAAAGCTTGACAGAATACCATCAGGATTATGATCTTGGATGAATGTCTCGACAGCTTGACTATCTGTCAAGTCCAGCTATATAAATTTACAGCAAGTTATTTATACAGATTTATGTGAGTGAGACTTTTTTGAAGGTTATTCTCATGTTCTTTCTTACCTTGACTAGACCAGTTTTGTCAGCACGACTCAACGCGGTACCAACAACTGTATACACATGTATATAAGTTTCAAGAAAAAAACACAGTAAATGCGGCTCTCTTCTCCTCGTCTCGGACATCTCTATACAGACCTTCATTGCCAGCTTTTTTAAACTCTTGAAACACTGCTCGTCCAAGCAAACCAGATGCACCTGTAACAATTACTTTCATCTTGGTATTGTACAGGGAAATAAAAAGGTAACGGAGGAGGAGCTTCAAAAACGCGTAAACTAATTAATTCATGCACGAAAGCCGATGATTGATCAAAAAGCGTCCCGCAAAAAAAAAAAAAAAATGTTTAACCACCTCCTCGTGTCTCACTTTTCAGGGCTTTTTCTATACATTTATAGACGAAGCTGTCCTATTGCTCCCGTCATTGATGCCTTGTAACTCGCCCCGCCAGTATCGTTGTGTGACGTTTGTTTTATCTATCGTAACCCCAGAATATGACTGGATTCGCAAAAGTTTTTCATGAAAATCCACGGTGGGTAGCCTTTTAATTTGCAATACGTCTAAAAAGGTAGCATAGTAATCGTGCATATATAAAGAACATGGTGAAAGCAGGAAAAGAAATATGGTACGTTGTTAACGTCGCAGGAGCAAAGGGCTTTCTCAATTTGGATTGGCCGACATGACCTAGGACCAATATACCGGAAGAAAAGGAATGGTACAGACGTATGGATCAATGGCTTCGCCCAGATACACGGTCATGCTGTTCTCTTCATGTGTGAAACACCGCTCCAAGAGATTCAATTGTAAAGTTCCTGCTCCCTGTTTTATTTATCCGCTTCCACGTATGACCAATTGCCCGACGCGCTGCTGCTTAGCATTTCGTGTAACCCTTCCCGATGTCATGGTTATAAAAGAATGGCTTTTGTATCTTATGCTTCTTTAAACCTTGGAATTCGTGGATATTCAAAGAGTCATGTCTGAAGATAACCATCACGATGGCAACAACGACACCGAAGAGCGAAAACCATTGCTCGCTTCACCTGACCAAGAAGTAGCATCATTGCATAAGTCGTGCGCTAATCATAGTCAGAAGCAAAGCTGGTTTGCCACGTCTTGTTCAGTCAAAGGATTTTCGTTTGTGTTTCTACTTTGTATTTTTCCATTGTTGCTATGTTGGTGTGGCTCGCAAAATGCAGAAAAGGAGCACCCGCTCAAGGTATGCTAAGAATGTGCAAAATTCCGTTGGCCGACTACCTCAACCTTTATTTTACTGATGTTTTTCAAATCGTCTTTCGCACATGCGGCGCAAATTAGCATATCGACGTTTGTTCCATAGCACCGTCTCTAACTTGGTCATCAGCACACACCATTGCCGCTAACCTGTACAGCAATTTGCGTGTTGGTCACGAAATCACCGATCGTCTTCATGTCATTGTATGTTGTTGACGTACTTTATGTAGTTTTTTCAAGACTAGTGCAGAAGTAAAGTTCACGTGGAAAAATAACACAATATGAAACAGGGTGGTTTGGTGCAAGTGCAAGTAAACAATCAAGTCAGCGAACCAACTGTCCGCTTCGACCTCAAATTGACCGATGCCAGTCAATTGGATCTAATCCAAATCAAGCAAATCACACAAAGCGATAGAATTGCTATCCTCATTGATGCAAGTATTCTTACTCGACCTTCTTTACGATAAACTACAAGAAACCCAAAAAGCTTATTCTTCCTTTTTTATATAGGCTGATGCAACTGCAGAAAGACCTTTATGTACTGTCTTGAATATCCTTGTTGAACTCCCAACACCTACGGCACTAGACGAGCTTGTCATTGAAACTTCTGAGAGCAGCATAGAGATCGACGATGGCATGCATTTCTCAGAGAGTATCAAGCTTGGCACAGTCAATGGAAACATTACTATTTGGGTTAGTTGTTTTTTTTAGCTTTTAGTTTGCAATCGATGGCCCATCGGTTCATTGTATAAAGATAAACTTCTCAACATTTTTCGTCTTTACAACACACTATACACACATAATAGGACAGCACAGGAAATGTCATGGAGCTCACTACGCATGCGGGACATATCAGCTGCTCTATCCAAGAAATTCCAATTATAACACAGATCACTGCTCGCTCTACTACAGGCAAAATAGTCTTTGACTACACTGGTGATCCATCCTCGTCCAAAGCATTGGTGGACCAACAAAGAAAGATTTCGGTTAATCTGACTACCGTCTCAGGCGACATTGATGCACAAATGGTAAAGAGTGGATTTTTCTTCCTAGGGCTGTATTATGTTTCCGTACATATGGGGGCGTCTTTTTTACTTACGCTTATCATCCTTTTTTTCTCGTTTATTCAAGTGCAAAGTGGACAGCCTAGTATACGATATATATATACATTCTCGCAGCTTTACTGGAATGGGAGGAACACGCGAAGATATGGACAAGTATATGCATATGCTCAATCACACCATTAGAGAAGGTTCATCGCTTTTCGGTTCGAATGTACATGAAAATGCTGTATGGGGCTCTGCTGATAATGCCACCGTTCATTTAGTAGCTAAATCGACAGCAATGCATATTGGAACCAACATTCATTTTAATTGTTGCATGGTTAATTCTAGAAGGAACAAAAAAAGGTCACTGCCACATCATCAACACAAATCGCAGCAACCTAAATAAAAGGTGTATCATGCTTCATTCATTGTCTGTCTTCAAATTCTACCATCGAGGCAGAAATATTACTGTCGCTACCATGTACCAATTGGGATGAATATGCTTTTCCAAGCTAATGAAGAAGCTCATCGGTATGAGCATCAGAACGAGTATGCTGGTTTTCGCTCATGTTGGCATTAAGACACTCATGTTGCACACTAGCATAGAAACTTGAAAGCAGTAGAATGAGCTGGTATGGAAACACCCAAAGTTGTAGTAGCACTGATGCAATCAAGTACATCTCAACGTCTCAAGCCTTTTGAGATATTATGTGGAATAAAGGATCAAATGACAAGAAGTTTTTAAGCTTGGGGTTGCTCTTGTGCTCCCCTTAAGGTTCCTCTAAAAGAGGGATCGGATAAAGCAGTTACTGCGTCACATTAAGGTGATACCGGCAGAATTTATAGTATGAAGAAGTTGGGCGCGTCAGCTACAAATCTAGAGCGAATAGATATCTTTGAATGTACAGGGCTCTTCTTATACTTACCCAGTAACCTAACAAGATTGACTATTTCTCAGTAAAGCAAGGGGGGGATGTGGGATCGACATACACTTTTTAAGAATATAAGCACAAATGCACGCACATCAGACGACGAAGAATTTGTTCGGTAACGGGAATAGAAGTGCCATTCTAAGTTACTACAACCATTGCCATATTGTCTCTCACTACTTTTATATATTAAAACAAATAACCGTTATGTACTTCCACTGACTGTTAGCGTTAGATACCAACGTTTCCATTAGGTTCATAATAGCAGCTCCAGTGTGCGACATTGATGCTCCACATCCAACGAAGATTGAAGCACAAGTATCCTTATACTCGCTGAAACTGATTAAAGGTGTAACGCGGTATCAAAACCAATACTATGGTTAGCGTGAAGTTGCTTGAGCCAAGCTAATTGCTCAAACTAGTAGTTTGAGAAAAAAAAGCTTCTCGGAAGATGGATCGTTTGTTATACAAGATCAAGTAGTTTATATTGTGTGGTCAACAGTAATTTACGATTGCTCGATCATCAATCGCTCTAGAATTTGCTGATGAGGTGCCCGCAGCTCAAGGAATCGCCGTTCATCAGATAGACCAATTTTAAAAGATAAAATGTCGAGTTGCTTTGGCGGATGGATCAGTAGCCAATAATAAAGGGTAGGTACAAAGGGCAATAAGAAGCTAGAGGGTTGTTTGTAGATACCCTTTATTGCTTGTAATGGAGTGGGATATTTATCTCCAATAAACTGCCTCGGCGATTGCCATATGATACAACTACATCCTACCATACAATTACGGTGCTTTGGAATCCCGCCTGACTATCTGCTATTCGTTACAAGGGTAATCATTTGTATTGTCAACGTATAGTGGTGACAAAAGTGATGAACCACCAAAACGGAATTATTGAAGACCGGTCAATTATACTGCGACAAAAAAAACCACTATCATACATTTCCCGTCGCAAAACCAAGAATCCTAGAAGCGATTTCGATGGGACTCGAACCCACAATCTTTGCCTCCGGAGGGCAACGCCTTCGCCATTAGGCCACGAAATCTTTTAACAAAATTTTTTTGCACAGAACATTAACACTAACAGTAAAATGCAATTTTTTTTTTCTTGAATTTTTTATTCTGATTTTATTCTGTATTTTATTAACTAGTTTTCTTAGCTAATAATAGCAATGATATTATGTCAAATAATATGTTAGCTTAGATTATAATAATACTACCTTATTAATACTACTATAAGAGAAACATTTAATAAAAGCTAAAATATTAGATTTCATATTATATAAAAATAGTGAAAAAAGTATATTTATATTTAAATATTTATATTTTAATAAAAATAAGCTTAAAATGAAAATATAATATTATTTTAAGATTTTAAAAAAATTAAAAATTAATATAATATTAGAAATTAATTATTCCAAATTAATTTTTTTCATATAATTAGAAATGTTTCTCACAATGATATCATCATATTATACTATATAGGGCACATGAGTGGGTAAATAACACAGTAGATAAATAGGTATTTTCAAAAATAACAGGTTGGGGGAAAGTATACAGCCTGCACCCCTAGGATTTGAGCAGAAAGCAGTTAGAAATGGCACTACAAATAGAATATAATTTTTTTTTTTGAATGTAAAAAGCAAGTTTAGTAAAGGCTTTGTTACAAGATATAGGTATAGAAGTCATTTAAAACATAAAAGTAGTGTGTTCGTGGCATAATGAAATGAAGCAGAAGATACGGAATGAAACGATCAAGCTGTCTCCAGCTTACACTTTTTGTTTTTTTCCTTGCTTGCTTCGCTTGTGCTTCTTTTTCGTCTTCTTTATTTAGCTCTTGGCGGGATAGACACTAGTTATTTTGTTGTTCGCCTTCGCTTTGCTCTTTGCTAAAATTGCCTTGCCTGGCTTGCCCGATGCTGGTGATCTGCGTACATGCTGTAACAACTGAACGTGTTCATCCTTTTCTGAGCCCTGTTCTTCGTTGTCACTATCACTTTTGTCAAATGATTCATACTTATGCAGCAGGCTTTCATCATCACTGTCGCCGCTGTCATTGCGTCTCCGTTTTCGTGGGCCATCTTTTTGTAGGATCTACTGATCAATATTATCATTGTCTTGGTTTCCCTCGTCGTTGCCTTCTTCTTCTTCTTCTTCTTCACCGTCATTGTCGTCGATTTCATTCACAGACTCGCGATCTTCCTCTTTTTGTAACTTCTACACCTCTAATTCAGCAAGATAACGCTCCTTGTCCTCCCTGATCAGTTCAGCATATGGCGCGATGTAGCAGCGGAGTCAAAAATGGGATGGGGATGGGGATGAGCTGATGTGCTGCACTATGAAGCTATCGTCGTCTGCTATATCGATGTAATAATCGTCATCTCGTCGACTGAAGAGAGAAAATCCAATAAAATCAAAGAGGAATGGGAATCCACTCGATAGATCGCCACTCCCAAAAAAATCTAAAATCACGAACTCGAAAAAGAGATATTTTTATTGTAGGTACTGCAAATAGGGGAAATAAGACTGAAAAATAGAGAGTCACATTGTCAGCTGGCCTCACAACACCTATATCATATAGGTAGAAGGAAAATAGGGGAGTGCTCTGTAAGCTACTGTAAGGTATGCTGAAAAATCTGGTAGGAACAGTACTAAACTAGGTAACGACAAAGAAAAAGGAAAAGAGGCCGACTTCTGCGAGTGTCTGTAAGAGTATGCTGCAGTTTTTCATCGTACATATTTAATTTGTGTCAGTAAAGCTCTGTAGTATCAGTATTTAGAAAGACGCCCTGGTTATAAGTATTAGAAGAGACAGAATGTAGAAGAGGGAAAATAAAAAGCCATTGTGAGCTCGATGCCATTGTGCGATGAATTTAGTAGTGGATGTTAAAATCAGATGGCGCTCGGTATGTAATAAAGATATAGGAGCAGTTTTATAAGCAGCTCTGTAATAAGGAAAAGGAACTGGTGGTACTTGGGGATAGGGATCACAATTGGATGGGTTAGGTCAGGTCAAGACTGATTTCGATATTGTGATGAAGGAAGTGTTAATAATCAACCTGAACTTGAGCACTGGAAGTGCAAAACTCCATATATATATACACAGCTCTCCAAGATGATGGCATGCAAATTCCTAGCAGTGCTAGCAACATCTACGTTTTGTGTGATTATTCTTGAAGGTAAAGGGTGTTGTTGTGCTATCACAAAAGAAATCGCTTGGGCTCACATGCATGAAAGAAAGCATAATGGCTAAAGTGTGGTTGTAGATCGACTTCCCTATATACCCCTAATCCTTTTCCCTTTTCTTTTCACTTCTTCCTCCTTCTTCCTTCGTTTTTCTTTTCTCAATTCCTTTTCAGTCTTTTGTCAAATCTCGTCTCTTACTGCCACCCTCTATTGTCCGTTCTCATTGTACTATTGCTGCTTCTTTACTCCTTTTACATATATTGCTTATAGCTTACTTATCCTATTACACCACTCTTGAATATGAAATATAATCCCACAATTAAAAGAATATAAGTACACCTTATGCTATAGTTCTATAGCAGACATATTATTAATAACTACATCTTTAATATAATGATGCTTCCCAACAAGAAGATTGACTACTCATTACAAGTACCTCATACATATTTTATGTATGTATACACAGGTCATAACAGGTCATCAACGGGTCGGATCAAGGGTTAGGCAAATGAACAATATTTATAAATTTTGTTATAAATAACAAATTTTATAATATTATTCTATTCTAGTCAAGCTCTAGAATCAAAGATTCTTCCGGGCGTCGAACTAAAGTTCTAGCCTAGGAGGGACATGCTCCCTACCGGTCCGCTGCTATAATATTAAGAAATAATTATATTGTTTATAAAAATCTTTATTGGTAGAAAAATTATTTATTGATAACAAAATCAAAAAATTTAAATTAATAGTTATAAAAATAAAACATATAAAAATTAAATTTCTTTTATTTTATTAAAAAAAGTTAATTAATAACATATAAAAAAACAATTATTTTCTTATTAATATATTGCTATTAATAGTCTCCCTTAGACGGGTTGACCGATGGGTCAGAAAAGCATCAAACCGACCCGTTGGCCCGTGTTTAACCCGCGGGTAGGTTTTGAGCTGCGGGTCAGATTGCGACTCGTACTATTAAGATGGTCTATTCGCTTTACAATATGATTTATCACCACTAGCGACTTGCACTATTGTTTTGTATACATACCTTTATGCACACTTTCTTGACTTACTCAGCTTCGTTTGAGCCACTAGTCTTACATAAGAAGAAGGTAAAATTGAGGAAAGAAAGTAGCGATATACATCAGATCAGTAACGAGTTACTGATTCTGCACGTACATCACTTAAGCTATAGAGATGGCTTCAAGAAGGTAAAAAGTGTCGCAAATATACGCCGAAGCAATAACAAATATTAGTTATGCATGTACATTACTTAGACTATGAAGATGGTAGCCCTAAAGAAAAGAAAAAGGCAAAACGCGCAGTCGAGGATTTTTATAGAGCCATTAAATAGAAAAAATGATAGGGTTTAGTGGTTTTGCTACTGCTTCGCTTAGATGCGCGGTAAACTGCAGCAGTGTAAAGAAGTGTCCTGATGAGACTATTTGCTGTCTGTCAGCAACCATGTCAGTGCCTTTTTCTATGGTGCATATATATTTGTTTCACTATACCGCTCTGCTTGCTGTGGTGCTCTGTTTTAGTCTGATCATTGTCAGCAACGGGTTTGTGTGCTTTTGTGGAACAAAAAAATGGCGATATAAGAAGAGTATACTTGCAAATAGACAAATTGCATGTTAAGCTGAAGCAACATACACAGTTTTGTGCTTATATGTATCATACAGCTAACGTGCGTAAAACGCTCATTTTATCAGTAGTGCCTCAGCAGATGCTGCTTACGATCGTCGATTGAATGAATAAAAATCCTTCTTTATTAATATTCAGTAGGAAATGAATATTTTTGAAGTGACAACACAACTAAACATAAGGAGTCGGCGAAAGTTGTCTTTGATCAATCATCGCACATATTAAGTCCAAGGGTAAGGATCTGATAAGTTTATTAATGTATGTATAAGAAAGCTGGATAAAATTGTACTTTTGCTTTGCTACATATGCCAAGTCATCAAACATCATTCTTTGTTGTGTAAGTGAAAGAAATGGCACGTTCTATTATAGCCACCTTTTGCTGGAATACTGGCTCTTAATAAAACGTGATATAAGATTATGTAACATTTATTGGGTGATCCGTTTGTTTTCCTTCTTCTGTATCGGCTGTACTTGCCAACCATAATCTGGGGCACGGCTCTTACTACATGGCGTTTCAATCATTACAGCTGTTTTCTATCGCTCAAAATACCTATACGATTCATGACCCGAGTCCCGGTTTCGTTCTATCCCTACAAGTAAGCCATGAACTGCGAATTCGCTCGTCTGTCTGTCGCATCGACTTTTGTTATCTTTTTTCTAACATCTCCGTTTAGTATCGATTGTATACGTTCTATCCTTCTCTTACATTGATTAGTTTAATGGTTCAATCACCTCGGTGCGAAATAAGAGCTGCTACAGCTACTTAAAGTAGCCTGGTTCAGAAATGTTTCTGCACCTCCATTATTCCAGATTCTCACACAAGGACTTCTTCTCCAGCCGGATCCTTTCGCCCTCCCAAGAAAAGGTGAAGCCGCTTTGACTACGCTCAACCATCAAAGTTAATAATTATCTTAAAGTTCCTCAAGAATATTAAGAGTCACTTTAACTCCCCTGGAGATATTATTATTGACAGCAGTGTCCTTTATAAAGATTTTATAAATATTAAAATATACTCTTATTTGTATTTATTGTGAAAACTACACTTTCATATCGCTGATTACTGAAATCAACCTTATCTGCAAGGTCAGTACATCGTGTCGTATGTAAAAGCAGGTCGAAAATTTCTGAGCATCTTTACTACATGGTCCGACTGACAAGATTTGACCTTTTGCAATCTATTTGATCCAAACCATAATCCCAACATGTACTCGCAAGAATCAGTAAGAAACGTGCTAATGGTACTTTTTCTCTCATTTTCTTAAGCAGTCTCATATCTATAATCGATACAACATCGTATTAAGTATAATACACTCTTTCATACACTGCTGCTGTTGAACTTGGCTCTTACATGTTATTTCACCGCTGTTCCGACGTTTCCATTGAATGATGGATCAGCAAACATGCACTGGTAGCAGCAAAACAGCATCGCTTTCAGCAGAACGACGTTGTCTAAATGCGCCCAGCAATTTCTCTCATACCTTTTTATATAGTGAGTCAGAAAGTCAGATAAGATGTCGATTTGGTCAGGGGAAAATCTCTGAACACGGTGTTGTACTTTTTCTAAGGAGGTTAAGAGTTTGGTAGAAGCTGAACTACGAATGCCAACAGCCCGATCTAGTTACTAATGTCACTTTTTATTGTGTAAGGCGAACAAAGTAATATGCTCGCGGCAGGTCAAACAGTTTTTGTACTAACCATGCAAGCAGCCCGTCAGAAGAACCAAAGTACAAGGAAGCGGAATACAATCTTACTAAAAAGGAAGCGATCACGTAACACAGCATGAAAAAGGATCTTTGGACTATTTTTATTATGCACTCTTCTAATACTGCTGTTTGCAGACTGAGCTTATATCCATATTTCTCGCAATGCGGAACTGGTCAAGGCTGTGAGGCACTCTTTGGAAAAACTAAGCTAATAAAAGGTTAATGCAGAGAAATAAGTATTGGTGACAAACTTTGGAATGCTGCGCTAAAGCAGCTTATACTATGGTAAGTTTGGTATCAATAAGTAGCTTACAACAACAAAGACGTCAAAGCTGACGATAAATTGTTAAAAAAAAGATAACAAGAATTTTATGCTAAGAATTAGGGTGGTGGTTCCACAATGGGACTTGTGTATGATTGATATATGGTGTTCATTGTTATATAAACAAAGAGAATATTTTCTAAAAACAATCAAGAAAAGCGATATTCAAAAAAGTAACGCTCCATTGAAGAAAAGAAGATAAAGAAGTATATAGAAATCCAGGTATTCACAGTTGGTTTTCGGTGATTGTTCTTGTGTAAATAAATAACCGTAAAGTATGGCTGTTTGTGCCAAGCGAGATCGACAAATGGAGTGTTTGTTGAGGACCCAAAACAGGGTGAACATATGATACTACAAATTGCTCTTGCCACCATAATATGGTGGTGAATAATATGTCTGTTTGCCTTGGCTAATGCTAAATATATTGTTCTGCCAAGACGAAACCTTGGTTTCCGGGTTAGCGGACGCGCTGTCATCACCAGATTCAAAGAATACTGTCAATACAGTACACGCATCAGTTCCTTTACTAGAGAAAAAACAAAGAGTAGTTTTGTTATGCTTTGAGTCATATCGGCATATAATGAGTATGCTTTCCACTGGAATAAATTCCTCCGATAGGAATAGTCGTATTGTTTATTGTTCGAGTAATAATTCGATGCTTGAACGTAGAGTGAATATTATAAATCGTTATATTTGAGATATTGAAAGTGCAAATCATATTAGATCGACAGTTCACTACAGCTTTTGGTTATTGTAAAGTGCGTCATAGAACACTGAAAGTCCTCTTTGTACTAAAGAAACGTCAACAGAAGCCAAATTAAGCTGTCAGAGATGAGCAGAGTCTCTTGCACCGAAAGCGTTATGTAACATCAAATTCGGCTAGCGTACTCTTGATGAATAAAATGAATAAATAGCAGCACTTGAATCAAGAGTTTAAAAACTTCCTTATTCCAAGCGCTTTAGCTCAGCCAATATAGCACTATGCCGTCCTGTAATGCGAACAACGATGTGGCTACCAGTGCCGCAACTTCCGTGGATTCCATTAATCAAGAAGGTGATCACTCTACTTACTCTCCCGAGGTCCCGCAGCTCAAACCTAAGCGCTCAGACAAATATGATGGCAGAAGGCTTAATGACCTGATTCTCTTCGTCTATGATGGAGCTTTCAGAAAAAAAGGAGAACGCGTTGTTATGACCCCCATACGTTTCGTTCCTGGAAACAAGATACCAAATCGCCGCAAATGGGTAATACGCCGAATTGTGTCTGTCGCTATCGTGATGGTGATTGAGATCGGTCTCCCACTTGCACTTTATTACGGTCTAAGGAACATAATTGGTGTAGTCTACTCTCTGGTGCTTTCAGGTGCACCTCCTTTTCTTTACGTCCTCTACGAGTTTATACGACGTAGAAGAATCGACATCCTTGGTTGTATCATTGGTCTTTCATTCATCATATCGGGCGCGCTTTCCATCTCTAGCGGTAAGAGACATTATACTTTTCTTACGTTGCAATTAGACTCATGTCATGTTTCTCATATAAATTAAAGGTGATGCAAGAGCAGAGATAATACGCGATTCGGCTGTAAGTGCTGTTATCGGTGGCATGTTCCTCATCAGCTTAATTCCGGTCCGAACTCGATGGTTTACTACCCGGCCATTAGCGTTTGTCATCGCTCGACAAATATTGTATCCTGGTATCAAGTATCGATGGACTGACCGCTACGGAAATCTTCAAGAACAAGACATGGTGCTTTGGAGATGGGAGCACGTCAAAGTTTTTAGATTCAACATGTACGGGCAAACGATCGGCTGGGGATTTCTCCTAATTACGACATTTGTTGCATGTGTCTTGCTGGTTGAAGTTAGTGATCTATCCGACGACGACGTTATTATGTATAACTATATTATCACCGGAGCTACTACCGGCCTCATGGTTATTGTGCCCTTGGCCGTGTGGGTCTACGAGCATAAGCGAGCAACCCAGATTGGAAAACAATGGACAAAGGAAAATGATTTTACCGGTAAAATTCAACGTCAAACAATCGAAAAGGAGGACGAAAGAAGTATTGTGGGAGATTAAGTACAGCAGCATGGAGCGGTTGACAATAGCAATGAACACCCGATCACGCTATCATAGGCAACATGGTTTAAGCGACTATTGGATAAATATCTGTATATTTTTACTCACTCTTTTACCACATGTTTATTTTGTATCAGAAGAGATATGTTCGAATTTCGTACTATAGTATTCTTCTCAATGACAGTGCTACCATACTAAAGTCTTCAGAGCTAAATAACTGTAGCAGTAATTTTTAAGATTTACATGAATTAGTCCCTACATCGGTAATGTTGGTGGTGTCATATATTATGTGGACGACAAGTACCTAGTCGCTACTTTATATGATAACTACACAGAGCAGCTTAGCGGTACTTGTGCATATAGTAGGACTATTAACAACGTTCAATTATACTGGTATGATTGATATTGCTGTCTTTACTGTCTTTACTGACATTAATACACATGATGGTAAGATTACTTTACTAGTAGAAGTTGTAGTCGATAATAAAGCGATCCCTACATAAACTGATTATTTTTTATGCTCTTCAAATTTTGAAATAAGAGCGCTATAACGAACCCGGTTTGTTTGCAGCACGAATAATGGGGACTCTTCAGTTTGCTAATGCACGCCGGTTTACAACAAAACATATTGATAAACGTGGCTCGGATTGTGTGCACCATGCTTCACAGCATACGCCCACGTTTCTTTATGTTAGATATTTGCAATACTAACTTATATTTCATTGCAAGCCTAACAAGTTTCTTCAAGCATAAAGAAACGGCGCAAAATACGAGATGATGTTTTAAGTTACGTTGTAAGACCGGAAATCGCACACTTTATTCTAAATAATAGTTTGTTATTACGCTGCTTCTACGATGACCCCTTACATATTAAAAGTATTTATTGTACAACTTTTGTTTCTCTATTCATCGTCGATGGTACATAAAGAGAAAGATCCGGAAAGCATGCAGAACTTGTTTCTGTAAGTGTACTAATAACATATCATAGCTTCGTACGTGAAACTTTTAAGAAATGCTATCGGCATCGATAGTATTGCAGAATAAAATAAAAGCAGGCTGCAACATGCTGCACCCTTGACATGATTGTGTACTAAACGAGCCAAAAAGAGCTTAAATTAATTACATACTTTGTGGCCTGTGCGGTCTATACCCCTTTTTCAGGCACCGATTGTGGATGCGCCCCCTCTCTATTCCTACACTCGCTTGTCAACTAGATATACTTAAAACTATTGTCTGTGATACTAATAACTGTGTTACATTCACAACATGCTATGTTTTTAAAAAGTGTGAGGCAAGTAAGACTGTCAAATATGTAGCTTTATTGTATTTTAACATAAATTAATGGTAAAAACTACAATAAATGCACGCAAAACCGACGATGAAGATATGCATATATTGTTGAATGTGGAGAAGTGGCGATCAATTAGTGATTTCATATACTTGCAATTTTATCAATTTACTAACATCGTGCCCATATGTATATATAAGAGTACCATGATCATTTATAGCAAAAAAAGGAGAGCAGTGGCAAATTTTTTAATGTGTATAACCAATATGGTAAGTAAAAAGAGCTACAACGAAAAGTTAGTTTTTAATCCATAGGGATTCTGCAAGGTGGTCTTTATCTACTAACATCACCACTACTGCTAGCCCTAGAATAATGCCGGAATTGAGCTTCCGTGCTGCTCTAGATCACACCTGTAACATTTTAAACTTTTTTTCTTTTTAACACACAAACGCTATGAGAATAGTAGTAGTAGTAGTTGCTCAAACAATAAACCACGGACGTATTGCGTGAGCATCTTACCATTATGTACACAGGTAATTGGCATGCTTCTCGTCCGAACTCCAACTGCAGCAGAGTAGCTCGGCGGAAGGGTTTAAAAAAGGAAAAATTACATTTTTAATAGGTTGGATGGTGGGATTACATACATGGTTTGGGGTGACCTTAATCTGTGAATAAATGGTTTACAATGAAATGAGGATCTGGGAGTGGCAGGAGAAGAAGAAGAAGAAGAATGGGAAAGCTTTAAAATAAGTAGTAAGGGCTGTATATAATCGTGTAAATAAGGATAAAAAAAAGATAAATAAAAAGAAAATGAAAGGAGCTATAACAGTAAAAACGGCAACTGGTGCTAGAATTTTCCTGAAAAGTCATCATGGGCACGAGCAATGTCAATCGAGCCATGTCCTCTTTTAAACTGGTATACAATGCGCAGAGAGGGTGGCGTGCTTGTTGGTGTTTCCGGCGTCGCCATTTCGTCTGCTGCTGCAGCAGACGGTGCTGAAATATCCGTAAACAGCTGTACAATCCACAAGTTCTCTATTGCCGAGTCCAATTCGTTCCAGTCACGCAACGAGCGCTGAATGCCCTTCATAAATGAATCAAAGAAATGATTGGCAATTCCAAAATGATACATGTATTGGTCCTTATTGAGCCATAAGCCTTGTTGAATCTCATTGGTGACAAGGACTGGGTTGCCAAAAGAGTAAATATACGTGGTGCACTCGATGGTCCGGCGTTCGGTCGTCTCCAAAAATAGCGCACTTGTATATGTATATTCAGTTGCATACCAATGGAAGTTCATATTCACTTGAGCATGCAGCGTGCACTCAGTATCAGGTGTGCTGGTAGTGAGATGTTGTAGCATGTTACTGTCTTCGTCGTTTTCGTCGTCATAGCGATAGGAAGGTGATGGCATCATGACAGTAGGAATGTGCTGGAACGAAGGGTGTCGGTGCTCCAGCTGCGCAAGGACATGGTAAGAGCTGTCTTGGTTGCAATCGAGGCCGAGTGATATATACGTTGGCCGTATGGCTTCCATCTTCATCGATGTTGTTGTCGTGCTGATATGGATATGCTGCTGCTGCTGTTGCTGCGGAGGTGGTGGTATCATTGCTGTCCCTCGTAGCTGCTCTTGTCGTTTCCCCAGCATTGCCGTTGTCGGTACCGAATGGTGCGGAAGCGGAGGAACTAGCTGCTGTTGCTGCTGATGATGATGGTGATGGTGATGGGGATGATGACGATGGTGGTGCTGAGTAACAACTAGGGACGGTTTTTTATTTTCTTCTTCATCATACATCAATGCTATGATTCTCATAACTAAACAAGATGGTTAGACGCTGTAACTTCTGGGTATACTGTGACAATTTTGCTTGCATGCCCTCACATTTTGGATCATTCCTTCGAGTGTTCTTTAGCACTTGTAGATGAGATGATACTTGTTTTCTTGTCCGGCTTTTGCCCGTCTTGCGGAAGATGTAATCAGAAATCAGCTCGTTTCGACCTGTATATAGTATCGTTGGCTTAGTTTCATGAGAGGAAAACAACGAGTATCTAATTGAAGAAGAGAGCATTGCAATGCTTACATACCATGTGGTTTGCCTTTAATCATGATCTTTCGTCGACCTAGCTTTGGTACTTTTTCCAAGGCTATCCTCCCCAAATAAGAATAAACAAAACGTTTAAACGAGAGATGAGCGCTATGAAGTGGTGTAGCAATGTCATTCAGGTGTATTTTTCAAACATTACCTTCAATAAAAGCGGCTTCTATTTCAGCGGGCCAAACAGAATCGTCGCTTTGCTATTAATATCATTGTGTAAATGTGATGAGCTGTTGCTGTCCTTTTTTGCTTTACTGCCGGCTATTCATTGAAGGTTACTAACCTCTTTTTCACGCATTGCTGATGAGCTTCTTTGACGACATCTTCGCACTGGTAAAAGGCCTGTGGCCTTGTTGTCAACAGTTGCATTACGCGCTTCAAGCATCGAGACAAAGTAAAGATGCAGTTATAGAGTATGTTAGAAAGTAGAAAAAAAAGAGAGAGAGGAAAAAAAAGAAAAGAATTAAGGGAAAAGAGGGACAAGCGAAGCCTGTTGATTGTTGGAACAAAAAATTAAAGGGGGGTTGGGGTGGAAGGTGTGCCAGTCAGCAACATCAGCAGCATCAGCAGCAGCAGCAGAAACAGCAGAGAGGAATTGAATCGATCTACAAAATGTACCTGCGCTGCCGCATATTACCAAAGTCATGCGGCACCCCCTTCCGCTATTTTGCCATTTCATTTCAATCACGACTGCCCATGGTTATATCGTGCGTAAAACTCCAATCATTACCCATTCTGGTCTTATTAGCATCGTCCTTTTATATATTTAACTCTACTATTCCTACTACTAATACTACTACGTAGCTAGAGCGAGTTCTCTTACGCTCAGCACAACAACAAACAAAAAGGTGTATGTGCTATTATGCGTTGTTGCTTTTAGGATCATGTATATCGGAAAAGGAGAGTAAGAATCATGATCCGACAATACGCCCGCCCTTGTTAGTTGAAATTTCTCGTGCATAGATAAATATTAATAAATAGGGAAACCCACGGGCCACAGAACCACAGAACGAGGGATTAAGAACCGTGCACCTTTTTTTTAATATACATGTGCGTCTCCGCTGAGAGAACGTGGCTGCCGTTTGGTGCCAACATGGAAGAGCCGCTAAGCGACTATACAACTTTTGCAGATAATGAGAGCAGTTACAGTGGAGACTTGTTGTTGTTGTTGTTGTGGTGGTGGTGGTCCGAGAAGGATCGTGGCCAATTGCTCATTGCGGAAGCGGCCGCATGTTCGGAAGCCTGATCCGATGAGCATGAATCTCATGTTTCCACATTTCTGCATGCTCGTTCAGTCATCGGAAGACACAATTATTCTAACAACGTCAAGTATTCTGCTCTAAAACTGGACTGAGAAACAAACTGGAGCTGTCAACTATTAGCTTGCTCCGCGTCACCATGATGACATATTATTATAAGATCATAGAGGTGTTTGTACACACATACAACAATAAGAATGGGTGCTATAGACACTACATATGATAGCTTCGTTAATCATGTGAATGTTCATCTCTCAGCCAAAAGATATGTGTAATTGCAGAGTTGCCCCCCCCTGAATGTAATAAAACATGCATTGGCTTTGAGAAGCAATGTTTTTTTACAAGTAGTTTACGAGTTGTAGTTTGTGGGGCAGACGGTATAGCAGATAAGGCATATATGCTGTTTATTATCCGATTATCGAGTCGAGGGCTTGGTTGGTTGTATGGATGCAATTATTGCCCCCTCTTCTCAAAAACGCGTAAACGTGATGATGAAAAGCTAAGGAACGGGAATGTTTATTGAGAGTGCGTCTTGTCGATTTAATTTTGGGAGGATGCTTCTTGCAGCACAGACCACACTCGCTGTTTTGTTTACATAAGCAGCAGCAGCTTTCTAAATTAAGCCCTGTTCCCAAATCCATCACCCTTATATTTCTCTCTCCCACGTTAGGGTTTTCATCTGCATATGAACAAGGAAAGTGCCACATAGCGAATGGCAGACTCTACAGGCTCGAGTAATGTGTACTTAGAAGCCATTACTAGATGTATTCTGGAATCACACAACTAAGGGTCAGTAGCCAATTACCAATATTTTGGAGCGCTGACATAGACAGAAAGTCATTCATGTTGAAAGGTGAAAGAGAGAGAGGATTGAAAACAGGTTAGCTCACTCATGTAATGCAGCTGCCACGTATCTCCTACAAAATAAAGTTAGTGAGAAGCTGTTGCATCTGCTGGGCCATTCCCAGGATGCTGTGGTGTGAAAGGTTGCGTCAGATTTTTCAAACTGCATGCTCGTCTAGGATCGCATATATCGTCGTTGTTTCGTGATCCCGATCTCGGACTCTTTCTCTTTTCTCCCGAGCGCCATTACTTGTGTGGTAGTGATGACTCGTGACGGAAAAGGCCAACACTTTTAAGAGGACCTAATGTAGGAAATGATGCCACCCCGCACTGTTGTTATTACGCAGATATTGACAGCACACATTAATTATTAGAGGTACTAGGATACCAAACTGACTTGGTAGCGCGTGGTACAAATGAGGAGCACGAATAATCGCTTTACGACCAATCCACCAGTTTAGCATTTTGTTGGTGAAAGCGCTTGGGTCTTCTTTATTATTAGTGTATGATCTCTCCACTCTTTGGCCCCGCACGAATAAGCCGCGTTGCGGACTTTTCCTCCCTCTTGCGCAGCGTGGTGTAAGTCATCTAAGAAAAAAAAAATAGCATCTGTTGCTCCTTCTTCTTTGGTGTAGCGCGCGTTATTTTTTCTTTTCTTCCTCTTTTCCTAATCAATGAATGAACACGACAATTCGCCTAGACGGTCCCGATCACCGTCAGCGAATGACGCAGTAGAACCAACAGAACCTATTCAGAATGATCAAGAAGAAGAAGAACAACAACAGCGAACTGTCGGCTCTGAGTCGATGGGTGACATTGTTGGCGAAAGCGAAGACTATCGAACACCACCAACAGAGCACCGCAGGTCGCGTTCGCCACCACGTCAACGATCACGCTCTCGTGATGGATCACTTTCACCACACAGCAAGCGAGCAACCATTCGAAGCACGAGTCGACATGAAACAAGTCCCGATCGTCGTCATGGTAGTCATCGCAGCAGTCGTCGCGAATATAGTGACGATGAAGAGTATTATTCTCGCCATCGTCACCGACATGGATCGTATTCGCCTCGACGACGTCGACGATCATCTTCACGACGCAGATACCGATCGAGGTCGCGGTCACCGTCAAGATCGAAACGCAGCGGTCGTTTTAAATCTTGTCGTATTTACGTGGGAAACTTGTCTTATGACTGTCAACGGGATGAGTTACGAAGCTTTGCAAAAGAAGGTATAGTTCTGTTTCACCACAGAAATAAAAAAAAAACCAAGCCTTTTTGTTTCTGACGCTTTAGGGATTTGGTGTATGTCTATGTGTGTGTGTATCTACGTATGTAGCGGGAACAGTCGTGCATGTGGAAATACTGACATCACCCAGTGGCAGATCAAAAGGTTGTGGGTAAGTTGAGGAAAAGAAATGGATTGATTTGAAGTATTAAAGAGGGCTATCGAAAAAGAGACTGGATATCGCATATATATTAAGTTGGACGCGAATAGTATTGTTCAATATTCTCGTCCCGAGTACGCAGAGCGCGCAATGCGTGTTTTGAATAGAGTCGAGTTCATGGGTCGACCTGCGTTTGTTCGTGAGGTAAATACGAGGCAGGGTAAAGAATGTTTGATTTAAGAGACTCATATTCGATTACTCGTGTTGGAATGATGTAAACAGGATCGCGAGCTTGAAACCAAAGTATCCAAAGATCCACGTAACGCGCCAGAGGACCAACGCCTGTGGGTTGGAAATGTAAGGAAATATTTCTACAGTACGCTATATATTGGACCGAGTGTTATAGATTTGGTAACTTGAAACCGGTTTGAATGTACAATACAGCTACCATTCTCTACTAGTTGGCAGGATCTGAAGGATTTGTTCAGAAAAGCAGGAAAGGTCACCCATACCGATATTGATACAGAACCGGATTCGCGACGGTCCAAAGGAACAGGCTTGGTCATTTATGAAGACCCGCGTGCTGCCCAAACAGCCATCAGTAAGTTGCCGAGTTAGTGTGCTGTGTAATAAGATAAATATATGGAAAACTAATCATTGGCTCTTGTATGTAGATATGTTCGACGGCTCCGAATACCGTGGCAGAGTACTGCAAGTTTGTGAGGTAGTACTAGATAGCATACGGGCAAAAAAAAAGAAAAATATCCTTTTGGAAGCATGAAATTGACTTGGAAGAGCTGGTTTTAAAGGAACGAAACGCGCCACCCCCTCTCCCACCTCAGGCAGAGATTCGTGAACAGAGAGAGCGAGGTAAGGATTGCCTTGTATCAGTGTCGTAAGGCGGGCATTTGAGCTTACATACATTCGACGATAGCGAGTGAGGAGTACCGAGGACGACCACCTCCACCCAGCTTTACTAGTGAACCATACCCTCCTCCTGTCTTTGACGCCGCTGTTCCACCTCCTCCGCCGCATTATGCACCTGTGGGCTTCGTCGGTGGTCCCGGAGCATCCATGCCGAGCCACGGACCAAATCAAATTTTTGTCACTAATGTAAGTGTTCCCCCTTCCCCAACTTTTATTTTCATGTACCATAGTGAAAGTCCTTTGTAACTCAAGTACGCATTTTGTTACTACTAGCTGCCTTTCTCTACCACATGGCAAGACTTGATTGACCTGTTCCGACACGTTGGCCCGGTTGTACGCGCCGAAATACAAACGACGAACGGACATCCGAAGGGCTCAGGATTAGTGCGTTTTGAAGAGTTTGCGATCTGTGAACGAGCCATAGGCAAGTTCAATGGATATCTTTATGGTGGCCGTTACTTGGATGTGCGTCTTGATAAATTTTCTACCCCTGGTTAAAATTGCTGTTTATCATTCTTTTCCTTCTCTCCACCCGTATTACATTTGCTTTTTTTTCTTAAAAACAATCCTTCCAATTATCTATTAACAATAGGAAAAAAGATAGAAAATTTTAAAAAAATACCCATTTTGCGTGCCATTTTTTTGTTTACTTGAAAAAGTATGATTTCAATGGCGATGTATTATGACGTATATTACACCGCAGGAGTGTTTGCAGTGTGATTTGTTTCAGCACAATATCATTGGAAGTACGGGCATTCACTGTGGTCATGCAGTATTTATAAAGAGAAAAGAACATGGTATGTATATTTACTTAATGGTAATAGAACAGAATCAATGTACAGTGTGGCATAGTGCTATGAGGGGAGAAGAGAAAGAGTGTGAGGGAGGGCTTAGTTTAATTTTACAGTCGGGCAAGAAGTGTCTGGATCTTGGATGAACGTGCTTGCAGTGCGGCATAACCTTCTTCGACCAGCTGAGCGGCGTGCTTTGCTGAGCCCCAGCTGGACTGATATCCAGAGCCGTCGTGTCCGTAGTTGTGAGTAACCAAAATAGGTTTTCCAGAGGGAGATGCTATGAGAAGATGATCAGTTGTGGAATTATTTCAATCAATCCATCAGTCAGAAACCTTCATGTTGCCTTACTTTTGAACTCATTTTCAACGCGCGGACCACCTTCACGACCGGGTCGGATACCCACAATATGGCCCACAACATCCAATCGCTTTATGCCCTTGCCGTTGGTCAGGTCTGGACAATACTTGCATGCTCGTTCCATAATGTCTTTTGCAAGAGCTGGATTAGGCTCCATATCTGTGCCCTGCTCCTCCTTTGTCGTGCCCAGAATGACAGTGCCATCTGAACGAGGAATGATGTACGTGTATGCATCTTTCGCTGTTGTCAAAACAATAAGTGTGTTGTGTTTGTGTGTAAGCAAACCGACATATCATAACCCACATTTACCCAACTTACTCTTCATCGAGATTGTTCGCCGAATATGATTAGCCCGTACAAGCACGTTTTGACCACGAATAGGCTTCATGTTCTTGTCTTTGACACCGCCTAACCATGCAGCGTGCAATCCAGTGCAGTTGACGACAATGTCAACTGAATTTTGTTCATCGTCCATTGCTTCCTGAATGTCCGAGATGGCAACATGGATACGTTTGCCTCCCAGTGCAACAAATTGTGCTTGCAGCCATTTCAGGTACCGGTCAGGGTTAATGAGGACTACAACATTTCGCGCAAGGCTTTAATAAAACATGTTCTCAAAGGTCTTGTGTTATGCTTCTCATATGTATTACCAGTTGTGAAACGATAGCCCACGGCAACCTTGGGCGGCAGCTCATGCTTTGGGATAACTTGAAACTATGGCAGCGCAATGCAAAAAAGGCAAGTAGTTTTATAAGCACGTTGTTTTCACACACTCACACACGTACAAAGAACGCTTATTAACGCATTCAAACAAACAAACAGACTGACTGATAAACTTACTCCAGGTACTACATTCTTCCACCACGGGTTGCGTTGGTCGTCGGTAGGCTTTTCGTAATAGTCAAACGATGGCACAACCATGATGCCTGTCTCGCCTGCTCGGCATTTAGCAAGCTCCCAAAAGAGCTTAAAGGACTCAATGTCGTAGCCTAATGAGTAGTGGTTGAAACATGAATGATGATAAGCTTTGCTGGTATTTCGTACGAAATATTTAAAGGTGCTGCCCCACTTACGTTGTAGTCGAGAGTCATCATTGGGAGCACTGGTCTTCCAGCGAGCACCCGCCCATGGAGATGTATAGTCAGCGCTCAGGTCTCCGGGAAAGTGTTTGGCAAGAATTGTAACGTTGTAGCCTTTGATTTGCAACAAAAGTGCGGTCGTCAATCCAACGACACCGGCGCCAATGACATGTACTTTTGGAGGAGTGGACTTGATTTTCATAATATTTGACTTTGTCAGGGTTTACAGAGTTTTTAAAAAAAGAGAGGAGAAAGTGTGAGAAGAAACAGAGAGGAAAGGAGCGGCAGGATCCAAGGGGTATTTATCATGCAGCCATGATTTTTCGCGGGGATTTTTTTGCGCTTTGTCCGTCCGTCACCTTCCGACCCTATTTTTTATGTATTTCTAGACATAGTTCTTATCGTATATTCCCTAATATACGAACCCGTCTTCCGCTGCACCGATCAATCCTTCCCTTATATACAGCTACTTGCTTTATATGCCTTATGCTGCGACTAAAAGTTAACATACCTGCTGTGGATTGGAAGAGAAAACAAGGTTCGGCTTGTTTCTCACACTAAAATTATCACCTTTCTCATGTATACCCCGCAAATCAAAATCTTCAATCGGGGTAACCAATTTGGATTCTGCTCTGATGTATGACGTTCGTGCTAGATCCGTGTACCTGTCGCTGCTTATTACATCCTGTTTGCCTCTTTCCCTGTGTATCGTCGAGTGTGTACCACCACAGCAGCCCATCTTTGTATCCGCCTTCAAGGCACTGCGGTCGAGCATTGTCCAATTATAGGCATATATAATAACGCGCACGCTTTCCAAGACGTGTCCAAGGCCACTGGTTGTTTACTGTTTCTTGGTTGTGGTGGTAAGTTATTTTCATTTTGCGAAAACAAGGACCCCGTGATCACCATTATTGCCGGTTATTCAGGCGAAAGGGCGGACGGAACAAAGCGAAAACCGCACGCACACATATCAATACATTAAGCCACCGTGTATATTCGGGTGCAAACCTTATTGTTATGCGGTGCGCACTCAGACCATCCTCTGATAAAGAAAAGAAGGTTTCTGTAAAGGCGCTTCAAGCCCACGGAGATTCAATGGGCTTTTTCTACGCAGACCTTATTGGTTCCATTCTTTTCTGGATATAATCAAATAATCATCTCATTTGCTAAAGACCGTTTTATGCGCGCGTAGCAACGAGGTCTGTGTGGCATGACTTTTTCCATTTTTTGCTGACTGGATTTTTGCTGCTATCGATACTACAGATCACTCCATTATTCTCTAGTAGCTAACCTTTTCTTTTATCATGCTGTTCTCTCCTCTTCCCAAAAGAAACACAAATTTCTTGAATAAAACATCCCACCTGCTGTTGATACCTATAACTTGAGAAATAATTGTGTAGCGATGTCGGTGGTGACACGGACATTTGTTTTGGCTTATTTCCACTTGAAGCGCAGTAGATGATGCAACCATTGTAGACATATATATGGAAAATTGCATGGTTGTACAAGGTTGTTATGCTCTGCAAGATCACAGGAGAGCATTTCTTTTTTATCAAACCGTAATCACCTTTCATTTAGGCTCTTCTTCCTTAACCTATCGAGCCCATATGCCTATACATGACTTGCCAACATTATAAATGTACGTTTTTCTTTCGTCTTTTGGAATTATGAGAGCAGAAAACATGAATAGTCAGCGCGTGTTAATGCCCTACAAGAAAAAAGGTAAAACATTTGGTCGCTGTACACCTCGTAACCGGTAGATATGATTGTATCATGAGCACACCGTCGCTGGTTTGCGACGTTCTATTTAGTTGATACTTCAAAAAAGCGTACGCTAATAAGAATACTCTGCAGCTAGTGGTTTACCTTATAACATACAGTGTAAATGCCTTTTCTAAAACAATGCAGTGCCCAGCATTGTCTTTGAACAAAGGTTACGCTGTTGTCACGAGTAGGGAGCAAGCTTCTAATGAGAATGCTCAGAAATGTATTAACATTTGAATGAGGAACTAACTGCTATTCTGCTAAGCGCGTGTGTACGTGGTAGACAGACGATGTTCCTTGGTTGCATTTAAATAAAGCTTTGCTTGCAAGTTCTTCAAGAGACAGCTGCTATGAAGTCGACGATATTATGCATGTAGCAACAAGTAAGTGCCAAGTGATCCTTGAAGCGTGTCTCCAAAAATAAGAGGTTATCTATGCATTTTCGGTTTGTTGCGCCAGACTTTGAAGTTTATTCACTGTTGAGCCAAATAACAATGTTGCACTACATGCACATTAGTAAGTATGGATAGTATTATCGATAGTACTATACAAAACAAGAGGCTTTGTTCAAGATATCAAGGGTAATTAGTTGTTATCACTGTTGCTGTTCGGGTTATTCCAAGCTGCGCTGTTAAATTCGGTTGGTCGATGAAAGTTACGCAGAAAACCCCTCTCTTCTTTTACAAAATCATAGAGCAAAATCGCAAAAACAAAAGTACTCATTCTGTCCAGAGATTCCATGAGCAACCGAAATCAAGGCAAATTCAGATTATGCACTTACAGTAACATACCACCGTCGAAGCTCAGAGTTAAACTCTCTCAATCGCACATTGATCAAATCCGACATGAACGAGAAGCTTTTGATCGCATCACGACGTACAACATCAACAATACTCAAGCAATCTCTTGTTATTTATACAACGTACGGCACTTTTCTGGGAAAGTCGGTACAGACAAAGAGCTGTTCGCAAAGATATCTGATTTCGCACAGTCAAAGTGTCGAGCGTCAGACTTGATAATCCATGCCGCACGTCTCTTTGATACACACGACTCTCTACTAGATGGTCTGTTAGCAGTATTACCCGCCGGTTATCAGATAACAGTGTTTGGCGAAAATAAAGTGAAAACGATCAAAGTCGTTGCAGTGTCTGGAGAACGCTTCGTTATATATCGAGTTCCGTTACAAGACATCAAATCACTATCACGACAGCATCCGCCACAGCCGCAACCACGAGCACAACAGCCGCTACCCACATCATCACCACCAACAACAACGGAACCATTACCGACTCCCAAGAGCTTGGGTGTCAGCACATCAAAATCTATTACAGAATCACCCAACAAATCGCCCAACGAAACAATAATATCGTACTATTCACATGATTTAGCACCAACGCCCATTCCTACTGCTAGTTATCAACAGATACACGCGCAACATTCAAATAATGTATCACCATCAACACCTGTAGATTCTGAATCCTTCACACATAACATTGCAAACACAGCAAGCAAAAACTCATCGAACTCGCCGAATCAAGACAACCATGTAAATGTACAGGTTCAACCTTCACTAGCATCGAATTCTACAAACCTAGACTCGCAACATCAAAAAGGGACGCGTCCTACACAAAGTTTGTTTGCTCTCCCTGCACCTTCATCGCTGCTACGGCATCACGACGATCAACAGTGCGGAAATACACGATCTCCGTACATCCTTCCTCCACCACCTTTCATGCCAGCACCATCAGCATTTGTACCCACCGAAAATCAAGGTAAGTCCATATATATATGCAAAGAAGTCCCACCCATGGGCTGCTGCTAACACCCATACACCAACAAATATTTGTAACAGTGCCGAATTACGTGAATACTTCAACTGCTGTTACAAGCTCAAGACCAACAGAAATTATCCCTCAGTACAATCAAATATCTGCTGCTTCACCATCATCCCCATCTCCATCACAAGTACAATCCGCAAGTGTCCACAATCAACAACAAACGAATCTCGTGTATCTTCAAAATGGAAACATTCCTATAAGTAATGATTTCACCACCAACACGTTACCCCCGATCACTACAATACCACCACCACCGCCGCCTCCGAATAACAATAACAACAACAGTAACGCCTTAGCGAATACGTTCACGGGCCCAAACTTACCACTTTCACGGCGCCACATTAATCCATCGCCGCAGGTGTTTAACCCAGAAACCCGCACCTACGAATCGTTTAACCCAGAAACCGGCACCTACGAATCGTTTAATCATATACCAACTTTGGTCTTTGATAGTCAACATTCTCGGCATGAACGTCCACAATCAATACCATTACAACAGCCACTACCGAATAGTTTTCATAATTCAGTATCAACGTACTACCAACAGCCTTATCTACCAGTCTCCCAGCAATTATCTACTTTACAACAACAACAACAATTACAATTACAACGATTACAACCACCGACGCACTCAACATCAGCATCAGCACCCGTAAACAACTCAAACGACACCAACCTTCTTTCGAAAACAACCACATTACAAGTTAACAATGTATCAGCAGCAGCCACAAAAAGTACCACCGATGTACGTATCAACAACGAACCATTATCTGAAAATAACGCACGCAAGTCACCAAAAGGTACATTGACTTTGTCAAAAAGTATCGATTGTGAAGCGGTGCCCAACAAAAGCGATCGACCAGCAACCCAGGATGATGATGTTGCAACTCCTACTATCAAAGGCTCTGGTGATAGTAACGCGATTGACAATACAAAGTCACCGAAGAAGTTGTTAATCACTACAAACGAGATGAGCATTATTGATGATCTTCGTAAATATCTACAGCCGTCCGGGTTCCAGTACTTTTTAAAGTTAATGGACATGGTCAACAACGATATAATTGATCGAGATGCGCTAGTTGATTTTATTACCCCAGCGTTTAACGACGACAGCGACAAAGAGCACGGGTTGCTACAACGACTGAAGACACTTGTTGGCTACGGTGGAGGCTCAGCAAAATACCAATTAAAGACCATTGCATCTACTATACCGAAACCAGATTTATCAGAATTATTAAGCATTGAGGAGAGCCCAAGTTATCGAAAAGTAACCAACCTAGAGGTTAGTAACAAAAACAACAACCATTTTTATACAAGCCAACGAAAAAAAAAATGGCAAGTATAAGACAAAAAGACTAACGGAATCTTTATTGTTACTGCTCTCAAACTTACTCATAGTGGGTCAACCAACCTTGCTCAGCACGCGATGATTTATGTCGTGAAGTTTTGAACGATGTCTACATATCATATCCTACGGAGGAAAGTGAAGGAAGCAATGCAGACACGTTCACGTTAAATAGATATGAAGAACAGCTACATCGATGTGAAGAGAAACGGTATGTGTATATATTCTCGCTTCTTATTCTTTGTCGTTTTCTGTGTATTATGATGTTTATATGACTAGTTCTTACTCTACCCATAATTTCTAGATACGAATTCGACTCCGTGATTGACGATAATGAAAAGGCGATCATACTACTGCAGATGATACTTGAAGACCTGGAGAAATTGGAGGCGAAAGACGATAGCGACAGTGACAGCGACAGTGACAGCGACGAAGACAGCGAGGACAACGACAACGACGACGATGGCGATGATGAGGAGAGAGACAATGAGGAGAAATTCGATAGCCTTGTCAATCAGCTCAACAAGTTTATTATCATCAAGGCAATCAAGGTAGCTTACGGCAAACGACACGCACCTAGAGTCATCGAGGGCCTTCTCAAACATCCAATACAAAACATACCCGCCATTCTCGAGTTCCTGGAAAGCGAGGGCGAGAAATGGGAACTGGCACGGACAGAGCTTAATGACATTTGGCGAGAAATTGAAAAAGAAAACCATGTACTATCGTTGAAGCGGAAGCGAAATGAAATAAGTGGCAGAAAATAAGTCGCAAAAAAAAGTACAAGCAAATGGTGTACCAATCCTTGAACTTTGACACGGTCCCATCATTCTTTGTTTTTTATTAAAAGCGTTTTAACCTTTTGGGTAGTTGATGATGCTGACAGGTAGTCTCTCTGATAACTAGTATCTTAATTTCAACTACGTGCACGGCTGAATTGTTGTCAGTTATCTTTATTTTGCTTTTGTTTCCTGTATTGTTTTTGCTAGTAGTCTGCGCTGTTCGTTTGCCAACCTCTTTCTCATACAACATGAGGGTCTTTGCAGAAAAACAAGGTTGTGCCAAGATTTGCAACGACGCGTGCACCACCAGTATCTGGTCGCACCCGTGTCGATTCGCGTCGTTCCCCTTTTCCATTCCAAAATTCTTTATATGAACGATGCATAATTTCCGCCTTCTGACAAACAGGAGCTTACGATATATCGAGTCAGCATACTCATTTCTTCGTGTAATGTTCCTCGAGAAGCAATTTTATCCTCCGGTTAGTGGTTATTATGAAGCTTTATGCATGGATGATATCAATGCTTTGATCCAATCCTCGTAAGTCGCAAAAGTAGAATGCTCATCGAATATATTCAGCTACTTATACCAAATTTTAAGCGTCCTTTGTACTGGTAGATGTATTTATTAGAGATTCTTGACAGCACTTTTCGCTTGACCTTCTCTTTGATGCTGCCATAATCAGAGTCACCATTCAATGGACGCGCTGTCGAACTACTGTTTCGTCGTCCGTATGCAGTTCTTTCATCACTATAGAGTTACATTCCTGCGTTTGATTTTGGAATTTGGCATTCGGATTTCGGTATAAGCTAGTCAAAGGTGGTTAAGGCCGCAAAATCTAGTACGCAGGTATCGAAGGATGCTGTCGACAATCGTTCCAGAATCTAGGACGCCACTCAAAAGCTCAATGTTTTCCAAAGCTTTGCAACGTTTAAAGTTTACAAGACACATCGTTCCTCCAGTGTTACTGTTGCTGACAGTTTCGTTCGGTATTCCTTTTTTTTTTCTCGACATATTCCTTAAATCGTCCTGACATTGTCGAACCGAACACTCCACGATTGTCCAAATGATCGTGAGATTTACAGTTCGTCACTCTGCCTGTGTGGCTTTCATGCTTGTTAATGGATTATATGTTGATCTATTTTTTTTTCTTGGATTGGATGTTTTTGTTGCTGTTCGTTTAGAAAGTAATAGCTGCCTTTATAAATTGAGATACAACTTTTGTCATGCCGGTTTTTGAGACACGTTCTTTACTGCCGCTGCGCTTTGAACGTTTCGATCGCATTAATGCGGTCATGTACGACTGGTTTAACTTTCTCATTTGTCGAGTCGTGTGCGAACAAGTTTAGTACATCACTGTACCATTGGGAAAACGGTTCAATGTCTGTGACAAGATTTGCAATTAGCGTGTTCTTCGTCTACTGCGGTTTGAAGCAGTGTGCTAGTGCTCCACAATACACCGCACTACTTAAGTTGCAATACTTATATTTACTCTTTGACTTCTCATTTACATTATTCGGGGTGATAACTTGCATGATTGCATTAAATGAATAATAATTGTAAGCTGTTTAAGCCCGAATTGACCGCTATATGCCGTTCGAAAAGGTTCGCAGCGAGCATCATGAACGGAAATCGTATGTAAACATTGTCATCTAGTAAAATAATAGAAGCCGCTATTAATATGCTGTTTCACTTCAATACGTGAGTTCTCTATCATAACGGTGACCTGTGTGCCTGCTAAAACAAACACTTGATACTCAAACCATTCTGATACCGCTATTGCTGATGCGTAAAACTATCTTAAACGTCATGCGCATGCCAACAAGGTTGAAGAATTACGACAGCTAATTATCGTTAATTCGAACATCCCATACACCGATGAGCTGTTTTCCTAGGATGGCGGTCTAAAACAGGAGCAGGACGATACAGAAAGAGTCTTTCGATGACCCCGACGAATGAAAACCTAATAAAAATGTGAGACCAACATGCTGCTACGGAAGAAGCGGATACTCTCGTGAGCTTTTGCCAGAGGCTGTTGTTGGTCCTGAAGACTTATAGACTGCCGAGGGTTAGGAGGCTTTTCTTGTCAACGCTTGTATTGAATACTTAAATAGTGTCTTATATACTACTACCGTCATATCATAAAAGACTTCATAACATTAGAAGCTCCAGTTCATTAATGATGCATTTACTACGAATTGTGGTTATTTTTAAATATAAAGTTGAGGATTCCTATCAGCTTTTCAAGACTTCTAAACTATTACAGTAAGACTATTTCAGCCATTATGCACCTTATTTGAAAACAGGTGATCCTGTTTGGTTTCTTATTTATTTGCTCCTATGTATTCCATGTATGCAACTCAACTCTTTTTAACGTTGCAAACAGAACTTAGTGAGCAGAATACTGTATGCACCTTATTTCATATATCACTCATAATGGATTGCCATAAATCCAACATATAATCCCAAATATCACAGTAATTTTAAGGTAGTTTGCCGGTGGCGCTTCTCTTTGTGTTTAGTTTTGGACGCTCAACCAGAATCTTCAGAATACCAGAAAAGACATTGAAGTTTTTTAAATCAATAAAGCCCACTATACAACTGCAAATCTCAATTTCAATTACGGGACGGCATAGGAGTTTTTCCTCTTCCTGCCGTAAGTTGTGCCTCAAACTTGTGTAATCAAATCAGGCATAGACCTGGTAAACCGATCTGTTATGAAAACAGGGCAGCAAAGTTGCGAAAAGTCATTTTTGACAAACAGCCGTTAAATAGCTCACACATTTTTAGGGTCGTCTGGAAATACAAGTGGCTGACAGTCCAGCAGGCCCAAGGCTATCAACATAATTGCTGTCGATTTGAATAGGTCCTCCTCTTTCCTCCCCCTGCCTTCTTTTCCGCTCGTGTCGTTTCTCTTCAATCCGTATCTGCCTTCTGTTTCCGCCCTCCTCTGGCTCCTTATCTTCCGCTTTCCTCGGTGTTTCTTTGTGGTGTGTTGCACCTTTGAGCAGTGTTTGACTGCATTTTGATTGCGCACTCGTTGCACACGGCGGCTTGGTTGGGTTGTGGTTTCCGTAAGTGATTATAGAATAGTATCACACTACTATCACGCCACAAATGATATACTGATGAAACCGAATAACGTCTACAGGTTATGCGTGGTACGGCCACGGTGCTCGCGGGTGTCTGGCGGTCTCCGCCTTCGTCAGGCGATGGCGAGCAGTCCGGATATCTCCGTGGATGATTTCTTCAAGGTAAAGGAGGTAAGGGTTTGGGTTGGCACTGGCTACAGCCACCGGGGGTGAAGGAGTACTGGGGGGGGGCACACGGGGGTAGCGATGGTGGTAGAGTCGGTGGTGGGGAAAGGAGCAACGCTCTGGTTGTGTAGGCAGCAGGGACATACCATCGAGTCACATGTACAGCGCCGGTTCTTGACAGCAAATGACAACCAAAGGCGCCAAGCTTGTATAGTAACGGCACGTAATATGTTTTCTTTCATACCCACGACCATCTTTATAAGAAGAGGCTAACTAACTGATATATCCTTTTTCCTTTCCCTATCACCTTCTTCATATCGCATTCACCTCAGATGTGATGTGAAGAAGGCGAAGAGAGGCCAGTTATTAGGATTTTATTCCTTTCCGTTGTCATACCAGTCAGTTCCAGCTCATGTGGATGGTGTTCCTGCAGAAGCCCTTGCAACCAGAGCAATGTTGTTCCTCCAATCCCCGCCACCGAAAGCTCAACCGGAGCTATCCTCGCCCTTTCATATCCTGGATCCCCCACCGGTTGTAGTCAGTGTCGCTGCCATGTCAGTCCCAGCCTCAATCCTTCGCCTTTGCCTTGGGGACTCCTGAAGCTGAGGTGTCCGGGCTAGGGTGTCTGGCGTGCGGTGTGGTGGTACGCCGCGATGGGGGAGCTTCAGCTTCCCAGGCTAGCCGAGTAAAAAATCCGAGGGTTGCGAGAATCGCGTCTTTGGCTTGATCACGTAGTCTTTATGGATGACAAGCAGTCATGGCGGTTATACTGCTTCTGGTAGCGTCGAATTTCCAGGCTAAACGAGTAAAAACGAGGTCCTTCACTTGGTTTCGATTCGAGGATTGCCAAAATTCCGTCTTTGGCTTGATCGGTCTCCTGTCAAAGTGGATACCTTATTATCATCCAATGTTTGGCGATCTTTTCCAATTTACGTTGCCAGTCTCAAAACACGTACAGCCATGTGCGCTCCCAAAACGTTGGTTTACAAGCAACGACGCCTGATATGCAAATCAAGAGGGCGCATAACTATCTGCTACTGTATTTATGGCGATATGACGACCAAATCTCTTTAAGCTCACACTGGATTGTATTTTCGAGGCACACGCATGTCGTTGACGGATCAATCGCAAGTTGTGATGGTCAGACTTTTGCACTACTTATTTCGAGCAGACAAAACAGCAATATGTATTATCGTCGTACGTATTATGGTGTTACACCGAAACAATCACGGACCAATCTCCAACAAAAAATCTCCAAGAGTTTATTTTATGCGGTCACCTTGAAGATATCGAAGACCCGTCATCGTCATCGTCATCTTCAAGCTGTACTGTGGCGACCAACTACGTGCAACATAGAATGTTGTGTCTCAACATGACACCATGGTAGAATCAACGAGGATCTTCACCGCAGCTCGTAGTAGCAACGAATAGCAGGACATTGTAGCGACGACAAGATATCAGCGCGGATAACGATCCAAGTGACTGTATCAGACCATCAAGCTACGCAAGGCAGTATAAATCTGCACAATACAACATATCTCTAGCCAAAGGAAACGTCAGCGTTAGCAGCTTCTAATACGGAGACAGCAAAGCGAAACGTACATAAGCGGGGAAGAATTGGCAACAGTGCAAACGGCAACTGCTCAAATAAATCAGCGTCAAATCGAGTGGATGTATTCACACTGCTTGTAATTACAAAATAGTGACTACTCATTCGACAACATCAAAGCAACATAACGAATTGCATCGGCATTAACGACGTCCAAACACGGTGACAATACTGTACTGTAATTGCAGTTGCAGGACAACAATTTGAGCGACTCTTCATCTAGTCAATTTAATGCAATGACAACAGAACAACGAGGGCCCATGGCAACAACAACAACAACAGCTCAAAAAGAAGGAAGCAAGATTTAATATGGTGGCAATCGGGAATGGGTCGAAAATCTGGAGGCTGATAATAGCACAGCTAGCAACATTACAGGCTGGTCAACATCATTTTACTGGCAAAACAAACTTTATGATATGCGTGCGCCGTTGTGGCGATGAGCAAAAAAACTTAAAACAAACGGCTCTCATTTTGCGAGGAAACAGGTTTATCATTTGATTACTGCGTGGCTTCGAGTGCAATGACAACCAAATACAAGGAGAGGCGATAAAAAGCAAGAAATTATGACGATGATGGGACATCTATCAATTGAGTTCGACAATATTAGCATTGGATAACGGTAAGTAGTACGCCTTTTCGAGCACACAGAGACATTACAAAGACTCCGATATATCTCTACGTACGGCAACAAAACGTTGAGCGACAACATCGAATCAGTGAAGCTGATCTATCTCTATCGCGATGACAACAAAACAGAACAGGCAGTAAACCTGAGCAACAGCAACTGTCAAGGAACTGCTAATGCCGACAATTCATACCTGCCAAAAAGATACACGGAGTTCATAGCATTGCTTAATTAATAACAGGATGCGAGTGACAACAAGGGCACTGTTTAGGGAACAGTCAAGGAGTATTCAAGTTAGCATAAATGTCATCCGAACCCAACTCTCTGTGGTGGCGGCACGGAGCTAAACCTAAAGCCATTAATGTATCAGTGAGTTTACTGACACGAGTAGCAGCAGTATAGAGGTACATATTACTGTACGGTGATGTGCGGGTTCAAGCTTAATCTCCTGACTAGTGGATGCTGTGATGGTTCGCACAACTGCATTAGACCTTGGTTGTCGATGGGTATGTTCGTGAGACGCATTTTTTCAAGCTGTTGCAAACGTCGAAGCGGAGTAAGATCGCAAAGAGGATTCTCGCTGAACATGTGAAGGAAATTTCGCAAGGAAAGTATACGGAGCCGTTGCAGCGTACCGATGGTTGCGATAATGCTGTTCAGATACTGCGTTATTCCAGCGCGATTTCCAACTTCCAAGATCTCATTTTGTTGCTGCATGAGCAAAATCTGGGACCAATCTTCGCTTGACATACCAGTGATGTCCGTCAACCCCAAACTTGTCAGCTGTGTGAATTGGTTGCGTGCCAAGACATCCCAGCAATGAATATCAGAAAGACCACAGGTGACTATACGTAAATGTTCTAGTATCGGCTGCGATTTTACTACTATCGGCATGATCCTCTCGTGTCCCTTGCCGTTGAATAGCAGTTCATAAGCCATACTGCCTTCCTCGCCATCATTCGATGCTTTCCTTTCAGTTACTTAATATAAGCACTCGTGCTTCTTGATAGTGAAATCCATCTGTCTGCTATGACTGGTTCGCTGCATTCCCACATAATGTAGCGTAATAGAGGTCACAGCTCATAAGCTGTATAGATGTTGGTTGGAGATACGTTGTTGAATCGTGAGTAAGGCGATAATATCAAGTACTTGATGTGGGAGCAACGCTGCAATAAGGGACGGATCCGGTATTTAAAACTGAGAACACCGTCCAGTCTTAAGAAGATAATGTTGTGTATCGGTGGCCTTTTGTGTCTGCTTCTGCCATCAACTTGTTCAAGAGTAGCGTCTGATAAGTTAGTGCGGCCATCAAACATCACTGAAAGATGCGTTAATGACGGCAAGAAGTCCAGTAGCATTGGCAGCGAGATATCGCAAGTGTGAAATGAAATCGTCAGAGCAGTTAGCGTATGCGAGAAATATCTGATGAATCCTGGCAGTAACGTGCTACTGTCGAAAATAGGTTGTAATTGTTTGCTATGCACATGGTTGCTGATGTCTTATTTTTTATTATTGAAAACAAAGAAAAAGCTTTAGTATATCTTTTGCGCATAAGCAGTAGTAAGTACTACCGAATACGCGATCCTCTTAACGCAAAAAAAAAGAGTATCGTTTTACTTCACCAAGGAAGCGAATGCTGTATCTTCGCCAAGCAAGTCGTTCCAGTACTTTATACGTGGCTTGAGATTTGATGTATATTGATTCGACTTGTTGTCCCAAACATTGAAGCATCGCGTCGCTCCTTTTGTTCCATGCATCAGGCGAGATTCCCACCAGTGTCCACAGGGCTGTCTGGTAAGTGGGGATCGCGTATAACCAGCGGCGACATACTTTCACACATTCGACACAGCCCGCTGTCCGATAAACGAGAAGATGTACTGAATGATTCGGGAGGCAAAATCGAGATCAAATCAGTCATATTACGTGTATGTGAAAGGGGACGCGCGAAAAGAAATTTGGCACGAGGCTTTTAATCGAACAAAGCCTGTATAACATAATCCGGACTCGTGAAATAATATGTCCGACAAAGGAAAAGCAAGTCGAACCAGGTAGCTCACCTGAATTTTATTTGGAAAAGGGGGACCCTGAAGATTGATCTATTGTAACCACCAGTAACTTCATTAAATCTATGCTATCATAGCGATACGCAGATACACATTAGAACAGGCTCTTTCTAAAACCATCGACTTCTCGATACGAAGGAAAAGGCTTCAATCAATACTCGGGTTTATTGTTTGCGAGCCGCAAAAGTCATATATTAGTAACCAATCGCTTGGCCTGGAAAACACAGCATCCCTGTGTGCAAGTTTTGGTAGAGCAACTATATCATATCTTTAACAGGTCCCCCTGATATCTTTGGTGAGCGATCATCACTTTCAAATAGGTAACGCATACCTTGAAAATATGTAACGAAGTAAAGTTAAATAAGAAAAGGAAGAGAGAAGTGAAGGTGTAAGGGGAGGGAAAGAGCTGTTACAAGAATCACGCTTTAAAAGCAGGCACATCGGAAAGATCAGTGCAAGCTTTTCGATCCAGGTGAAACCCAAAATGATAAGAAAATCGTGTTATGATAAGCTACGTGCAGGAAGAGTGAGTGAGACGAACAGCTGAAAAAAAAAACTTTCCAAATTACAGATCTGCAATTATACAGGTCTGCTGGCGTATGCTCTGGCGTTGCCTCTTATAAAATAACCGACCATATCCTCGATAACAATTTTTTTCTTGACAATTGCTTTGGCAATTTAGGCGAACACAGAAAGTGAAAAAGAGTGCCAAAGCATTGTGATCGTGTTACTTTCGGCTACGATACAGAGCCACTGTCACTGTTCCCCGCTTTGTTTAGCACGGAGCTGTGAATGGATGGAGGGGGGAGTAATTAGCTTTTTGTTCGCGAAAAAAGAAAAAGGAACTTGTCGTGCACATAAAAAAAAGGCGAGGCAAAAGCGGTAAAACGTTTATGCGGAAAGTGCGAAAAAGAAAAATATATTTTTATTTTGTTTATCATTTTCTTATTTGTGTGTAATAAATAATAAAAAAAAAGTTCGTTTCAATTATCCCAACATATACCGTTGGCATCACATGCACCCGAAGGTTCACGATCGGCTGCCGGAGTATATGACCACATTCCCACTGGTATATATTGCAAATTTTCTTCAGGCGGACCACTGAATCTGCCGATCATCAGAAGAATTATGACAATAGCCAGCACAAGCAATGACCCGATCATGGCACAGAGCAGTGCATCTGTACTACAGACCAAAGCTGTACCAAAACGAACTGAAGAGAAGAGAAAAAAGAAAGGCGAAATTGCTCGCTTTATATAGACATTTTTCTCGTTCGGGACTTCAAATCCCCGTGAATTCTCATTGGCCCAGATAACGGTTGCGTATCAACTTGTGGGTTGCCTACTATGGCATAACAAAACATACAGCACCAAAGGAAATGAAAGGAAGTGGTACCTGATGGTCAAGTAGACAAGCGTGCTTCGGCGGTAGTGGTACGTGTCTCTCACCATGGCTGCTGTACCTCCGATGC